GCCAAACCAGTTTATTTGCTGCTGGGCCATATACTGGCCGATTTGGGGTGGCAGTCATGGCACCAACCATTTGTTTTATTTACAGGCTCTAAAGGTGGTCCCTTAATCACTATCGTCTTATGAAATATGAAGTAGTAACCCTAAGTTGCTCTTAGGTCGATAGAGATCTTTATGATTAGTTTGCTAGTTAGCTTGATACAGTTCCTAATATTAAGGACTTCGTATATTTTATCGACATCCTTAGGGCTGTCGACCACAGTGATCCTTGTAAAACAAAGGTGTCACTAGGGTGGGTGTCATAGTGTCACCCCTCTTTTTTCAGACACCCCACCCCCCTTTTCCGTATCTGCATCGTCTAATTCTTAACCAGATCGTACAGCTACAAAGAAACTTACAATAATGTTTGTAATTTAAGCCCTAAAGCAAATCAATTTTATTTCGTGAAACCAGTGTCATTATATTTCCTTCATCTTCCCCTTGAAAAACAGTAAAAATTGATTTTGGGGGTTGGGATGGGCTGAAAGTTTAATAGAATGTGTTGTTATTAGCATCGAGTCTGTGTACCAATTTTCATCTTGATAGCTTTAGATGAAGTGGGTCAATTAGACATCAGGAGATTTTACCAGCCGCGAACATAATAGTGAAGTTATTATAAACGATTTAATACCTGTAACAAACATTTTTTTGCTTGTCAGTCAAAACTGTGGAAAGTTAGTATATTCAACCGTAACTTTTATTTAACGAGTTGGAACCCTGGGTGTCATCCGGTGTGGCCCTCACATTCCCTAGTTACGCCACTGCCTAGTCAGTGTTTCTTTCAGAAAATATCCACGGGATGGGGGGGGTGGTCATATTTTCGGGTTATCAGTGCAGGTAGCCAGATGCGTAGCTAAGGGTGGCAGATTTCCCTGGGCACCTGACAAGTGGGGGTGCCAAAATTGGGTTTTAATGGATGAAAAAAAATGGGTTTCTGAGTTGAATCTTGTCCACTGGCGCCAAACAATCAAGCTACGCCACGCCTCTGGCAGTGGCGTCGAAAACGGGTGGGTGGGGTGTCCATAGAAGGGTGGCATTCAACCTCACAGACGCGGTGCAGCAGTTTTGAGTATCCGCGCAGCAAATTTCCATGTAAGTGTGTGTTTGTGGGGTGTAAAATTTTGCACACAAAAAAATTGAATGCTGTAAAGCTTTGCACACAACTGTATGATTTTGCACACGAACAAACAAACCATAGAGGGAACATTGGTGGCAACCTCACCTGGTCGCATCCTGTTCTTGTGGTACCCTGTTCCGAGGCTCTGATGGACATTAGGGGCCGTCCATAAAGTACGTCACGCTATTTTTGACCATTTTTAACCCCCCTCCCCCCTGTCACAAACTGTCACAAATCTCGGACAACCCCCCCCCCCCAAAGTACGTCACACTTTCGAACAATTTAAAAAAAAAAATAACACCTAATTAAAATTTAATCTAAAACACACTTCACTATTAAACTGTATTAAAATATAAAATTTCCACTTAAAAGAACTATCACATTATTAAAATGACTTTAATAGTAGAATAGTTAAGTGTCAACAGTTGTCACAGTTATTCATTTAAGCAGTAACTCAATCTAGATTGAATTTGAAAACAAAAATTGCAAAAATTAGACTAGACAATTATTATATAATACACATCATTTATCTGCTGCTTTTTCATTTACAAAAGGTGAGGTCAAGTTTTAGATAATTTCCGATTATAAAATATTTTTTTACACAGGATAAAAAGTATATTAGTGAAACCTGACCTCACACAGTGATTGAATAATAAAAAGGAAACAAAACAATTTGACTAAAAAAAAGACTAGATTGACAGATTATCTTACAAACTCTTGTGCTATATTGAACCTGTTTATTATGGACCTGTGAATTATGTTTAATTCAAAAATATTCACTGGACATCATCCATCCATGGTGAAGTGAAGTGTTCATCCATAGTTAATAATAGTTACGACTGGCATCAATCTTTCACCATCATCGTTTCCTGGAAGGATAATTGCAGACAGATCAACTTCATCCTCATCTAGCCACTCAACATCCTCTGAATGTGCATTTTCTCTTCTGACAATAACTGCCACGAGTTATCTTTGCCTTCTAGCAGCGATTCTCAAAGGACTGATGCGTTTTATCTGAGTTGATTCTGGAACAGTTTGGGTTGGCACATTCACCCGAGCCCGAGCTCTGTGTTGTCCTGCATGTTTCTTCGACATTGTGAGGCAAAGTATAAGTGACATACTTTGCAAATTCGATCAAGCAAGCTGGTCTGCAAAGATGGTCAATAAAGATCATATAGTTGTACTTTGAAAACTCCTGTTGATCTCGGCAAGGCTATACATAAAACAAGGCTTCGTAACAGCATACTAGCGCTCCTAGCGAGAGGAATCGTGAACAACACATTCAGGACATACTCATTTCATGCTATTTTGACAGAAAACTATGTGGCAATGCGCCACTATTTTATCTGCATTCATATAACATTTTATATGCGGCAGTATGCAACAGATAGGAATAAGAGAATCCACTCTCATAGTCATAGTGTGACTGCTGGGGGTAACCCCAAGCACGGACACATCCATGGTCCACTCTCATAGTCATAGTGTGACTGCTGGGGGTAACCATAAGCACGCACGCATCCATGGTCATTTAAAGTAACCCACAGCTGTGTACTGGCCTTAAATTTTATGTTTGGTTATTTGCACGCGGGAGCAACCATCCCTGCGACTGACCCATGGTCAGCTCGGGACGCGGGTTCCCCGTGACTGTGTGAGAATGAAGGGGGGCGAACTGGGACTTGCGGTGTGTACGTTTTCGAGATTGTGGTGTGGAACGAATACGTCGGGTCGGTGGCAGGTGTGAGCGATTTTACTGTCGTCTCTGTCAACGGATTGTACCTTACATACATTAAAAAGCTATAGTCCTCAGACCTGATTGTTTTATGGTGATTTTATTTAAACTGTAAGCCACGTCACCACTCGGGTACAACTAATTCAAATGGTTCACAAAATTTTTGAAAACGATTTTTAAAGCTATTAAATTCTACTAAAAAAAAATAAAAAATAAATTAGAAATACAATTTAAAAAAAAAAAATGTGTGACGTCACACATTGCCTGACACCCCCCCCCTGTCACAAACTGTCACACTTTCTTACAAAAATTTTATAAAACGTATTTTAAAGCTATTAAATTCTACAAAAAAAAAAAAAAAAATAAATTAGAAATACAATTTAAAAAAAAAAAAATGTGTGACGTCACACATTGCCTGACACCCCCCCCCCTGTCACAAACTGTCACACTTTCTTACACCCCCTCCCCCCTCTGGAGCGTGACATACTTTATGGACGCCACTGGTCTAGCGCGATACCTCCCACAACACACTGCTGGTAAGTTTATCCCAGAACGTAGGTACAGCTGGGAAGTATTTATCCATTCCCGCTCTGAGAACTTTTGAAGGTGATGAGAAGAGGCTCCACTTCCACCACGTGACCGCACAAATTGATCGATCTATCGCGATCGTCAATTATAATTGGTAATGTGATTGATAAGATATAAGTGGTAAATAAGACGTTACGAATGATGATGAAATGTCAGATCTTAACAGGATGCCAAATTAATAAATCCATAGTTATTAGAAACAAGATTATACATTCATATGCAAAAGTTGATCTTCCATAACTATAAGCATTTGATTTGTCACAGTTGTAAGACTTTGAGTTCTATTAAGTTTTGTAAATTGATTTAAATGAATAGGTTCGTTTCATTTTAATGAAATTGGTTGTAGACTTCCACTTCTTTTAACGTACTTTTAAGAGCATATTTATGAGAATATGTTTCTTTGTGGTCGATTTTAATATATAATTAAAACTCCAGACACGAACAGGAGATAATTCATACGATAGTCAGTAAGTCACCCACCTAAATAAGGCTTTTCACCACAAGGGCGTAAATGAAATCTACTCTGATGGCACCCTACTCTGTCTGGTTACACCCTGCTCTGATGGCATCCTGCTATGGTGGAATCCTAAAAAGTGGAGGCTGACTGGAGCGAACTCAAACAAATATACATTTTTATTGGGTGGTATCCGTCTGTGAGGGTGTCACCTGTTGCGGTCTACACTGCACCCCCGCACTCCACTAGTTACGCCACTGGCATGATGCAAAGCTAAATTCAGGTATGCACCCCCCCCCCCTTAAAAAAAACAACCAACAACAACAACAAACAAACAAACAAACCCCTGCATTTTGATTCTGGGGAATTATTTACCTCCAACACCATTCTCCGATCAAAGTGACAGTGATCGACACATCTATAAAAGATATTAATGCGTTATTTCTCAATTTAAATCTATAAATTTTATTCATATGAGTGCCAGCACAAGTAGTAGTGCTATTATTTGAGAATTATGTGCATGAAGAATGAATACACAATTCTGTTGATCGCTTATTTCAGTGGTTCTCAACCTTCCTAATGCCGTGACCCTTTAATACTCTTCCTCATGTTGTGGTAAATTATTTTCGTTGCTCCTTCAAAAATATGTGTTTTCCAATGGTCTTAGGCGACCCATTGTAAGGGTCGTTCGATCCCCAAAGGAGTTACGATCCACAGGTTGAGAACCGCTGGTTTATTTGGTGTCTATTTTATTTGATTTGATACCGGTACAGCCCTCAAACAATTGACTTGCGATTAAAAATAGCCCGTGATGCGATTTGGGTTGGGCACCCCTGCTCCAAGACAGGTCTGCACCCTACGGGCCTACGCCCATGTTCGCTTTACTTTTACTTTAGTAGCGACCCAGATAGTTCCGAAAGTGCTTATCTTAAGATCAGTTTTAACTAATCATAAATTATTGTAGTAGGCTTAGTAAAAAAAAAAAAGGGGGGGGGGGCTTTTTAAAAAAAAATAATGGGGAAGGGGGGTGGGGATTGTAAAAAGAAAAACAAGAAAAAGGGAAGTTATCAGGGAATGGCGGCCATTACAATCGTAATTCCATGAAACGTAAGCAAGGTGGTCATTTGAACTTGTATGTGTTTTTTAAATCACTGATTGCAATTTAGACTATGAGTTAACCAACTATGATTAGGATAACCTTCAATTTTCATATTAAATAAGCAATAAAAAATTCAGACATAAATAAAATATTATAAATAATAGAGCACCACAACCGCACAAACCATTTTTCAGGCCGTTTTCATTTATTTTGCCATGATTATGATTTTAATTACCAAAATAACAATGGCTCAATGGTAGTTCCCAACTACTAATTACCTCAAACCCCTACTTAGCAGCTAGCTTTTGACAATGTCAGGCTTGCAAAAAAAAAAAAAAGAGATTCTAGGTTACATCTAGGTTCTAGATTCTTACTTACACTTCTGACTTAAAATATAAATATGACTAACTTAAATTATTATATTATTTTTCAGAAATGATTATGATTTTAATTACCAAAATAACAATGGCTCAATGGTAGTTCCCAACTACTAATTACCTCAAACCCCTACTTAGCAGCTAGCTTTTGACAATGTCAGGCTTGCAAAAAAAAAAAAAAAAAGATTCTAGGTTACATCTAGGTTCTAGATTCTTACTTACACTTCTGACTTAAAATATAAATATGACTAACTTAAATTATTATATTATTTTTCAGAATTTAGTATTAGTTACTAGTATAACTTTATATTCTATACTAATACTATACTTACTAATAGCACAGGTACTTTGACTAAACAGTAAACTAAACCTTAGTTTGCCTATCATATATAATAATATAAGGCAATAAGGAATCTAAATTAAGGCTAAGGCCTTTTAATTATTGATATTAATTATAGTTTAGTAAGCCAATAGACTATACTATTAGTGTCTATAGATATAATTATAATATTTAATTTAGTAAATATAGGGCCTAGTGTCAGTGTAATATTTGATTTATAGTGATAAGAATAAGGGGGTCATTCATAAATTAGAGGGGGGAGGGTGCGGAGAATTGTGACCTTAAATTTGAGGGGGGGGGGGGTGGCTAAACTTTTGTGACGAAGTGGGGGTTGGGGGGTAAAATAACAAAATTTGAGTGACATAATTTATGGATGGAGATTCATATACAGTAGGTGTAGTGTAGGCCCCTACTATATTTATTATTTTTAATTCATATTAATAATGGAGTAGTGCATAGATATCTATAGAAATTATATACTTAAGCTGCAACTAAGCGAGTACTAATAAGCATATTTTTTACCAATACCAATATTTTAATAGTAATGTATAGTAATAGTATAATAAGGAATTTGTTTCGCTTATTTCACATGGTCATATTAAATATTATCACTTCTTGATAATTATTTATATCAACACAGATGATAGCCTGAAAAATTCATCAAGTAGTCATCTTATAATTTTATATTACTTATTGTAGGCCTAAAACAAAGCCTAATAGGACAGGGGTCTGTAACCTTGTTTGAAGTGAAGGAAGACTATATGATAAATTCTATCAACAAAAAACTTAAAATGAAAAGTAATGAATCATTATTTTGAAAATAAGAAAAAGTAATGTAAATAGTACAAAGAGATGCTTTTATTTATTAAAAAGGTTGCATATGGCTCCGAAATGGCAGATTTCCGATGGCTGCCTTAGTGATAGTGTCTATCAATTTTTACTTAAATTGTTTAACTTGTTAAAATTCAAAAATCAATCTGTAGATTTACTTGATTTTTGTTGTACTTGTACTTATAAATAATACTGAAAACTATTATGATTCTCATGACCATTCAGTACAGTACTGAGGACTGTGCTCAAACAGCTGCCACCCATTCACCATTGTCAAGCTAAGAGAAAAGATCAAAGTGAATATTTGTTTCCTTGTTTGAAATAAATAAAAATTCAAAATTGAAGAAAGTTTTCTGTAAGTATTTCAACATCTGATCATAAGAATTACAGAAAGATCTCTGAGACAGAGCTTAGCATAAATTATTAATAACTCATTATAATTTTTTGTTAGCTCCTGATTTTTGTTATGACACATAAAGATTAATTGGTAAGTGGTAAGACTGCATCAACAGATTTTTTAATCATATGTTAAGCTAGCTGCTGAATTCTGTGGTATTCAGGATTTATCTCCTCCCTAAGAATTGCTACCTAAAGTGGCTAGCAATTCTATTCCACCTGGCCATTCACTCATTGCTTAGGGTAGCCCATGATGAAAATCCAACCCACATCCTCTTGATCGAGAGACTGCCAATGTTTATATTAACATATTATATGAGCATATAGATATAATAATTAAGAATTATTCATAGTCTTAGTCCTACTTTGTTCCAAGGGATTTTAGTTTTGAATGTTTTAAATGCTTCATTAACTTCATTACCCATTCTTATAATTAGTATTAATTAAATCAAGAACTGATTGCAGCCAGTGCTATAGTCATACTTGGAACATGGGCTTGCCATATCTCAACATCAAATGATTAACTACCAGTACCTGCTCTCTCATTGTGTAAAATTAAAATACTTTAAAATTTCTCTCAAAATTAATGAAGATGTTAGGTCATCCAAATGGAGCCCAAGATCTTTTTTATTTTAAAGTACAGTATTTAATTTAAACAGCCTTCAATAAGTTTATTTCCTATAAATCAAAGTATATATGTATCAGATGTGGAAGTACTCTTTTTAGTTAAATAGAATCTAAAAGAAAATCTTGAAATTTTTTAATTTTAGGAAGAAGTGATGTCCTCTAATAAGTTTTCAGCCCAAGAAAGTGGGCCAGATGAGGACCATCAAATTAGAAGTTTTACAGCTGCTAAATTTTCCAAGGGTAAAAGTTTATTCTATTGACTATTTAGATTTATGAACCATCTCTGTGATACTTGATATGTTCAAGAACTGTTCTGTGCTTTTGTTTCAATAACAATACAAATAATCATCACTATCTTCCAGTAAGTTCCAGATTCAGTAGCCATTTGGACATGTGCCTTTCGGCTCAAGAACATGGGGAAAAATGTTCACACTCTCCACAGCTGTTCTTTATTTTATATAGGGGCTATTGGCGTGGTCTGGTATTTTTGTAGAAGGGTAATAAAGGGAGAGACTACAATCAGGTTAGCACATTATAAAATGAGTAAAACAAAGTAGGGTTAAACCTGAAAACATGAACTCAACAAAACAACAAAAGTGTCGGCAGGAAGCCTTCGTCAGTGAACAAAACAACAGAAAAAGCATTATAAAAATAAAAAATAGCACTTAGCTTAGAAGTATTTTTGGTAGGTAGTTAAGACCTAAGTTCTAAAGTGCTGGGTAGTGAAAGAATTAATGTGTTACTGTCTCATTTGGATGTCTGCAGAAGGGGAACATTGGTGTTTAATTTAGCTTTATGTGGTTAACTTGAGAATTTAGTTGTATGAGTCCTGAGACCAGTTCATGGCGTTGGGGCCAATTATTGGATCTTTAGGGTCTGGGCTGGGGATGTGTGTGAAAGCACATCTTCCTGTTGAGACCATAGCAAACCCATTTAACCACTCTTCTTTTTTGGTTAGCTCTGATTAGCAGTGTGGAGGGATATCAGTATGTTTGGCTGTGTTGAGTGATGTAGGCATGTTTGGCTATTCATTGGATGCTCCCTGTTTTGCCAGTTTGTCTGCTCTTACATTTCCTTGTGTATTGTGCTGTATTGTTACTGAAAGCAAAAGTTAGCCTGAGTGCATGGGTGGTGAGGAAGGGGTTTATTTTCAGAAGTACCGACATTGATTTTACTGTTGTTGTAAGATCTTGACGCTCATCTGTCTGAAGTATTGACTTGCTGTAAGAGAAAATAAAGATATTACTTCGTTTGCTGTTTTAAGCTGTGAAGATTGCAGGCAGATGGTGTAACACTGCTTCAAAAGCAGTCATTTCTGTTTCATAATTACTGCACATGGCCGCACAGGGGCAAAACAAGTAAAATAACTTTATAGCTTATATTGAAATCTTCATTCCAACTCCTGACTATCAATTAATTTACACTTTAACCCACGAAATGTCAAATGCAAACTCTTTTTTTTTTTTTTTTTAAGTAACTTTGATTTTGATATTTATCACTAAAAGACCCAAAACTAATAGAAAATTAATTCAGAGACCTAAATAACTTCATTGATTATAATTATTAATATTCTGAGAGTAAATTGGACAAGACGAAATGTCAAATGCAAACTCCTTTTTTTTTTTTTTTTAAGTAACTTTGATTTTGATATTTATCACTAAAAGACCCAAAACTAATAGAAAATTAATTCAGAGACCTAAATAACTTCATTGATTATAAGTATTAATATTCTGAGAGTAAATTGGACAAGGAATAATATGTTATGAAAGTTGGAATTGTAAGCTATGTGAAATTAATATGATCTTGATCTTTCTGCAGTGAGTAAAATTGTAGACCTGTTAAATCTTAAAATTTTGGTGTACAATGCACGATTTTGAAATGTCTTTTATGAATGCACACAGAGACCTGTCAGAACTATGATTTTAGGAGATTGAGCTAAAAAATATATTATGGTGACTTTTACCATTTATATTAATTCAGGTAAATAAAACAATTATTGTTAGTTTTAACTCCTTTCTACACCCAGCGGTGAATGGGCAGAGAAATACAATTGGCTGAGGACCATCCATAAATTAAATTATGTAGGCACTGAGAGGGGAAAGAGGGTGATCTTGACTTGGAAGCCTACGGATGTCTATGGTGAGGTGTCTAAAAAATTTTTAAAGGCTATAAAATAACACCACCACGTTTTGTAATGATTCTCATATTGTTGCTTTGTGTTTAACACAATGAACTCAATAGATACAGCAACAGCAATATTTAGCAGAGTTGACCTAGAGACAAATGTAATCAAAATTCTATTTGTTTGCTTCAGTGTTTTATGATGTAATTTTGTGACATAATTATTTCGTCTTCGGCTGAACAGCATCTATTTAAAAAATGGAGTAAACTGCAGAATTAAAATAAAAATTCATTCTCAACTGTTCCTAGTTCACCTAGTTAGCAACATTTGATATCTATTTTTAGAAGTCATGAAGCTGCTGTACATTTTATTCCAGCACTTCTCTTCCCTTCTGCCTTTACAGATTGTGTTACCAGTAGTTAATAGACTACCGGTAGCGATTATTTGCATTTTTGACCTAAACACACATTTGAAATATGTATACGGTACATAATTTATTTTGATGGTATGCTCCAATTTGGTGCACCCGCCCCTTATTTTGGACTGATTAAAAAAAATAGATTGAAATTAGTAATAAATTATTTGTAAAAATTACTTTTTAGGAACTACTAAAATAAAAAGGATTTATGTAAACACAGCTGGGTAAGGGGAACATAAGTTTCCACAAGTAATTTAGTGTAGTATGATAAAAAAACTATATTCGGGTATAGGCAAAATAGCATCCATGCATTTTGAATTTATAAAAAAAAATTCTTGGAAGGGGACTCTTCCTCCTTCCTGATTCCCACCCCCCACCTTAAGCAGGTGTCCTCAATTTCTGCTCCCCCACCACATCTTAATCTATGAAAGTGGTAAATGACAGGCTCCTTTTTATTTGCAATAATACACTGTATGTAAATAAATAGACGTCTGTTCTACTTTGAGAAGTGACCTTTATTAGTCATGTGATGTGAAAAGTTATTTATACATTATACCGTATGTTTTTTTATTTACTATTACAATACGTTATTGTACAATTTTGAGATTGTTCCAGTGTAACCAGGTCTGAAATTGTGCTACTGTCCTGTTTAGCTTTCTTAAAACTCACACCCACGCTGGTGTTGGATGGGTCCTTTTTATCATCTAAATAATTTTTTCACACGCATATTATAAAACATTATTCGTCTTTCAGTTAAGAAAATATAAAGTTAATAGGGTTTATAGAAATTTTAAAAAAAAATTCATGGTGACAATATTTATTGATATAAAGCCTATTAAATTCATTAGTACCCTATTTTCTACTACTCCCACTATTAAAACTGCATTATTATCATAACCAAGTGTAATACCAACAAACTTTCTTCAAAATCATAAAGAAGTTAACTCACATAAATTAGGCTTTTGTTTTGCAGGACCAACACCTAAGTCCAACAGGTTTGTTTTAACAAAAAACTTCTGAAAATTTCAGCTCAACTCCCATCTTCAGTTCAGGTTCATGGTTAAAAATCCTAACAAGATGTAAAACTACCTTTGTAATTTTATGTATAACCTTGAAATTCAATAAACCAATTCCATGGATAGCTTTCAGCTACACTGCAACTCAACAGTTAATTTTATTGCATATTATATATTTATGTAATATTGTCAGTTGTGTAATCAATCGTATCTTTTTGATAATACATGTGAATTATGATTTTAAATATTGTGCGTTCTAAAATTATTTAACACAGGACAAAAACATTTTGGGCTAAGTAAGTGGGTCCTCAATAATCTAAATGAAAATTTGCAGCTTTAAAGATAAACAAAATCAACATTATTTGATGTATTTAATAATACTTATAAATACTAGAACAACTTAAACTGATCTGATAAAAATATGTTCTCTTTATTGCACATTTAGTTCACTCCATTGCAGAAACTTCTTTTAGACATTACTCTGAAGTTAAAGACTTAACATGTCTCATTGCTACATCTTGGTACATTGATACCATACAAAAGATGAATGCTGAGTAGAGTTAGCTCTTAACACAATGGCCAACTTAAAATCCCTCTTAGATGCGGTTTTAAGGGGGAGGGGCACTGGGAATTTTTCTGAGCATTCTTCATATGAAAAAATTTGCTGGGATAAGTTTAGGGGGCCTTATTAGAATTGAATTTAGGAATTCCTTCAGTAAATTAAATACGTTTGTATTTTGATTTTTTATCCTATTCGACAGCAGCTAAACATATTATCTCTTAAGTACAGCACAATGACACTTTTTCTGACAGAAGTATTATCTTATTCCAAACAATGTAATTTTCAGACATCCTGGTTAGTCACACATATTCTGGTTCTCAGACATTTTTCAAATTTATTATTATTTATTATTTTTGTAATATGTAGTATCTGACATCTCAAAGCCTGAAAGTATATTTACACTGAGAGTAAAGCAGTTCTAAATTACCCTAATGATTACTGCTTTAATTTCATAAACTGTAACTTGTCTTGATTTAACAGTGTTGTTTTGAATTGAAATGTGATTGAATTTTATTTTTTATATTTTGTTGAAAAAACCCATCTATCCTACTTAACTGTTGTCCCAATAAAACAGAATTCATTTTATTTGATTATAAGTATGCTATATTAAATAGATAATTATATTTTTTCTGCATTAGTTGTATCAATTCTACATTTTTCTTTTGTTTCAGTTGTTCATTCTGACTGTCATACTCTTCACTGGAAGAAGTAAGTTAAAATGTTGTTTAAAAAAATGCAATGACAATATGGATAGGACTTTATCAGACAGAAGAGTGAATTGAAAAACATATTTGACTTTCTCAAGTTTGAAAGTTAATCAGTAAACAATTTTATTTTTATTTTCCAGGCAAATTACATTTGTACCAAAGGAATACTCAAAAATTAAAGAATTTTTGAATGATGTTCCTCATATAATTTCTCAAGAGGGCACATATGGCTATATCTGGGATAAGGTTAGAACAGTTTTTAGTTTAAATACCGGTAGTGCATTTCTTACTTAATCCTGTTTTTCGCAATCTAAAGCATATTGAAATAAACTAGCAAAAGAATATTGAAATAAAGTTTGAGATTGGCTGCAGTTTGACCTTTTGAAATATTTATTGGATAATTAAAAACTAATTTTCTTAAAAAGTAAAATAGTACTCAGTATGTAAAACTTTTTTCATTTAAATTTAAAGTTATTTATTCTTGAATTGAGCACTTTTATTATGTAATTATTTTATTTAGTATTTTGTGCGCAACTTTATTTTTAAAAATTACCCTATGTGAAATTGTCTGAGTCAGAACAAGGATGCAAGATGCACTTAGAGGACAGCAACTAATACTAATTCAAATAATTTTATTTGTAATACTGTAATCTTTTTTAGCTTTTTTGGCAGAATTTTGAAAATTCAATTTAAAAAAAAAAAATTGTGTCACTGTACTTCTTTTCTTTAGAGTTTGCAACCTTCAGATGGTAAATATGAACCTGGAGTGCATTATTGTGGAACAAGAGAGCCAGACAGAAAGAGTGTTCATGGTGTTGTTTCATTTTACCGCGATGGTGTGACAGGTGTGAAATTTGCCATCAAAACTTTAGAGGTAGCTAACAGTAATATGGTTATCTATTCAGTTAGTGAGAGGGAGTCACCCATTAAATAAACATAAAAGTTGTGATATTTTGGAAACGTACTGGTATTAAAAAGGACATTAGTAAAAATTTTACCTTGTCCCAGCCCAACTTAATGACAAATCCTTCCCTCTGTTAGTGGCTTAAGTATTTTTTCCACTGAACTGATGCTTTTATTCAATTAATCATCTTAGGAAAATACTCATTTTCACCCTGAGGAGATCACTGTTAGCCTTATAAATGAACACCCAAACATCTGTGCTGTCTATGGAATTATTATCAGGAATCATCGAATTCACATTCTACTAGAACATGCAGGTAATTTATGTATTTTCTTTTCAGTGATAAATGTAGTACTAGTAGTACACGCTTTTTCTGTTTATTTTTAAAAGCCAAACTTTATTATTATTTTTTTATATTGTAAAAGGAATTATATCAATATGTGCAATTACAATTTTATTATTTCTAATGTGGAAATGAATCAAATTAAAGTTAACTAATCAATAGATGAAGATAAATATTTCTAACAGAATGTTTAGAAAAATTTAATTTAATTTTACTGATGCCCAAAATATGTTTAGGTGGGAACTTACTTGAAAAACAATAAATTGTATATAATGTATAACTTATATGGTTATCCTGTACTTTGATTCTTTCTTTACAAAATTATGAGCGCAATTAATATTTCATATTATAAGAGATTATTTTAACCCTCCTGGCAGAAACTTTCAGAAAGTATTTATCGTATGCATTGTTCATTAGGTTTACCATTGAATGAAGAAAGGTCATGGATAGCTGATTCTCCTCAGAGAATGCTATTAGTAGCTAAGCAAAGCTTCCAGGCGATAGAAGCTCTGCATCAATCTGGTTTTGTACATTGTGACATAAAGCGTAAGTAAATGATACATTTTTCAATGTTAAATTTCTTTTTTTGTATATTTAGCCTAAATCTAACTTGGTAAATTGACTCACAAAGTTACCCAAGGAACTTCTTTCTTTTTCCTTTCAGAAATTTGTTCTTTATATTAAATATTTTGTTTCTTTTACATTTTTAATATCTTTTAGAAAAAGGCTTTCCTCAATGGATAAAATAATCCTTCCTACAACAGCTCCCCAGTAGTACTACTTTTATAAGATGCATATCATTTATATAAATGTAAAAATTATTATTATTTGTCACTCAATTTGGTTACCAGTACATAATACGAATAAGTAATATTATCCTATGATGTGATTATCTTTATTCAATTATTGTTAATTCTTCTTTGATGGCATTCTGTTTCCTGGTAGGTAGGAACTGGTAGGAACTTGAACTCATCCTATAAAAAAATCAAATGAAGATTTTCCATTTTAAATGAACAATCTAATCTTCAATTTAATTTTAATAAGATAAAATTATCTAAATTACAGCTGACAACATAATGATATCAAAACATGGTAATGATTTTACTGTGAAACTGATTGATTTTGGCAGTTGTCAACGTGAAGGAACTGTACTTCCCCATCATGCTCATACTACTTTATTTTACTGGTCCCCTGAGATTTGGCAGGCTTTGACCAATAAGGTAATTGAGAAAAGTGAACATTTAAATAAAATATTTTAATTAGTTTAAATGAAATAGAACAAGCCACCCTTTGCTTGGAACCATCAATCACATTTTTAAAGTATATCTATAAATAGCCTCTCGTGTACTAACCTCACCCTAGCTTTTTTTCCATGTGTTCCTTGGAAATTCATAAACATGCTTTTAAATGAATCAGAATTTATTAAATATACTAGTATAAATCTACCCAAGCCGGTGAAAAAAACAAAGCCATAAAAAATTGTTTGATAATTTGACTAAAGGGAAGATATCTCATCTGTGGCATATTTGTGCTGGTAACTTTTCAGTCTGAAAATCTCAATGCATTCTAAAATTTAAACAAAAATAAAACATTCAAATTTTCATAGCTGCTGTTACTGTGCTAGGTCATGTATTATTGAGTCATCTACACATTTATTGGAAGTACCACCATGATGTAGTTTTTCATTGTTTTTGATGAGATCGAATATAGTCAACTTGTTCACTTTGACTTTGATATTAAAATATATTTATTTCTTAGGCTTTGTGTTATTTTTCTATTTATTATAATTAGTGAACATATATTTTTTATTTTCACAATATTTGGGTGTTTTTTTTCCCAAACACTGGAATAGATACTGTATTTTCCAGGGTATAAGATGACTTTCTAGACCCAAATTATAGTGCCAAAATTTGGGGGTCGTCTTATACGCCGGGTACAATGGCCGAAATATAGTTTTAATGCCCGCCGAGTGCTCCATACCTTGTACTAGAGGTAGCCAGATCGGTGCCAGGCCCCCTGGGTGGTCGGTAGCGGGTATAGAGGCGAATCCCGGTGAGTGAAGAGGCCGCCGAAGCCACCAACCCCGCGTGCGCGGCAATGTTTAAATAAAATCTGTTAAGTTTGATGTGTTTTGGTGATTTTAAGTACCAGAAAGTCAACAGTTTTCATTAAAATTACCATATTTAAATCAAATCTGATGTTTTTTTTATGTTACTGATTTTTTTTTTAAAAATGGTATTGTCTGGGAAGGGCGTAGTCTTACACGGTGAGTATATCCCAAAACCAATATTTTTCCTGGAAAATTAGGGGGTCGTCTTATACGTCCAGTCGTTTTATACGACGGAAAATATGGTATATTTATTGGCAGTTACTAATTTCAAAGATAAAAAAGGTGTTTTTTTTACTAAAATATTACTTCACTCAAGTTGTTGAGGGAGTATAGCTCATGTGTATACACACATAACAGTGACCCAATAATTCATGTTTTTCTTTACTTTAAGTAGGAAAAATAAATAATTTATAAAGTAAAGTTAAATTAAAAGGTACTCATGAACCCTTAGGACTAAATATGTGTATGTCATCTGTGCCTCTATTCTTGAAGGCTCTCTTTTTCATTACCATCATTAAATTAATAGTTTTTAGAAATGTCTATAAAAATAAAGGAATACATTTTTTTCCTTCTATATTTGCAGAAACAAGTTATTTGTAAATTTGCAATGGATGTTTATGCACTAGCATTGACACTCTTCTTTGTTCAGACTTCAAACCATCTGATGCAGATGTTGAGAGAGAAGGATATAAAAGATGTGGTATAAGTTAGATAAATGTAGTGATTTATATTAACTTATAAGAATCAATAAATATCTATTTATTTGTTTAGTTGTGTTATAGTTTTAAATATTATAACTGGTTCTTGCGAGCAAAAAATGAAATATCCTAAATGAGCATTTTAACAATAGAAAAATAAGAAACAAAATTGTTTTATTGCTAATGTTACGGTATTCTAAACTATAGCAAATTTATTACTACTAACACGAACCCCTTCAGTCCCATTCTTCTGTATGCTGTACATTACAAGTCTTCAACAAAACTTGTGTTTTTTTACCAAATCGCTCATGTTCATCATAGCAGAAGTTATTTATTATAATTGGATTCAGCTTGAAAAATCTGACCTTAAGCTTGAAAAAAAAAGTTTTTTACTGCTAGCTAATGCAATAAAGGCAATTTTTACAAGTGTCTACTTTCAAATATTGGAGGTCGCTTTTGAATATAATCTAGTGATGCTACTAAGAGAATTACTAAAAATAAGAAGTGAATAACCATCCTATTGGATGATACTTTATCAGGTAAAGGTAATATAGCTGCGTAAAAACAGGTGCAGCTGCTCTTTCAGAAAAAGGTTTATGATCTAAGTAACTACAGCAAAGAAATATGAAACTTATTGCTACTCTTTAAAACGCCAGAGCAAGGCAGTTTTTGATTTGGAACTGTGATATAAGCCAAGAGAGCAGGTGTTAGTAGAGTGGCCATGAGTTTATTTGAAATTTGGAATTCAATTACTTAAACAACTTTTTTGTGGTTAATGCAAAAACAATTGTGTTAAATTTTTCAACTTCTCAATTTGGTTCATAACTTCATACATGCCAACTTGCAAGCTCAAAACCTGTACAAAAAATCCCCCAAAATCTATTTTAAAAAAACGAAAAGATAAATTAATTATAATTAATTTGTTCAATTACGGTATCACTTTAAAAAAATGCATCACTTGGCATGTATAAAAAAGTTACCTTGTGATCTAGATTTTAACTGGGACTGAGCCGGATGCAGTTTTTTGTCTGTGTATTTTGAGAATATAAAATGACAAAACATTTTAAAAAATGTGCATATAATTTTATTCAAATGGTCACACCCAGTTCCATTTCATTGGCCGGGTATTCTCCGTTTCATTGGCCGGGTATTCTCCAGGTTTATAATACTTGGCATTTGCAGGTATCCTGGTCAGCCACTGGTTCAGCCCTAATGTTAACCTATGATATGTTGAAAAAGATAATCATGTTCCAAAATTTTGTAGCATGCTCTTTCATAATATTATAAAGCATTATCATTTTTCCTTTTTAAAAAATTCAAATAGGATCCTAAAGATTAGAATTATCCTTAATTTGTTAGAATAAATGAAGATGAACATGTTTTTCCATATTAAATCCTATGGGATTAAAGTGGCTAAATTAAAAATTTAACACCTGCATTCTGCATTGACTAGAAGCAGCTAATAAATTTCTAATATCTAAAGCAGATTAATGACTTAAAATGCATTCAGTTTCATGCAGCACTTATGAAGAATCTGCTTAGATGGAAGCAATAAATAGTTTTAAAAGTTCTATCTACGTGCAAATATTAAACAAAAAGCATTTATTATGCATACTATTTTGTATTTAAAGAAATTGATACCCATAAGTATAAGAGTTTCACGGATAAATTATTGATTCTAATTATTACAGATGACAGAGAAACCAGAAGATATTCTCTGCATTGCCCTACCGGAGACAATACCTACTGAGTTAAGGGCAGTAATGCGCCAGTGTTTAGATGGATGTCCAATGACTCGATGGAGTGCCCAACAAGCCGTTAGGCAGCTTGCTGGTAATATTTTATTCAGTAAAGAAAAGAATACTTAAGTATTTAGTTAAGATGTTGGAAAACTATAAGATGTACAGCTTAAACCTCTCATTACTGCAGCCTTTTCAAAAATTAGTATATAAATTTTACGGGAACCTGATTGTGGTTTATACCGGTACCAAGCAAATTTAATTGATTTGGGTCATAGCTTAAGATTTTTTCATAACTTTTGTTATTTGCATAGTTAACTTAATGGTTGCAAGTTAATGGACTTGGCATTGAATAAAATATCAAAGTCACATGGTTACTTTATTAACAAAAAGAGCTTGGACATTTTTTTTTTCATGAATCACCACAATCCTGTTACTTATTTCTTAAATTATACCGGTATCTAGTTTAACTGTACAGGAAGGCCTATGAGTAATAAAGCATAGGATAACATGGGGGTGACTAACAATCAAGCTGTAAATAATGAAATGTGGGCGCACAGAATGTGAAAATTTATTATGAGCTTAATTCTAAAGGAAAGAGAAACTTAGCTCACAGAAACTTTAAAGTCTCAGAGGTAACTAAGAAAAGAAAACTAAACTAAGAATTACGGTTAAGGAAATAAAGTAAGTACAAGTTGCTTGAATAAAAAAAGAAAAGGGAAGGGGTAATTTAATCACAAAAAGGAATATAGTTGAAAGTGGAACGAGGTAGGGTGTTGTTTTTTTCTGCTCAAGGATGAAAATATCTTCGCTAAGTCTATATTCCAGTTTCACTAATAGCAGATGACTCTATAGTTGACATGATGACATGACTGATGTTTAAGTCTTACATCGGGTTTAGTTCTAAATTAGGATGGGCTAGCTGAGAGGCGGCTGTGATGAGTTTCTTACAGTTCAGCTAAACTGCATGGCGAATGGATTCAATTATTATCACTAATAAACAGTTTGTAAAAAATATCCTTGAATAAGAGAAGGCAACAAAAAATTTTAATTCTTAAAAACCCACATTGCAGAGGGGTTAATTTAAATCTGTTTGAACTTGCCAAAAATTGTTTTCTAGATTTGATCTAATAAAATATTTTTGTACCAGTTTTTTTTTGGTGTACCCGGTATTTAAAAAAAACAAATTGATTTTCTAAACTACTAACTTTTACAATAAAGCGGGTTTATTAGGTTGTTGTTTTCCCTACAACTGGCAGAAATTTATTAAGTAGTGTAATGTATTTTTATTTTTCTCCATTTAAAAACAGAAGACACAATGACTCAGACAGAAAATTACAAGGATAAATTTGAAAGGATATATGCCTTACTGAAAAGTGGTGGCACTAAAGTCTCTTCAAGAACGGTTTTTGGGGAGCAATCCACATCTTTTCCATTCAGTGTTGACCATCAAGAAAGAGTTCAGTATTTTGTTGGGAGCAGTAAGGGCATTGAAAAACGAGAACTGACCACCACTGCGAAGAGTAGGAAAAATAATTTATTTACCGGAAATAAATGCAGTAAATCACTTTCAAAATGTAAAAAAGTAACAAAGCCACCTACAAAAGGGAAACCAACTCGGAAGAATTCATTTGAAAGAAATATTGCGCATAATTACCATTCTGGGTTGCTGCCGGAAGTTGAAAAAAGTGAAAAGCCAGTGTTACAAAGATCAGCTGATATTATGGAGGCATCTCCAGATGAAAAAGCTTATTCTTGCTCAATATTGCTAAAAAATCTAGCTTTACAAGTTCAGCCTATTGAGCCAGTGCAGGAAGTTTCAGTATCACAAACACAGACTCAGTTTCTCAGTCACATGGAAACTTTAGGGAAACATGTCAACATATTGGCTGATACCACTCAAACAACCACAGGGAAATTAGTGCAGGGGACAAATCCGTGTCAAGCAGCCAGTAAAGAGACTGTGCATTTTTCCTTTTCACAATGTCAGAAGACTGATTTATACCAGAATCCGAATCAGAGAATTAATGCCAAGGCTGGCAAAAAGTTCATTGCTCAGAATGAGACACGAGGAGAGATCGTGTGGAAAAGTGTGACCATACAAAATGTTCAAAGAGAGGAATTGTCAAAGCCTGTTGATTGGGAAAGCTGTAAATATGAGGACAGCATGAAATTAAATGCTCCTTATGTGACAGAGTTCAGGGCAAGCAGAGATGGCAGTGTAATGTCACAAACTGGCACAAGTGAGAGTGGCAGCATTATGCGATCCCTACCTGAGATAACAGATATTACCATTCATCCTGTTGTGGCAACAACCCAAACAAATCCTGACCCCTCAGAACTTTTTAATACCAAAGTCAGCTCAGGTGATGACATGGACTTTGTGATAGATGCGTTGGGTCCCACTGCTTTCACTGGCAACGAAGATGACATTGTTAATAATTTGTTCAGCAAATTAATTGAACAAGATAAACAGAATGATCCTTGTGTGTCGACAGTTGATTTTTCTACTGATGTCAATCTGAACCAGTTTAGAGGAGAGGGAGTATGCCCAAATCCTGCTAGAGACATAGAAGTGATGGATATTGATCAAGCTGAGCCCAATCTCAATTTTACCAGCAAAACACCTTCTTTGGCAGACTGTGTCACATTTAGGACCAGCAGAAAACGCATGTCTTATTCACTTGAAAATGCTGAAATACCAAAGAAAACCATTTGCACCTACCCTGAACTAAGAGATAAAGAGCAAAAGTTACCAAACTTTGATATAATTTTAGATTGAGATTCATGTTTCTCATTCTTGTAAATGAATTGTTCTCACAGCCGGTACATATATATTTTTTTTAGTCAGATGTTCAGTCTTTAAACTTTATCATTGCTATTCAATATTTTTTACAATGGCTTTATAAAGTTTATAGTTGTTAATTACTATAACTTGTTTTTTTGTAAAAATAATTTTCAAGTAGAAGCATTTAGTTTACATGTTAATCATCACATTCCACATTTTCAGTTTTTAAGTTATAAGTTCCATTTCTGTGTATAAATTCTTAACAACTGTTTTGAGGTTTGTGTAACCATGAAACCACACCATAATTTTTTCATCATTTTTTTTAAGAGCTCTATCATTACATTTTCCACTGCAATCCATATAATGAAATGGTTACGATAAATATAATTATACATTTATAACATTTTCTCTGAGATGGTAGGAGTATCTGTTGACCTGTAAATACTGTTGATAATAAATATTTATCATGTTATTTATTTATATGTACATCTACTCTAAACTCTACATTTAAAAATAAATGCTATTGTTAAATTTTACTGAATTTTTACGACTTAGCATTATTTTATTTAAATCTCCAAAGATTCATATCCAGATCATTATTACTCTTTCATACCTGGAAACATAAATATTCTTTGTTTCAAATAAACCTGTGAGAAAGTAAAGGATCTTTATAAACTTGCAGCCGCCATCTTTTGAGCCCATTTAATTCATTCATAGCATAAACTCTATTTTGAGGTGCAATGTATACTAGTGTACCAGTAATTTGTGTACTACTGTCATGTTTGAAAGTAATGAAGTGCATTATCACAATTGTTTCAAATAAACTACTTTACCTTGTTTCTTGTTTTGTTAAATTTATATTAAAATACCTAATTAGTTGTTTTTATGCTTCACAACAGATGTGATATTAATTTAAAATGTTTATAAAAAGTTTCCATAGTCTTCTACCCTATTTATCAACTGTTGTTGTTGTTCATCCTTTGCTTGTGAAGATGACAAAGCTTTACTCTATGCTGAGTAGGCAGGCGGTCTGCTGTCCTATTTGTGCCTGAATAGCTTTCTCGCCCATGGGGCATACATTGTTTTGGGTCATATTTGGATTTGAGTCGATTCTGCTTTTCCTTGCCGTGTTGTGTGCTTTCTTTGGACGCGAGTGGTGTGCTTATTCTCTGATGATTGAGCTCCAACAGTAAGTCTGCCTCACCAGCTTGTAAGATCCATAGCAAGTGTTTCTCACAAAGCAAGGTTAATGTCCATGGATTTGAGTGAAGATTTTGTCCACATCCTGTAATTACTGCAGCATTTTAAAAATGACAAACTGAACAACCACCATATTATTTTCAAACAACATTTGCCAAAGATTTAAACTGGTGAAAATTGTTTGAATGTTTAAATTTGGGATGAAATGATGCCTTTAAACGCTAAAAAAAAATTATTTTTTTTTGGTTGTTGAAATCAGCAAACTGCTCTTATTAATTTAATTAATTACTGGTACAATTTAAAAGTTTTCTGTAGGTCTTGAGGCAATGAAAATAACATTTGAATTTTTTAAAAGTGAATTTCACTTTTTTTTTCTTTTCTTTTTTTTTTTTTTGTCTGTCACAACTAATTTCTTCCCATTGCATGCTAGTGAATACCTTTGGCTAAAGGACTCTCTACCCTTGCTTTGTATTTTACTTTTACATTAATTATCACTCAACACAAGGTAAGTTGACATGTAAGTTATGATAATTACTGAGGCAAAATATGACTATGATGCCTTATCCCCACTTAAAAAATATTTCTTAGTACCCGTAATAATACTACATCTGTCATCTGTTTAATAGTGTAACTAGAATTCAACTACATACAAGACCCGTCCCAAACCAAGATAAAGATTTACTTTGTAACTAAATCCCCTAAAATTCACCTGTTGAAAAACGACATAGAGCAAAAATAGGAAGGGGGGTGGAGTAAACATTTGGGACCAAGAATAATCCAGGCCAAGCAAATACTGCAATAGAGTAACTACATTAACACTTCTTCGGGCGTTCTGATTATTGTTCAGAGTAAGATACTTGAATGTTTGTTGCAATGTCATGAAGGCTGAAAATCTGGTATCAACAATAAATAGTAAATGGGCGTGAATTAACACAAGCAATCTGGACAGAAAACGCGAAGCAAAAATCTGAATTCTGTAGATATTATCATCTTGTCGGGAAGACAAGACAAAACAACTTTGTTTTCAAAACCGTCATGTAGTGGTGATATATAGAAATATATATATATAATAATATGTATGTGTGTGTATATATTTATATATAAACGTCATCAATGGTTTTCTAGACAGGCTGGAAGATTTCTCGGGGCACCATGCCCTTCTCTTAAAGTAAAAGATAAATTACGACCTTTAGAACCCAATGAAAATGGAGAAAGCCGGCTCAGCCTCTGTGTAGAAAGAAAAAAAAAAAAAAGCTTATCACTGTGATAGCCTTGTTTTCCCATATTATCTCATCATCAGTGACGCGACAGCCCACCACATCCTTCCATTTGGATCGATCCATGGCTTTCCACCTCCATGTGCGAACCCCCAACTGGTGTAATTCCTTCTCTACATCGTCGTTCTATCTCAGCCAGACATTTAAAATGGATGCGCTTCCTTTAGAAAGTGCACATGACGCGTAACACTGTTATCATTATCAGGTGCTGACCATATATCACTGAGTTGCAAGGTTAAACATTAAACCAGGGGTTCTTAACCTTTTTGCAGTGCCGCATCCTCATCTATATTATTTCAAAGCATATTTCCCGAACCCCCAATCTGATTTTCTGGGCCCCCCTGCACCCACTGACATCATATCACTCGTGGTTGAGAACCCCTGCCTTAAGCTCATAGAGGTAAGGATCAGGTTCAGCAGGAAGGACTTCTCAAAGGCATTTGACCGTGTCAATCATAGTTTGCTTCTACACAAATTTCAGAGATATGGGATCCATGGCACTAGCCTACTAAAACAGGGATCTCTAGCTTCCTTAGCAACCGATGCCAAGCAGTAGTGGGGGAAGGTACAAGCTACTCCTTTGTCGGTGTGAAGTCAGGGGTCCTGTTTGTTTCTAGCATACATTAATGACATAACCGAGAAACTGACATCCCAAGCAAGACTGTTCGCAGATGACACAGCGGTGTATAGGACGATCGCCAACAGATCTGACCAGGACCAGTTAAAACAGGATCTCAATCGGTTAACTGAGTGGGAGATGACCTGGGACATGGAATTTCATCCTGCTAAATGCCAGATACCGTCAGTCTGTAGAAGTTGTACTCCTCTACACTACCAATACGAACTGTATGACCATATTTATTTATTTATTTATTTAGGCATTTTTATATAGCGCTTATCATAAAGCTCTAAGCGCTTTACAATTATTAAAACATGTAAACTAAGTAAAATAAAAATGAGACACTAGGATAGTAACTACTATTCTATAGAAACAATGAAAATGGCTATAAAACGAGGACACTTTGACACTTCAGGATCAACCCGAAACAGAAAATGAGGTAGGGCAAGGAGGGTGCATCACAGGTCATAGGCGGACCTAAACAGATGAGTTTTAAGGGACTTTTTGAAACTGGACGAGGTTTCACTATGACGTATATGGAAGGGGAGCTGGTTCCAGATACGTGAGCCAGTTTCCTCCGTAAAGTACATGGGTGTTACCATTCAAAGAGAGGTCCGCTGGGACGAGCATATTAACAATGTGTGCGACAAGGCAAACAAGACCTTAGGCGTAATCTAAAGATTGGCAACTCCTGTGTGAAAGAAACAGACTATAAAGCCTTTGTCCGTCCGGTTTTAGATCATGCATCTTCAGTCTGGGACCCATTTACCCGGAAGAGCATTGACAGGTTGGAAGCGGTCCAGCGATGGGCAGCACACTTTGTCCTGAACCGCTACAGGAATACCTCTAGTGTTGGCAGCATGCTGGAAACACTAGGCTGGTCACCATTGGAGGAACGACGACGGCTATCCAGGCTCTCCATAATGTACAAGATAAATAATGGGCTGATCCCCTGCCCCGGCGGCTCATACCAGCGAAAAGCCAGTATAGGAACTGCTCATTCCTGCCCAAGACAATCAGAGACTGGAACAAGCTTTCAAAAGGAACAGTTGAGGCGACAACATTTGACACATTTGCGTCTATTGCCTCAGCCCTTCCAACCCCCATTGCACGACACACTCACAAAGTAGCCCTTGCACCCAGTGAAATATCCTCATCAACACCAGGCATAGAAACATTGCAAATCCCCTCGACATGCATAGGAGCCAATATGATCAAAAACTGATCGTGGGCCCTTAATATATAAAAGAAAGAACAGATCAGGATACTACAATAGCAGGGGAGCAACACCTCAGGATACCACCATAACAAGGGAGCAACAGATCAGGATACCGCCATAGCAGGGGTGTGTCACTGCAGGGTATCACCATAGTAAGGGGGACACCAGAACTAGGTATTAACATAGCAGGAGCTCACGAGAGCACAGGAAAACAATAGCAGTGTACCATAGCAAGGGAGCACCAGATAAGGGTATATACCACCAGATGTAATTTGGAATTGATGTTGCTCAGCGCACCTCACATATCACACACTGACCAGATAACTTAGGTGATCAGTTATGCTCAAAAGGTGATTTGATAGACTTTGACTTAAAGATATAACAAGCTCAAGGTTATGATATTGCTGCCACAATGACTGGGAACTATGATATTGAAAGAACCCCTCCACCCCCCTAGAAAAGGAAGAACAAGAAAGAGAAAGAGAATATCAATGGCTGCGTAAACCATTTGTTAACATCATTCTAACTACTTGTGTGCTCACTTTTTTAAAACTAAAAATTCGTTAACCGTAACATTTCTTTGCTGCTTCCACTCATCGATGGGATGATTCAAATGAAAAGTCTATCACTAAAATGCTCAGTTAAGTATATTCTGCGGTTAAATAAATTTGATGAATGTGTGGTGGCTATTCACAGCCCAAGGTCTTTTTATCACTGTCAGCAGTGGTGTAGAAATTGGTTGTGTAGAGGGTGTTCTCCCCAGGTGGCACTTTTTTATATTTGGGAAAAAAAAGGGGCGAGGGATTTTTGGCCAACTGTGGAGTTTTTTGTTGTGATCCCTTTTTCAGGTTTGACCATACTTGGTATAGGCCTACTCATTTCCTATATTGCTAGCCTGATTGCAGTCTCGTCCCTTATTACCATTTTATAATTATATGCCTCTATGCTACTATGAAGCAATAATTTATTGAATTACTAGCTGGGGCAATGCAACTCCGTTGCGGTTGTAAAATGTGCCGTGATTTTATTTAAGGTCTTGTTTGGTCTCGGGATTAACCTGTATTTATGGGTTTGGGATTTGCCCATCTAATGTTCGCCTGCCTTTCGCAGCCGGATTCTAATTTATTTTTTTACTTTGTTATCCAAACCTCCCACCATTTTGAAAATTTGCGGTAGTCAATAAAATATTTGCCATTGTTCAGTGGTTAAAATTAAAACATAAATCACAAAGCATTCTATGCACCCGACACGTGTAATGTAATTTAATTGTATGTACCGTAATGTCCATAAAATGCACAGCAAATATAAATATTTATTTTTCGCATTTACTTATTCATTAATGTTTAAAATAATAATGATTTACAAATTTGTCCTTGTTTTATCTCAATTTTCCAGCTCTAGTGCTTTTGAGTAAAAAAAAATAAAAAAAATGTATGCCAAATTTAACACCTGTTCTGTTACTGTTTTTTTACCCCTTAACTACTTTGGGTCAGACGACGCACCCTTGTTTTATTATTATAATTATGTTTTTAAAAAAATTACGGTAAAACATGAAAAAATGTGATAAAATAATTAAAATAACATAATTTAACTATATTATCAATATTATTAAAACAATTTAAATCCATTGAAATCGATGATTGAAAATGAAATGATTCGAATCCACACTCCACACTACCGGGCCTAATTAGGGATTTATGCTAATTAAAATATTTTATAAAAATACTAAAAAGTGGGCTTTTTAACACAAAAACGCATATTTCATACCACTTACTATAGATTAAGATCTTATTTACGAAGTATTTCAATGTAAAATAAATACTTAAAGGGCTTTTGCACGCTCCTCTTTTATGTGAGCTCGCTTTTACAACATGATTGATCTATGGACATTGTTCCATCGCTGTGTTCTTGGTTTTTATACAAGTTTTTCATTTATCAAGATGGCGCGCATTATGGTTGGATTCGGACTCGAGCAACCTGCGTGACATCTGTCTGCCGAGCTGATGCTAACTTGCTTAGAAACTTTTCCAATGGACTTTCTTGACCAATAGTTCTTTAACTTATTTTCTAAAAAGTCCAAATCTATTAAATACACAATAATTTTATTTATTCTCATAGTTTCAAAATGGAAGGAAGGGTAAGTAACTCTCTTACTCTTACTCCGTAAGTCCTAGAATCTTAGTTTAAAAGTAATTTTTAAAAGACACTTCTTGTCACTTAAACTACCTTGCCATTTAGGCTCTAATGAATTAGTTAATCACTAAAGTTTAAAATAATAAAGTTCATTTCAAAAACACGCTTCATCCCCAAAGGCTCGAAGCGCGGTACAAAGTCAACAAAAAACATATCTATAATTTACCACATTTAAAACAAACGCAACACTACAAAAACTAATTACAAGCATACAATCTCAAAGTCTTTCTAGCCATTTCAACCCGGAGCAACACAGCCATTATGCATTAACTGGAAAATAAGGTAGACAATCATCCCAGAAGGTATTTGTGAAATAGATGTGTCTTTAGATCGGTTTTAAAGGACTCCAGTGTCTGGTTGTTTCTAAGATCGACAGGAAGGGCGTTCCAAATTGTTGGACCAGCAAATGCGAAAGTGCGCTTTCCGTAAGTCTCAAGGCAAACACGTGGTGTCGAGAGTTTGCCACTATCGGATGAGCGGAGCTCTCTACTGGGTACATAAGGCGTCAGCAGCTCTTTCAGATAGGACGGCGCCAGGTCATGTAAGCAGCGGTAGCACAAAGTTGCGATTTTGTACTCTATGCGAGCACGCACCGGCAGCCAATGCAACTCTCTCAGAAGTGTTTTTGCATGGTCGAATTTGCGTTTGCGGAGAACAATGCGAGCCGCATTATTCTGTGCTATTTGAATTTTATCCAGGAGCGTAGCTGGAAGACCCACCATGAGAGCATTGCAATAGTCCATGCGTGATAGCACAAATGCAGACATCAGCCTCTTTGTTGTATCAATTGTTAGGAAGGGCCTATTTTGACTAATCCTGCGCAGCTCCAGAAAAATCGCCCTGCATAGCATGTTAATATGACTATCAAAAGTTAGTCTTCTATCTAGGTAGACACCCAGGTACCGTACTGTTTGAGCTAACTCAATACGCACACCTGAGAGAGTAATGGATGTCGTGTTATTTGCAGATTTCTGCTTCTGAGCGGTCGCAATGGGGAGCAGCTCAGTCTTATCATCATTTAATTTGAGCTTGTTAATGGTCATCCAGTGCTTAACCGACTCCATTGTCTTCTGTGTAATACTGAGCAGCTGAGGGAACTGAGAAGTGATCACGGATTGATGAAGTTGTATAATACTAATATACTTAATCATATAAGCCCTATTGATGCCTTTTTTAAAATTATAGTTAGGCTATAGATGGTATGCTACGGCTACAGTATTATAGAGTCAATAGAATAGAGTATACTTCATTAATTTAACATCCAGTAGGGGGTTGGTGGTGTGTTTGATTAACTAAATTCATCTAAAATGGGGGGGGGGGGGCAGATATCATCAGGCAGTGATAGTTAGTGCTAACTTTTCTTTTTATTTGATTTCTAAAGCTTCTTTGAACAGCCCCAATTGTTCATGTAACATAGCCCATTAATGTAACTTAATGATCTCTCCATTTTTTTTGGGGCATTTTACTATCACTAATACTATTAATACTGACCATATTTGTGCACTACTTTTTTATATGGTCGTCATCTTTTTTGCCATGACAGCAGATTAAGATGATGGCAATGTCAAAAAATGTATCGCAAAATTGGAGAAGAAAGGTGTATATGTTTTAGCTAATTTAATACTAATAGAAACAAATGAAAAAAAGGGAAAATGATGACAATGCGTTATTTTTTAAAGAAATAAATGTTTAAAAAGACATTACTTAAAATTTGCATAGAAAAAAAAACGAATTGTCTACACGTCCGGCGCGCCGGACAAATAGTGCGCAAGATATACGTCCGGCGGTATGTCACGTGACCGCCGGACGGCTAGTAGTTTTTATAATTCCGAACGAAGTACAGTTTGGTAGATCTTGTGTGATCTAGTGGTAGAGTGGTCGCTTGACGATATTATGATTTGTGGATCAATACAGGGGATAGGATTGGGTTTTTTTTCTCCCATTTTAATTTAAAATATTTTATACTATATTTATATTATCTTGTTCATTAGCAACAGTAGTTTCATGAGAAGTTTTTAAATATTTTGTAGCAATTTAAAATGAAATCTTTTACTTTTATTGGTTGCCTACTCCAAACTGGCCCCTAATTTATTTTATGGATTACTGGTGCACAAACTCAAATAACAAACTAAACAAAAATGTTTACAAGCCACTTTCACTTAAGTTTTTTTCTATTATTTGCATTCAAGATACTCAGTACATTACTTGGTAGAGAAATAGATTTTAAAATTAACAATAGTTTTGAATCATTCGCAGTCACGTAACAAGGCTGACCGACAAGATATCTCTCGCCACTTTGTTACGGCGGTCATGTGACTTGGTCGCCGGACAAATAGTGCGGGAGATAGACGTCCGGCAACAATAAAGAAAAGAAATGGAAAAATGTTGAAAATCAACACATCTGGACAATTTTTTTTAATTTTTAAATTAGCAAAATGTTTCTGTAAAGCCCTAACATCTATAAATCTACTTAATGTGAATGCTAAATCAGTATCTCTAACTCAAGTGTAAATTTATCCTGAAATTTAGTTCACCCTAGCCCTAACTTAAGCGTAAATCTTCAAACCTAAATTCTATGACCTAACACAAACCTTTAACCATGTGTTTGTGTTACATACTGTACAAAAAAAAATGTAAATTTTAATAAAAAGATAAAAATTATTTTAAAATATTTAAAATAATGGAAACACAACTTACAGTTTCAAAGATACACTTTTACTCACTTATTACAAGTTTCACCGTAAATCATATCAATTGATTATAATTCCTATTACAAGTTTCACTGTAAATCATATCAATTAATTATAATTCCATTGATGAAAAGATCAGACTCAAGCAGCAACCTTGTTTTCAAATACCGGTATTACTTTAAAATAACATTTCTTTGACTTAATATTTTTTAAAAGTAAATAGTTAACCCTAGTTAAAATCTGTGACTAAACAAGGGGAGCTCACTCATATGCAGAAACTCGGGTGAGTAATAAAGTGTAAATTTACCAAATAGACTAATGGTAGTAATAGCCATATTCTAGCATTTCAGTCAGAAAAGTTCAAATTTAATTTATGAAAAGAATATAACATTATATGTCATATACGCAAACAGAGTTTGAGTTTATTCATAGGGTAGTCGTACACAAACACACATACCAAATGAGTAATAAAAGCCCTAGGCTTACATCTATAAATGATAAGTAAATTCCTTAAAAAAATAAAAATAAATTGAAAAATGAATAAAATAGGGGCTACTCCATTTCATTTATATTAAATTTACGACACTCAACTATAATTTAATCAAAGTTAGGCCTATTGTAAAAAATTTATTGAAGTCACGTTGATATTTAAGCACTATTATAGAAACCAAATAGTCTGTCCGAACAGTCAGGTTATGGTACCTTCATCATTGAGTGTTGCTGTTACTGTTGTAGGCTAACCAAATTATGGATGATTTATGGATTTTGCTATCCGATATTAGGCTTTCAATACACATAATAATAAAAAGTACGATATTTTATTATATGTCTATTGAAAAGAAATCTATGTTTCACTTTAGACTCTTTATGCCTTTTAATTTTGAATTTTTTTTGTGTTGATTTTGACCTATTTGTAAATTTTCAGACTTGATTATATTTATACACTAATTGTAAATTTTGACTGATTTATTTATTTAACAAATATTCTGGAATGTAGAGTCCATCATATGAGTCATATTTACAACATGGAGACGCCTTAAATCCACGTGCTGGAGAAACAGCTAAAATATTTAAAAGACGTAGCTCAAATGTCATTCTTCAAAAATGTGAGTTATGATGAAGGAACTTTTATTGTTTTATTATAAAATTATTGCATTGTTCTAGATTTTGTAATATTACAATGATTTACAGGAATTCATCCAAACTGATTAAAGATAAAATATGCTTTTATTTATAAAATGTTTTACAAATTGATATTCTTAACTTTTAAAATATACTCTTATTTTTTTACACTTTTATTCCAGCTATTCAACTTTTGGATGAAGCAGTGTCACCCTATGTTAATAGAGCATCGAGAACTCCCCGTACATTTAGGAATGCACCATGTAAGAGTCCATTCTATGTTTTAAATTGTTTGAAATTTAAAAATGGATTTGTAGACATTTTTTTTTTACTGCAACAACTTCATTCCAAAGACACTTGTTTGCTCCCTTCATGAGTCATTGAGATTATGCCTAATTAGGCTTTTCTAACCCCAAGTGTCTCACTGGACAGATGGTGTGAGTGCTGCTTCTTTCATGAGATACTGGTCTGCCAACTGTTATTTTAACCTTGGCTGGACAGATTGCTAAATATTGTCTGGCCTTCTATCTATACTACATTGAAACATACCACAATGTTGATAAAATATTTTCTGGGTCCTCTTGACTGCCCCTTTCTTGCACTGTTGTCTAGGGATTCAATAATTATCATCACAAAACTCTTCTCACCAGAGTCAGCCTAATACTTGTGCACAATACAGCAACACTTAAATAAAACTTCAGTTCTTCTTTAAACAAAATTCAACAACACAGAGTCAATACAACACCACTGGTCACTTTCTAACTTCAAGGACATGACACACACTGATGTAGTGTTACTCTGACTACCAACACTAAAACATGAACTCCTGGGATACTATACATCAAACTCCTGGGCTACTACCACAACTAATTGTGAAATCTGGGCATCCAATGATCGTCTTGCTCACATACCTTAAATACCCTCACACTTGTTTATTTCTCTACACCTCTCAACCAATGACAATTAGACATAAAAATACAACTCAGACGCTCAAGTGATGCTGATAATTTTGCACAAAACACAGTGATTCTCATCCCTCAAACAGATTTAAGATCAACTTTTATCTCTTTTTCCATAAACAGCCTCCTCTTTGCTACAGTATGTTATTGTATATTTGTGAATATGTAAATATTTTCCTAAATGGCGGCTTAATGAAGTTTTCCTAAATGGCGGCTTAATGAAGTTAGAGAAAGCAAACCAATTTTTAAAATACAGACTGTACCTTTTCCTAGTCACTAAATAAATATTTATTATTAAAGGCTGTCAAAGTTTTAAATTGAAGCTAATTTTCATTCTACAGTTTCACCTATTAGACATGACTCCAAATCTGAACCTGATGCAAGTTTATTCTATTTCACACCTGCCAAGAAACCTGCTCCAGTTCAGTCACCTGTAAGTAATTTTTTTTTATAACATTTATTTTGTGCCTTGTATTTACCTAGATTGAAAGCAGTTTATGTTAGCAATCATATGCTGCCTACTTTGTGCCATTTTGGAAAAATGTTACTGTCTGGCATCCATCTGTCTCAATGCACTCTGGGACTCCATAGGTCCCATAAAAAGCCACATTCCGATATTTACGAATCCCATTCCCATCTACTTGTGGTGTTGGGTTTTGTGGTGCTACTTTGGTTCTTGCTTGAGGTTTGAACTCCAGACCATGAATGTCCAGGAGATCAACACTCTTGACTGCACAGCCACTATACCTAAGGTTTTCATAATGCGTTATTTTAACCAACACTTTATAACATTTTTTAAAGGATTTTGACAACTCCTCTGTCAGAGGCGGCAGTTTGCTCCATGTTTCTTCCAGAGTTACATTTCCTGTGGATGAAGCTACTTCAGAGGTATGTGTCTTAAAAAGTATACATTACTCTGTACACAGTCAATTTTTGACAATTAATTATAACTATTCATTCAAATTCAAGTGTTTTTATTAGACTAAGCAAATTGGAAATGTTTAATGCAAAAGAATCAATCTGATTTCTTGCCTAAAATGAAACATCAAAATAAATCATTTGTTCCAATAGCAGGACTTGACTGAACTTAATACCAAGACTGTAGCATTTATTGCTGAAGATGATCCTGGGAAGAAAGGTAATAATCAAATTGATGCTTCTTTATTGTCCAACTTAGGGTAGCACTAATCATATGCCAGGTTTTGGAATTAAAACTTTGTTGTGATTGCAGTTTATCCCAAATTTTATTGCACTAATAGGTAAATTAAAAAAAACTTCTATATCTGGTTGATCATTATTATAAGTATGATGTGGTTTATTAAATTACATGATGGGGAAGCACATGTCATTTTACAAGTGCCTCAAAAGCACAAGGGGCTCCAATAATTTTGATTAAAGCAATTTTTCATTTATTTGCATCAGTTGCATAGCACTAAATTTTGTCAGAAAATCATTTTTCCTCTTAACTAATTTTACATTACATACTTTCTTCAAATTCTACAGCATCTGAAGGCTTATACAGCGCTTTCAAAGAGAGTCTTAAGGACCATCCTACACCACAACAAATCTTTGAGCTTTTGACTGATTATGAATCCCACTGTTCTAAAAATCTCTTAAAAATTCAACATCTCTCCAGAGGTGTCACTCGTAATCAACCCAAGTATGTTTTATTGTTAAGATTTATTAATATATTTAATATTTTGCATCCAAATAACCTCTAATTTATTGAATAATTTATTATAGTCTTTGTCCTTATTTTGTTAATGCATATGTATAGGTGCACAAGATTTGTGACATTTAAAATATAGCAACACATTTCTTTACACTTTGATGCTCCAGTCCCTGAGATAAAAGCTTGCTTTTGAGCTATTATCATTGTTTGTAGTTTTGTTCATATGAGGAATTAAGCATAATGATTTTATTACTTTTGTATTTTAATGACCTTGACATTTATATGTTTCAGAATGAAGAGAACTATGAACACACATGAGGTACTACAGCATGAGAAGAATACCTGGAAGCTGGTTAACTCTTTGTACAAAGACAGATTAGACACTGAGGCCAGAGAAGACAACCTAGGTTTAGATGATGAAGATGATGACTTACAGTTGTCAACAAAAACTTCGGTATCTCTTATTTTATCTAATAAAGCAATATTTTTTTTTACTGAAGACAAAAGGTCATTAAGGATTTGCAGTTAATCCTATGTATTTTTTGTTGTTCTCGATGCAGTTATTGTTTTTTATTTGGAAGCAAAGTAATAAATATTAAATGCAGTCGTAGATTTAAATTTGTTGTAACAATGTTTATGTCTTTGGTTTTAACAGGTATGGGCACTAAGTGAAAAGAATATTGCTAATCATCTCTTTGAAAAGGAGTCTCTTGTTAGACAGAGTCAGGTAAAATTTCTACTTCAAAAATTCATAATAACTCCCCAAACTAAAGTCATCTAAAATCTTGATTCATGTTTTTAAAAAATTGTTAATGATTGGAACACAAAAACAAGATAAAAGCATTAGGACTTCTCCAGTAAACTTTTGCAGCCAAGTGTACTTAGGTTTGCTAGGGGACATGAATCAGTGTGACAAGATTTTTTATACATCAGGCAGGCAAGTGAAAGGAAAAAAGGAGTGCAGAAGTAGTTTAAGAAACAATTTAACATAACAGATTAATTTTAGGGGAAACTTATTAAAAAACATTTACTGTATACAAGTACTTGTAAGAGAACTGTAATTTATATTTTATGTTGAAATAATTTTACTTAAATTAATTTTATCAACACTAGTTAGCTGTTAAATGTTTATTTCATTTTTTAACTTGTTGACTGGGCTATGATTTTGCAGTTGGTGATTGACTGGTTGGAAACCTGTACTTTAGAAAACATAGACACTTTCACGAAGAATGCAAAATTTTTTATGGATCAGCCTGTGGCTTGGTAAGTTTCTCAATACATTCATGAGTTGTGCTGAAACTGCCACTGGAGCACACCTTTTAAGATATATTTTTTAAAGCATACATGGTAGAATTATAAAATGTTATTGGTCTCTCTAATTTATAAAAACACACTTTTTTTTCGCATAGGGAGAATACTTTGCACAATCTTCAGAAGTCAAAACAAGACCATCGCCTAGGTTCTGGCAGATTCATCACAGAAATGGTTGGTTAATTTTTTTGTTGTTGTTGGAATTTAAGTATTAAACCTGAGATCTTGTATAGAATATTATATATTATAAACAAGAATTTATTCATTTGTTATTGCTATTTATCAACTTTTTTTTTTAATTAAAAAAAAATTGAAGATTTTCATTTAAATTATGTTTTAGAACTTGCATTATTTTTGAAGTACTCATTTTTGCATTTGATGCATACAATTTTGATTTTGAAAATTTATTAGGATCCTGATGCTCCACACAGACAAGGGAAACCACTAGATGACCTTGATCAGGAAGATGAGACATTTTTTATTGAACATCTTTTTATATGTTTGAGGGCAGGACAGCTGGAAAAAGTATGTTATCTTTAAAGCTGTATCCTTTTGTATATAATTTTAATCTTTTGGCAAGTGCTGAAGCGTATAGCATAGATACCAAAGAACTTTACACATTAGAAACAAATAGTACTGAGTGCTATAAAATATTTTTTGGGGCATTTTTAGGCCCAAGAGCTATGTCATCGTTTTGGTCAACCATGGAGAGCAGCAACATTAGAAGGATGGCGTCTGCTTCATGATCCTAACTACTATGGAACATCGCTGAAATCAGATGTGGCACTTGTAGAAGGGAATCCATACAGAGATGTTTGGAAGAGAGTTTGCTGGCAAATGGCTTCTGAGGTTTGAGTGGACTCATGTTCTTATTTTTAATCTCATTTGTAAACTTATACACAATTAACACTTTTTATCCACATAACACATCTATTAAATTTATATATATCAACATCTTATTTAGATCTCAGCACTGTGTAATTTTAAAAAATGTTGTTAACATTGTATTTCATCGCATTGTATTTCTACAACATTGGCCTAGTCAAGCTTTGGGCTCATTTATGCATCAATATAAATAGCAATGATTCAGACCTGTTTACTCTTATGATTTTGGTGTACAATGTACGATTTTGAGGTGTACACCTTATAATATACTGTATGTTTATTTTTTTATTATTAAGATAATGTATTGAACGATTTTGTGATGATATTGTACGATTTTAAGAGTTTGAGGTCAACAGGTCTGATGATTGAATTCCAGTGATGTTTTTATTTGGTGCAATCACTAATTTGCGATATCTTATATTTTAATAGCTGACTCTTTTTTTTTGTCAGGGAGATATGAATCGTCATGAGCGAGCAGTGTATGCCACACTCAGTGGAAATCTCCATGGTTTGTTGCCTGTTTGCTCAACATGGATGGATTATGTTTGGGCTTATTTCAAGGTATAAGTTCTTTTTTGAATGTTCACTTTAAGTTGCACTATTATTACAAATTAATTTATGAGAAAAAATACAAGCGCCTGTCATTTGGATAATTTTACAACTTTCCAGGTAATGGTAGATGTCAGAGTAGAACAGGAAATTCGGCTGCATTTCAGGACACCCAGAAACTTGGACAGTTTGCCAGAAAAATTTACTGAAGCTCTGTATGTATATTTTAAGTTTGTTAGTTTGTTTTGGAATTGGTTAAAACTCACAAGATACTTTAAGCTCATCAAGAATCGGATGGTCCGCAATAATGAAATTGTGCAACAGACAATAAAAGTCTTATTGATGAATCGACACTTCAAGAATCCACTACTACTTTAGACATTTTCAGTAGTTACCTTGGGAATCCTTCTTGCTTTTTGCTACCAAAGATTCACAAAGTGGGCAACCCTTGATGACCTATTGTTGCGACCTGCTCTTGTCCCACTGATCACATTTCAGAATTTCTGGATGGGTTCTTTCAGCTTTTTGTTACCTCTTTACCCACTTACATAAAGGAAACAAACTACACTTTAAAAACATTTAATTCCCTAAAATTTATCCCTGATACAAAACACTGTTTTTACTAAATGTCTGTTCCTTACACATTTATTCCACATGCTGATGGTCTTAGTGCTTTGAGATTTTTCCTTGAAAACAAACCACATCCATCCATCCGAAATGAGACTATTAACCGACTGGCTGAACTGGTACTCACCCTTAACTCCTTTGAATTCAATGGTCATTTCTTTGACCTAATAGTGGCGTGGCCATGGGTGAAAAAATTGGCCTAAGTTAAGCCTGCTTTTAATGGATCATTTCAAATATATGGTAGAGAATGCATATATGTGCCATATTCCAGAATTTTATAAGAGATATATTAATGAGATCATTGGCAACACTACCATGGAAACAAATGAACTCCAACAATTAATTGAGTTTTTGAACTCACTCCACCCATCCATAGAATTTACTACCTGAATCTCTGGGCTTTCTGACAACTTTCTGGATATTACCCTAATATTAAAAGAAAATGGATTATTCACATCTGCCTATTACAAACCCACAGACAGTCATGGTTACCTCTTGTACTCATCCTCCCACCCCAAATTATGCCAAGACCTCATACCTTTACCCAAAATTCTCAGACGTTGCCCTGCCAGTTTGATGAAGATTTTTAAATAGGGCTAATGAAATGATGGACTTCTTCCTCTCAAGAGCTTATTATGAAACTACTCTTGTCTTGGCACTCACTCGTATCAGCACTACGGTATCAAGGGAAATGATGCTTTCAAACCTCATCCAAATAAAAATGAAGATCAAACCAAATTCATTCTAACCTGCCACCCTCACAATGTGATGGCCAAAAAAATATTCATAAAGAATCCACACATACTTTTGTTGACACCAGCAGGGTATTCTCTTCCCCTCCACTTATTGTCTTCAGATGGGACAAAAATGTAGGTGACCTTCTGGTTGACAGTCACCTTTAATCTGACCTGTCTCACATTGGGACTAAGCCTTGCTCAAGAAGCTGTTGTACAATCCAAATCAAAAAACATTAGCCTCCCTAAGAGCACTTTAACAATCAAAGAGGACTTCACGTGAGTTTGTCCAAGTGTGATCTATGCCACTGTGTGCATTAGATGTCACTCCTTTTATATGGGCGAAACGGGACGAAGATTATCTGATAGGTTCACTAAATCTTCGAAATATTGAACAGGGCAAAATTTCCCCAGTCTCATTCCATTTAACTGAGATAAACACAAAGGGACATCAGATGTTTCCATTACGGCGCTGATATCCTGCACTAACACACCAGTGAGAGTTAGTGAGGAAAAGAAATTAATTCAGATTTCCAGCACAAACCATATGGAATCAATCAAATACTCTGAACTAATAGTCTCCTAATAGTGATCCTCATTTTCCCTGTATTTCTTTTCTTATTTCATATATTTTACATATTTCCAAAATATTTTTGTCCATCAAAATCTCATTTATCACAGTAATGATACATACATTCTTTTAATTCCTGTAAACTTTTGGATAGAACACATTTTGGTTTAGGAAAACCCAATAAAATTAATGGCCAATTTCAAAATTTTTTCAACAGTTATCTATTTCTTGTTTTCTTTTCATTATCACATTTTGAATTGCCATTCAGAATCTAATAATATATCATGTTAATCTGTCCTTGTGGGAACAGTTGGGAAACCATTTTAAAAACAGATCACCAGTTTAAAATCAGATTCAGAAAACTGATAACATTTCTTCCATACAAAAATGATACCACCATCCCTAATACTAACAACACTAGGCTACCCATATAAATTTAAATTATTTTTACGATATAAAACATGGTTATTCAGAGAATAACCTTTCAATTATAATATCTGAAGTTGAAAAGCAATACATTTCACAAGTTTACTGCCCATCACCATAGTCAACATTGCCTGCTGCTAACATTATCTAACGACATTCAAGTACAAATTTTTAAAGTTTGTTTCAAATATAGCTTTTCAAATATTAACTTTTTGATAATCATCATCACTTTCTACATTAATTTCAATAGATTCTACATTGATCTGTTCGATTGTTCCTTCATCTAAATTTGGTAGTCTAGTACTTTTTGTATGAACTTGGAAAACTATTCCAAACTTTGAAAGAATATAAAAACATACAGATTTCACGTGAGAGCAGCAGTAAATTTTTGTAGATGAAGTGAACTTGTGGAGGCCAACATGGCAGATTGGAGCTAGTCGCCAATGTGTTAATTTCTGGGCACCCTCTTAGAGTATACTGCAGTTTTGCTGAAGCAAACCCTTATGCCTTTTAAAACAATAATTTCCAAAGAGCAAGATTAAAAACTATTGGTTTAAGAGTAAGAAACGAAAGAGACTCTTTAGCCCCTTTGCAAGACATTCTGTGAACTGGATTAATGTTTTTATTAACCATAAAATTGTTCAACTAATTTTTCTATAAAAACCCTGAAAATTAAAAAGGCAGTGCAACATTGTCAACCTGTAATAATAACACACAGAGAAAATTTTAAAATTATTACATTGCTTATTTGCAAACTTAACTGGAGTGATTTGTCAAAGTGATTATTTATAAAATAATTCACTGAAAAAATCTGTCAGAGCCAAGTTCAGTAATATTATTAGCGTTTAAAAATAACTTCCAATAATTGTATCATGGTATTTGTAAGCTCTTTTTCGCAGTACTGAAATCACACATGACTTGATAAATGTGCTGTACAGTTTTTTAAAGTTTACTGATTTTGTTGTTTTAATTATTTACTATTACAAAAATATTTGAGATTGGACATCTAAATATTCACCAAAAGGGGATCCCTCCATTTTAAATGTATCAAAATATTTCATGACATGTAAAAAATGACATGCTTGTAGTCTTGTTGCTTTGGTACAAACTTTATCAAAAACAATAATTGGCATAATGGCGGATAATGTCTTTTCCAATAATTTTCCAATTAACTGATGCAACACAAATATTTTAGAGGGATTACTTCCCTTGCTATCACTTAAAATTGGTTATAATTGATAAAATCTGACCATTAAATGTTATATAAAAAAATATTTTTCCTCTAATATTAAAATTAATTTAATGATACCTGATTTTTTAAAGCCTTGAACCACAGGATATCTTCAATGAAATTTCTGCAAGAATAGAGGAGGTAATTTATTTATCTTTTATCTCTAAAAAGAAATATCCCCTAAATTTCACATAATTTACATTCATGTCAATTGACCTAAACAACAAAGATACAGTAAAATTAAATTCATTTTTAGAAAATAATATATTACATAAAACCTAATTTTTCACTAGAAATCCCACAATCTTTTACAGCACATGATGGTTACATAGTTAAACATTTAAACATTAAAAAATAATAAAACTCATGTCAAACATATTGTTTCATGAATTTTGAATCACTTTCAGAACATTCGTATACAATCAGAGATTTCGTACCATGTCATTCAAAAATGTATTATTCTTGGAGACATATCAGGTATTTATATTTTATATATTTTACTTAACAAAAGTTTCTTATTTTTGTATTTTAATTTAGTTTTGTCTAATAATAATAATAATAATAAGTGGTCTTATATAGCGCGGTACCCCGGCCTAGGGCTGGGCTCACCGCGCTGTACATAAATATAGCTAAGAGGCATAATCATAATATTAAAATAAAATAAATAAATGAAATAAAAACAACATATAAGCAAAACAACACCATAGGTATATTCATCCACCCACACCAGACATTTTTACAAGGAAACCCATGTACGTTTATCGGTTTATAGGAGGAGAATCAGTCAGAGTAGTATAGCTTAAATAGATGTGTTTTGAGTGCAGTTTTGAAGGCCTGTGTGGTTGTTATATTGCGGATGTGTAGTGGCAAAGAATTCCATTGTTTGGGGGCGCAGAAAGAGAAAGATCGTTCACCATATAATTTAGTGCGTGTCTTGGGAACGGACAGAATACGCGAGTCTGCGGAGGAGCGAAGTTGTCGAAGGGGTGAATAGACAGAAAGAAGTTCAGTTAGATAGGAAGGGCAGGAATCCGAGAAAAAGTTGTGACAGAGAAGAGACAGCTTGTAGTCAATGCGTGCCTGTATAGGGAGCCAATGTAGTGAGTGGAGTAGTGGAGTGACGTGATCATGTTTTTTTGCCTTAAGAACAAGCCTAGCAGCAGAGTTTTGAACTTTCTGCAGTTTTTCTATAAAATGTTTCGGTGAACCTGACAGAAGTGAGTTGCAATAGTCAAGACGAGAGAGAACAAGAGCACAGACTAGAGTTTTTGTTGCGCTAACTGTCAGGTAGTGGCGGATGGAGCTGATCTGACGGATGGCGGTGTATGCCGAACGACAAATGTGAGAGATATGTTTATCGAGAGACATGTTGTTAGAAAGAATATAACCAAGATTCCTAGCAGAGGGTGTAAACTGTATGTCGGAGTTACCTACTTGAAATGAGGTGGGAAGAGTTGAGGTAGAGGATGATTTGTGATTGTAAATGAGGAGTGCTCTGACAAATGCAGTTACTTTTATAATACAAAACTATCCATAGGTTTAATTGAAGTGATGTACAGATTGTTACAGAAAGATAGAGAGCCAGTTTCAGGCCATCTGCTGCGATTTATGGCACATATTGTCTTATTTCTCAAGACCATTGGAAAAGATTGCAAGGTGAGAGTATGTAGGAGAAAAAAGGGTTGAAATTTTAATTTAGCTATTGTTTTCAAATATATAAAATACCATCCATTTTATAAACATAAATGTATATATATTTTTTTTTTATTTTTTAATATATAGTTTATTTATGGTTTGCATATATTCAAAATTTTTTCCTAAAAAGATTGAAAACCTTTATTTTAAAAAGTATCTTTTTACTGCAGGAAGAACTCTGTGAAGCTATCCTTAAAGCATATGTGGAAGAATTAATTAGAAACAAACATACAAGTTTAGTGGCTCATTATGTTGCAGAACTTAATCCAACAGATCAGGTCCAGTTGTATGCAGCTTTTCTGGAAGGTCAGTTAATACTGTTTCATATTCGCTAAGCTACTTTTTATATTTAGAATTCTTGCTTTAAAGATCCTGCTCTCAGGTTAAATAGATTGTCATTTAAATCTTAAAATTGTCACACTGGCAACTGTTTGCAATATTTGTGACATCTCATTTGAACATCGATAATTCTTAAAAAGACACTCAAAGTGTATATTTTTAAACCAATATATAACTGTTTTATTTATTAAATTAAATTTTTTTTGAACCAGAAATTGAGGCCCAAGAAGAGCGTCAACAGTGCTTGCGTTGGGCTGAGGAAGAAGGTCTGAATATTGCACTAATAACAAAGTCTGTTGTGGAAAGAATCAGATTAAGGGAATCGGCATCTGTGTACCCGGTCACTAGTTTGGCAGTTGACCTAACTATAACTGAAGTAAGAAATTATAAAGTAATATCCATTTGATGACATGCTAGCATTTTAGCTGAGATGAGAAGTTAAACTATGGAACTTATTAATGCTAGCTTAGCTAGCTATAATTTATAATAGAAACAAGGAACCTTTAATTTACAGTATTCTATTAAATCATAAAAAACTTATTTAAATCGTTGTGGAATAAATTGGTTTAGACATTTTAATATTCAAATTTCTCTTAATTATTGTTCAGTAAGTTATTATTTATCTGTGATCTACTTTTCAAAAAAGACATGCATGTTTATCAATGTGATTTTCAATTGTTCAGGAGGATAAGGCAAAGATTGATGCAATTGAATGGCTTGTCTTTGATCAAGCTCACAGACCAGAAGCTATCAAGCAGGCTAATGCTATGATGAGGACATTTATTGGTAAGTTGTTTATTAATCAGAGATATTGAATTTAAAGGTTTTTCTGTAAAATTTCTACAGTTGTTCATATAAAACCATTTTGTTCAATTAATGAGGGCCAAAATTTGACATCACATTTAGCAACTTTACTAGGATACAAGTAATCTTTCATTTGTAAACTTATTCATTTTAGTTATCATAATTTTTTTCCCTTAAGTATCTGCAGTGGACAATAATTGAGGTTTAAGGAAAACATGTTTAAAACCTAATTTTATTTTATTTTTTACATTGGCTTTTATACTTGTGTGTTGCTTAAGACTTAAATTTTTTTAGAGAATTTAAAATGTTTAAAGTAAGATTTCAAATAATCTTTTCTACACAGCTGTTAAGAAACATGCTGCTGCACGACAAGTTTTTGAAAAGTTGCCATCTGATACCATTGACATCATTTACAGACTCTGGCACATGAAGGTCACTTGCAAACATAGCGATAACTTCAAATGACTGCTAGAAAACAATATAATTAAAAATTTAACTAAAACCTTTATGGAAGTTAAGCAGGAGGAGTATACCTGTACCAAGTGTTCATTATAGATATCTGCTAAGTGAAAAAATAAACTATAGGTCTGTGTATCAAACTGTATTAACAAAGAGGCAGTTACTTTGTACCGGGGTATTTAATAAAAATTATACAAGAAGCCTCCGACAGCAAAAATACAGACAGAAACACTTAGCTGGTATAGATATGTAGTTGACAGGAAGTAATAGACATATTCAATTTACAACCGAAGTGTTTGTCTCTATATTAATAAAGTGTAAACATATCATGTTTAATAGCAATCTATATATATTTATTATGAATTTTTATTTAATTTAAAAATGATTTGTTTTATTTTTTTCAGACTGGCTCTAATGATCTTCCAGCTGATGACAGCAATGCTATCAGAGAATACATGTGTATGAAGGCTTACCTTGTAAGTTTTCCTTAACGATTATTTTCTTTATGATTCAACTGATTTTAAAAAAATATTTTTTTTTAAGTTTTACCTTTTTTTTCCACGTTAGTTAAATTTAATAATCTCTTAATCTGCTATTAGACACTAAGACAGACCATATGAAAAAATCTTACTTTCATAACCTGATGTTTATTTTACTATGGTCAGGATGCTGTAGAAAGTTTTAATGACTGGTTCAGCTTATACCACCAAGGACAGCCATTAAAGCCTAATGGTTTAGAAGGTGGAAGTTTTACAGACCGAGTTGCATTTGAACATAAGATGAAACAGTACCAGCAAGAGTATGATAGATGGATGCATAATTTACAAGTACAGACAAGGGTATGCTATTATCAATTTTATCACAATGAAAGTGAAGGTTTTCTTTGATAAAGTAGTGTTCAGAAACCTTTTTTTTACCTGTGTTTTAAGGAATTACTTTACTATTTTACTTCTCTGCTGGATCTTTAAAGATTTATATAGATTTATATATATATTTATAAAGGTTTATATGGATCCCTTTGTGTTACAATAAAATGGGTCTTCATTATTGTTAAACCGTCAAAGTATCTTTATGTACTGGTACTGCAAGTATTACCTTTGAGTAATTTAAAACATCAATTAAATCAAGGGATTTCAATATTTTTTTTTCAAATCTGATTTTAAAGCGATCATTCTTTCGCAAGCTGATAAGGGTGAATTTCTATGATCAAACAGCAAAATCTGCTTTATTTGCTGATGAAAAAACTGCTTTCTATAATTTCTAAAATTAGATGATCTTTTAACTTTTTGCATAAAAAAATATATAAAGTAGTACCAATAGAGACCCACAAAAAACGATGTTTTATCAGATATCAGCGTTGGTAAATTTTCAATTTTAATAGGTTTCTTTAATTTATAATATTAATTTAAAAACAATTATTAAAAATTATTATGTAAAAATAAACAACAAAAAATCGTTTTCAAAGGCCAATTATTGGTTATCTGTTATTCATTCAACATCTTTAGTTAAATCAAAGGGGATTTATAGGAATTAAATTATTTTTTTAATACAGAATTTAGTTTGTGAGAAGTTAATCAGTATGAATGCTTAGCAACCTGCCTTTATGTAAAATAAAAAAAATATAGAAAAATGTCTTTTGTTTTGAAACAGACAACTCGAGACAGGATCTACAATGTTTTATTGTTTACTGATGGTGGATGGCTTGTTGATGCATTCGAGGTGAGGCTTTTTTTAAATAATTTTTTTTTTTTAATTAACCTAATGACTGCCGATTTATTTTGAAACCACATCCACAGATTTATGAAAAAATACATTTTAACCACTTTTTATTCATCAAGTATCAAATGAAAAGCTATACCATATTTTAGATAATCTGTTGAGCTTTTGTAACTCGGACTAAAGTCTAAATATTCTTTTTAGAATCTGGACCCAGATCAATCTCGGCTTGATCAAATGAGCCGTCTGCGAAAGCTTCATCTTCCTGCTCTGTGCCTCAATCTTCACAGTGTTCTTCACTCCAGTCACTTTTATGCCGAGGCAGTCCAGATAGCTGATGTTTTGGCATCAGAGCAGTACCAGTTGTACAAGGTAACATTATTTGGCACACAATATTTTAAGATTCATTTTTAAATAATTGAAGCTTTCATTTGCAACAGTTGTTCAAATGATTAGATGGAACCCTTTGATACAAATAGTTTTTCTTCATTCCCATGACTATTTTCCCCTTTGATATTTAAAAAGTGTTTATTTACTGCAGCCATTAGCAATGCAATAATATTGATATGAAATGGGTAGGTATTGGATCAGAGGTTTGAAACTATTTAGAAGGTTACTTGAAAGCTTGGAGGGCTCCTGGTTTAGATGTTACAATACAGCATGATGAATAATTTCACAGGAAATAACATTATGAATTATAATAATCTATTCTTAAAATGTCGTCATGTTTGGTGTGGGTTTTGGGGGTAACTTTATTTTTTTTCTTGTCAAAAGGTAATCTAATAAAAGTTTATAAATTTGCATCAACAGGAATTTGACAAAGAGTCATTGAAGCATATTTTGATACAGATCACCAAATCATCTCTAGCACTTCTGGATGAAAACAAGGATCCCCTGGGTTATGAAGTTGTATGATACGAATGGGTCAATATTGTCCAGTTTTGCTTTGCTTTAGTAAAACATTCAGTTGATTTTCTATGGAAAAATGTTTTAAATGTAATAAATTTCATTGTAATCAAAGATTGTTTCATTATTTAGTTTAAAATTATCAGTTCATTTGTATTTTTTCAGAATGCTGTTTATGGAATTTTTATGCTTTAGGAATATATGTAAAAAAATGTAACCAATAAGGTTCTGTTTTGCAATGATTTTACACAAAAAATAAATTTCTTACCACAATTCATTTGGCATTCATCTTCTTTCGAATGGCATTTTAATTAATATATGCCAAGTCTTAGACTTAACACATCTGATGTATTCTTCCAGGAAAATAGTTAAATGTAGAATTTACTTATTTTTAAAACATGAATGTGTCATTGACAATTAACATCACAGAAAGACCATTTGTAACATATTCAAATAGATTCACTATATCCAAAGACAATTTTTGTCAAATTTAAAACCAAGCAGTGTTCCTTTAAAAATATATCATGTCCATTTGGATTAAATATATAAATATTTTAGTTGTTTTACCGCTATTTATTTGTGGGTATTAGATGACCTAGATCTTTTAATTAATTAATCATTTTTTAAACTTGTCCTCAAGTTTAAATTGTCCTGGTTATAACTCAAGACAAACGAGGACTTACAAATGACCTGGACTTGCAACTCACAACTGATTAGTAGAGATGTTATAAAACCAGTACTAAACCAGTACTAATACAAAAAATAAGATGGAAACTACAATCAGGTTGAGCAATAGGAATACAATGCTGTATGACTTGACAAATACAATGTTGGGCACATATATGTTTGCATTGTTGCAAGTAAGTGTTCTGTGACACAGTTGTTACTATTTAATCATGGAAATATGAATTCTCACAACTTGTATGCCCCATCAATCGTGATCTTGACACGTGGAATGAAATTAGCAATACTGCTGTGTGCATGACTTTGTGATTAGTAAAGAACATTGAGATTTATAGTCATATGGCTATAACAACTCTGAAGTTTTGGGCAGACATTTGTTTTATACTTTTTTAGCACATTTTGGAAAAGTGCGTTTAAAAAAAAATAATTTTATATTGTTTTTTTTAAAGTCTTCTAAGATGTAATAGGAGATCTAGCGTCTAGGAGATGGGGTGCCTATGAGATTCCAACAAATGAAAATTAAGTGGTGACCATGCATAAAGAAATTCTGTTGTAAAATCCTGATGTCCCTACCACTTTCCATTTCTGAGATATCCACAGAGGTCATTCAAGGATCAGTGGAGGTCACTGATCATGAAGTGTTGTATTGTAATTGGGTGTCTGTGTGTAAGTGTACAAAGTTTCAGCTCAGTTGGAGATCAGGAAAAAATTTAGATGCAAGGTTCCACCACAAACCAATAAACAAAGGGACAGAGCAACCTAAGAAAAGTGGTAAAAAAAGAATGCAACTAAAGCCTTTCTGAAAGAAGAAAATTTACTATCCTGTGCTGGAGATGATTGTTCTAATGTAGGAAATGTATATCTACATAAATTTAATTAATATTTTGTCACACCATGCCAAACAACTTGTAGACACTAGAAAACAAACAATTTAACATGGTAATGAAAGTTTTATTGTTAATATCAAGGAGATTCTGAAAACTGCACAAAAACACACTAAAATAAATTATGTAAAAATGCAGCGTTTTGAATTATTGTTGCTTATGATGCAACCAGTACATAATCATCAAAAGGAAATGAGTAAAACAAAGGTTTGCACATACTTTGTTTTACTCATCTCCTTCTTTGCTAATCTGATTGCATTCTCTTCCCCTTATTACCATTATCATCAAATCATACTACAAATAAATGTTAGTAACATATTGTCAGTCAGTGTGTGTTGAAATGACAGCCATTCATAAAGGATATAAATCACAATGTCAATCCAAAAGGAAGTCTCTGCATTTTTTAAAAATATGGATTGACATATTTTTCATGTTTGAATGCATGGAATCATACAACATAAGAATGATTGACATCAAAAGATTACTTTTATTACACATTTCGGTCATAGGCTATTTATTATTACAGTTAACTTGAATAATAAACAGTAATAAAAGCTATTCTTATTGTATAGGTACCAGCAAGAAAAAGCTTTACATTTGTAAGTACAAAATACTTGTTTTTAAGTTCCCAGATAAAATTTATTGATACCAATGTTCATGTTCTTGCAGATCATAATCATGTTGATTGAATTTTATTTTAAAATGTCAACAGAGAATCCCACAAACAAAGAAAACATAACATTTACCCACTAAAATTGAAAAAAAAATTTTTTGTTGAGAAATTGCTTGAAAATTACTGGTTCCAGGTAATTACAAAACCTAAAATTACTAGTTCTAGTCCTTTTTGCTATAATAATAATTTTGTTTTGTTTAGAATTTGGTTTCAGCAATTTTGCAGATATAGTGGAAAAAATATGTGCACATTCTAAAATACAAGTATTTGGTTCCAATAAATGACAAATCTTTAAAATAATATGTTAAGATAAGTTCCAAGATGATGGAAAGCCTCAGAGGAAACTATTGTTCTACAATAATGTCCTTTGTATAATCAAAATCATGTAATAAAGTAAACTTTAAACAAGTACAAGAAAGAAGCAAATGATTAGGCAGAAATCATGAGAATAATTGCTGTCCAGTCACATTTTATGTCTTATTAAAAAATTGGCATCATTTCAAAATCATGGGGCATGGAGACATGTAATCATTCCAACAAAGCTACATCTTACAGATTGAGTGGTCTTATAGCCTAGTCATAATGACCATGACTACCAGAGTTCACATTTTAAATGTCAATAGTCAATACTTAATTTAAATCAAACTATAGTAAAACTAATGCAAAAGTAAAAAAACGGCTCTTAAAAAGGTCATTCTTCATGACTCACAAAGTCCACTGATAATGTCACATTTAAAGTGATTATATATCCATTCTAGTCAGTATCTTTCTAAAGGACCTAAGATCTCAGGTACTTAATTTCCTATTTGATGAATGTTAGCTTTAGTGTCTGTCTCCTGGCCTCTGACAAATATTCCTCCAGTCCCTCTCATTCGATTCAATGCATGCCGATGACGAGATTCATAAAGATATTTCTGAAAAGACAATGTCAAAATGGATAATAATAATAGATTGAGAGAAAAATAGTTAAGACACCTCAAACCTGATCACGTTCACAATCCTCTACAAATAAAAACTGCAACACATTTCCAAAGTATACAAACGTTTCGAGATATATTTGATTCTTAAATTATTTGGAAACTGATTGGTTTCACAAGTTATTTTTCATCTTATGTAAAATAAGCAAATCACTAACAAGTGACTTCAATCACATATCAAATACCTGTCTTTCCTTAGGAATTTTGCCTTCTGATTCCAATTTAGCTCTAGCCTGACGTCTCTTTAGGATTCTGTGGTACTGCTTAGCATTAACATAAAGTGGCTCATCACCAGTATCAGTAGTTGGCTAATGGGGGGAAAAAAAAAAAGGAGAAATAAATCCAAAGTACTGGTGTAGAAACAACTAACCACAGTCACCTAGAGATCCCATGTAAATAATAAACCCTTTATGACCCTGTGAAATAAGGTTGTGCATCATTAGTTTATGCATCAAAGAACAACCTTACCAAATGTTACACTTTTTTTAAAGTACCCGGTACCGGAGTTAAATATACCGGTGATCTTACATGTCTTACCATTTGTATAGGTTGTCCTGTTAGAGGTGCTGCAGGCAAATTTATCACTTGAATACCTGATGTACAGTAAATATTCATAAAGAAAAATAAACATGGGGAATTAACTAAAAAAATCATCTTGTGGCAATTAACTACACGTTAATAATAATGTCTTACACTCTTAATTAATAATTGTGAATGAAATAGTTTCATATACTAACTTAAGCCCTAAATGTAAAAAGAAAAAAAAAAAGCTGTGAAAGTAACATTACCCTGAGGTAACTGAACTGGTTTATTGTTTGCATCTACAAGAACATAGGATGTCTGTCCGTTTATTGAAACTTGGTTTAGAAAAAGCATTTGAGGAATGCCAACAGTCGCCACAGCGTTGAGATTTGAAGATGAACTTGCAATCGTTGGAGTTTGAGATGGTTGCACTGCTTGGTTTTGATGAACAACATTCTGGAGAACATTGGATTGAACAATTGATTGGACCTGAAAATTAATTGTAAACATTTTAAGAAGTGCTCCATCATTTAAAAATTAATATTAAAATTTTTAAAAGTATATCTTTGGGGTAGGGTATGTGTGTGTTAAATAAAAACTTATTTCCTGAGAAGCACCACTTGAGGGAAACAGTTAAATTATTATATGTTCTTTTACGGCTGTACATCATAATTTAATTAGCAATTATCAACCAATACTTTAATAATTTCTTTGGTTTAAGAAATAACTATTTTAATGATTTTATCTCTAGCTCATGTATGTATTAATGTATGTAAAAGACTTCAAGCTGGATAACTTAAAAAGGCAACCTGAGGGTTGGATGCAAATGAAGAATTGGTGATGACTTGAGCTTGGCCCCCATTTGTCAGTGTTTGGAATCCAGCCGCAGCTTGCTGAAAACTTGCATCACCTTGCGCTACCTAAGGAAAGTGTAAATCATGTCAATATTTTTACTGAATTCTCTCTATAAACGTGATTTATTACAATTGATATATGTATATACATCTCATTTGCACTGATGGTTACATTTACATACCTGTATGACATCACTTGTATTAATTGGAACGCCATCAGCTGTTATATATTGAATGCTCTGAACAGCCTGGGCTTCCTCAGAACCATGTACAACATTATTTACTGTGACTGTCATTGGCTGATTTGACGTAGGGTCATAAATAGTAAAATGCTGCTCTCCATCAGCCATGGCAGCGAGCACCTTGTTATTACAGCAATGCACTGGAGGTTTCTGTATAAAACTTGAATTTTGTAAAGAATAAAATAAAATACAGATAAATATGTGAATCTTTTAAAGATATTTTTGTAGTGTAAAATTTGCAAGTGAGCAAATTAAGTTAAAAGAGTTAAAATAATAATCCCCATTAAGTTTATACTAACAGATTTAGTGAATAGCATTTGAACAATAAAATCACCATCTGGATTTCTTTTTAAAAAAACACTTCCTTTCAAAGAAGAGTTTAAATTATCTAAAAGGTAGAAAATAATTTGCTTAAAATTTATTATGAAAGAAAGTCTGCCGCAGATGTTTGATCAGTAGACAGATTCCTATTCTTTTTGAAATTATTTAAATTAGGGTAAAAGATCATTTGCAAAATTTTTTCATTTGAATGCACTGCAAATTCTATTTTAAAGTCACAGGAGTGATTTTCATACAAAAATGTATACAAATTATATTGTGAACAATTTACAAAATCAAGTATTGACTAGACAACTACTGAACTTTATAAGTTACTAATATCCAATCGAAATCTGATCCATTCATGACATGTCAGGTCAGCATAAAATAAAATTTATTAAAATATGAACTAATTAACAAATTAGGGCGTCATTTTAAAAAACCTACCAAGTAACTTGAGACTTATTTTTTAGGAAAAGCAGTTTAAAAAAATTATAATTATCAATATCCATTAACCGGTATGCCTATTTCCTGTTAACATATTAAAGTCTGTTAACTATCACAAGCTATAAATGGGTAAAAGGAACAGGGGTATTAAAAGACGTACCGCTGTTGTGTGCGTTCTAAAAATAGATTTCAGAGGCCTTCTCAGATCCTATAAAATATGTAGAAATCTAAATCTACTAAAACACAAATCTGCTAAAATGGGAAGGAGAAAGAGAGAGAATCTGCTGTTGTACAAAGTCATTTCAGCACATAAATATAAAAGAGTCCTGAGTACAGGTATGTGCAGTCCCAAAAATGACCTCTGATCAAGTTACAGGATGCCAAGGAGGAAAGGAATCGGAGTGTAGTTACAATGACAGTCGTGAGAATTTATGGCTAAATGTGGACGAGGGATGGAGCGGAAAAAAAGGTTGACCGCAGGGTGGGGGTTATCTTAGTAAATAAGTAAATGCTCTAGGGCAGGGATTCTTAGCCCTTTTTGTAGCGTTGCAGGCCCACTCCGTTTTAAACATCCCTCCCCAACCGTATAAATTATATTGTAATAAAATTTATAATAATTAAATAATTTAGCTATCGTAGTTTTATTTCTTTGATTAAATTTTTATAAACGGGGAAAAAATTACCAATATACGCAATTAACAAATTAGCATTCAGCATTAAGAATGTCTCCTGAAAATTTGGTGAAATTATCTGTAATTACGTTATTTTTCAATTTGATGTTGACCGGTGCTGTCCGCACCCCCCTAGCTATGCAACTGAATACAAATTTTTGGTCTTACACACCTCAAGGTTGGCGAGGTACTTTTACCCCTGGTTAAGAACCACTGATCTAGTGAAATGTTTCTGACACGGGTGCAGTAATTTGATATCCGCGGGAGGCGAATTTCTTAAGGGTTTGTAAAGGACAGTAGTGGACACAGGGACTTTTTATGGGGGGGGGGGGGGGGGGGGGGATTTTGGAGGTATTTTATTTTGTGACGATTTGTGACGATGGGGGGGTAAACAATCGGCAAAATTTGCGTGACGTCATTTATGGATGGCCCCTGTAGTCATGACGTCATTTGAGTTTTTTAAGTTGCTGTTTTGGATTCACTCCCCTTGTTTCTTGTTAATTGTTACATTTCATTAATATGACGATGGCATGTTTTAATTAAATTTTTATTGGTTGATTAATTATAATTTTATAATTTCATTAATTGGCTAATTATATTTGTATGTGTTCCGACATCTTTGAAAATGCGTTATATTATGATGGCATGGTGTTTTATTCATTTTCTGGATATTATTTTCGGTGAAACCTGAAATAAAGTGTGTAAAAGCATATTCTATGAAATTGCAAGTTGGGTTTTCATTATTTCTTAATTATTTTTTTGGATAATGCCAATTTACCCTATTGGTTAAAGCCCAGCAGGTGGGGTGTAGGGCTGACTGTCTGTAGGCCGCCCATGCCTATTGTTTAAATGTTGGCATATAATAAAATAATAGTAAGTACTTTTATTAGAAAATTAAAACTTTTTGTAAAAATAAACCAAATGCATCGTTGAATAGAGCTAATTTTTTAAAGAATTATAACATAAAAATCATATTTTTAGCTGTTGTAGTTTTAAAGTTATGAATTTTTAAATTACGAATTAATTTGTCCTTTTTCAACATGGACCGCATCTCCATTTTCTGGCACCCAATTCTGCTGTTCGCGTCACGAGCTATATAACTCTTGTTTTAATGATAACTTTATTTTCAGAACTAATGCTGCATTAAAAAAATAAGTTTAATAATGTTAATAATTATAGATAAATTGTAGCTTATCTAACTATGCACTATTTATACAGTAAATTTAATATAATGTATTAATATATGGCTTTTCTGTTTACCAAATCTTCAGCGTCTATTACACCGGTATATGCTATATAGTTTATATAAGGGAAAGGACCGCCTAAAATGTTGTTTGGGATCTACTTATTTTGAACTTTCAACTTTGGCACATGACTAATTAACTAAAGCTTTCCCTGACCAATGGTGTTAATAGTTTTTGCACACTGCAAACTCTTATGAATTAAACGAGGTAGTCAGTAGTACTATGGCATAGCATTATGCAAATGGTTGTGAATGGTTTCCCATGACTTTATGCGCATGGTCAATTCTGATCGTTAATAATATGGACTCTACCGGGTTTTTAAAGCTCAAATTTAAAAGTTCTAGTTTAAATGTCTTCAAAATGCATTCTGAAACGCAAGTTATCAAATATTTTGATGTATATAGAGATAATAATGAATATTTCCTAAGCTAAGTATCGGCGTCTTCCGCCATTTAAAAGGGGGCGGGATCACTAATCCAAAATGGCCTGTGCGACTTTTGCATAATGAGGTCAACGAGGAGAATTGTGAAAATGTTTCATGAGCTATATCAATGAAATTTGGCACACATGTACTTCAACAAATTATGCAGGTCTACTTGTAATATGAAAGAACTTCTTTGAATATTTAGACCGAATTTTTTAATGTGAAGATGCCTTATATTGACATACAATTTTCAGCTGTTCATCATTCGAGATGCCACGACATATTTTTGGTAGAGTCACTTCCCTTTGTTTATTTTTAGAGAAATATTTTGTTATGTCTTAGTATTAGTACGCTGATGACCTGTTTTGTATTAAAATTTTAATTGGTTGATTAATTATAATTCTAAATTATGATTGGTTGGCTAATTTGCATATTTTATTTGTGACGCCATATTGCCTACATTTTGGCCGGGCTTGCCGGTTCTTGTGCTCCATTCGTTATCTGGATATTATTTGTGGTATCTGAAATAAAGTGTGTAAAAGTGTATTTCATGAAAATGTTAGTTGGGTTTTCATTATTTATTTATGTTGTTATTATTTTTCGCCAATTTTTATTGATTTTTTTCATTTTTTGAGTTTTCTTGCAACAGTGTGTTAATTCCACATGTTTTACTTGTGGCTTTAGGGCTAGTTTTAGGGATCGATTTAGGGTTCGGGTTAGGCATAGGGATCGATTTAGGGTTCGGGTTAGGCATAGATTTAGTGATTTTAGGGTTCGGGTTAGGCATAGGAATAGATTTAGTGATTTAGTAGGCGTTCGGGTTAGGCATAGGGATAGATTTAGTGATTTAGAATTTAGGGTTCGGGTTAGGCATAGGGATAGATTTAGTGATTTAGGGTTCGGGTTAGGCATAGGGATAGATCTTGATTTAGGGTTCGGGTTAGACATAGGGATAGATCTTCAAAAAAATGCTATTAAATTTATTTATTTCCTTTCATTTTTGAAAAATTAAAACATCTTTCTCCCTCGCCTTCCTTTTTAAAAACAAGTGTTTTGCACTACTTTTCAACCACCATCTTGGTTGACACCTCATGTGACTTCACATGAGGTGTCAACCAAGATGGCGACGACTGATAAAATAGTGGCATTTTCCATCACCATTTACCATTAATGCAATGGGAATGTAGTTCAAAACTTCTCCTAACGTTAATGGGCGGACTCAGATCTTAATTATGGGCCAAAAGGACTCCTAATTTATTCAAATTACATGCACATGAAAAAATAAAAAAACTCGGATTCTATTGCGCCGACGCCCATTTCCGATATAAATTTACTAGGAGTGTGCCTAGCTTCGGCGGAGTACCTAATAATAGAAATTAGAAAATGATATGTTAACTATTGGATTGATTTTGTTTGTAACACTTCGACCCACTGGTTATTTTCTCAAAATACCCGTACCCCTCCCCCACGTTAAGCCCTAGTCACTAATAATGACATAAAATTAAAAGTTAAAACAAATCTAATGAATGTCTAATACTAGTACTAGTCTAACTAGACACTAGTCACTAGGTCTAAAAATAAAATGACATTTAATTCATTTATGACAAGATTTTAATGAGCGAAATTGCCGAAATGATGTGCACTCGACAATGGCGTTTAATTTATTGTTCTAAAATATGAAATTACCATTAAGTATATGAATGAGTGTTCTGTAGTTTCAGCTCAATAATTAAAAATGTCAAATACCAAAAATTTTCATTTACACAGCAAGTTATAATCCAACATTAGCAGTTATTTTTAAAACGTCAACAAAATCGGGCAAAACTCTTCTGCAGAAACCGGATAATGTTTCGAACTAGTTCCGGGGCTAATGGTCTATTTTTCCGGGTATTTTCTACCCTTTCAAGAAGCTCACTAACTTTAATTTTATTTTAAAATTTTAAAAAATCAATTAACAATAATGTCGTTATCATAATGTCAAATGGTTTTAGTCAAATGAATTAATTTAAACAAAACTATCCAGAATTATAAAATAAAAATGTTTAACACTTAATTTAACACCCTGCTGAGTATTACATTTACATTATATTAGTTTATTAATTTTTAATACCATATTAACATTATTTTAAAGAACTGGCTGACATCATTCTATATTCTTTGCACAGTTACTGCCTCCACCCCCTCTGTCTTACGTCGCATCTTTTTATTTAATTATTTTTTTTTAAACATAAGGGTCGTCCATTAATTATGTCAACAAAATGGGGGTGGGGTGGAAGTGTTTCAATTGTTGACAAGGGGGAAGTGGTGTGTGAGATTAGTTGACGTCAACAATCATGTTTTCTCTATTAAAATTTTAATCTTAAAAATTGACTGCCTACATTATTTTAAAAATTTAATGAGTGTAAATTAAAATATTTATATAATTTTTAGGCTTTTAACAATATAACATTTATTAATGTGTGTCTGTCTGTGCACTGCAAATAGCTGGTCAGAATGTTAGCACACTTTGTTAGTGCAAGAGAAGTCAAAAGGTTGCCTCTCTTCGCCTGTAGATTCTATTTGTCGCTAATTACTAATTACTAGGGCGATCTGTTTGCGATCGTGTTGCAAGTATGGAACAAGGTTCAAGTGTCATTTGCAGTCAAGATAAATGGTATTAATACGAGCAGGAATACGATATCTTGAGAATTAGGGGAAAGTAAAGTGAGTAAAAATAATAACATCGCTGCTTGAGCGGTTGCAAAATCTGTAACATCTATTTTGCATAACAAGTCATGTTGAAATAGCAAGATCAACAGCACCGACAATGCATAAGAAATTAGCACCTGCTCCTCAACAAAATTGGATTTGACTAATGCAAGTAGCTACCAGGAGACATAGAGAGCTTATTGCAATTATTGCTCCCACTGACAATCAATGGAGTAGCTAGAGTTGGTGTCACCCAGTGTGGTAAACTCATAGTCCCCCCCCCCCCCACGACTTCCACGATGGATTTCTTCTTGTTAAAATAGGTCCACACTAAAACAATGCTTTTAATTTTTACCGATGTGGGTCATGTATTTAGAATCGCTGTCACTTACGAAAGTTACCGAACACTTCAATCGGCGTTGAATCATTGTCAAAGCGGTGTTTTTTCAGACTTATTTATAGGGTCACCTCATTTCTGAAGCATCAACATTGAACTTTTAATGAAGCACTCATTTGGATTGGTAACATGCGGGAAAAATTTTCGTGTGATCGGTTATCCTTTTATGAAATTCGGTTAGATTTAGCAGTGTGTGCTCTGTAAATATGTAATTTTTCAGTTTGGTGTCACCCCCTGAGATGGTGTCACCCGGTGTGGTCCGCTCCCCCCTAGCTACGCCACTGCTGACAATGCTTCTATTTTAAGTGCTAAATGGTTAGACGAGGATGATGTTGACTTGTCTCGTATATCAGTTCCGCAAGATGAAAATGATAAATCAGCTACTATGCCATTGATACGATAGAGCAACACCTGGCTACTCCCTGGGAAGATGATAGCAGCTAGAAACTGAACTATGCTACAATTGTCAGCTAAACGGACAACACTCATATTTCTACTTCCAAAAACAATGATATTTAGTCTTTAACAAACTTTTCATTGATTCTGCATTATAAAATTTAAGTGTTAAAAACATTTTAACTTGTTGTTTAATAAGCTTAAGATGCAATAAAATGTTTTTCTTACAATTTTGTGCCATTAAAATAGATCAGCACAAAGTAAAATGTATTTATATATTTATTTATATTATAATTCATTTTTTTTTCTTCTGGTAATATTGTGGGGTTTTCTTTTTGACGTATTGGCCCTGGTGAAATTTTTGTTAGCATCCAGCAAGTTGGTTAGAGAAGAAAAACCATGCAAACTGAATTATTTTTATATTTATTTATTTTAATTTTAATACAGTTTACAGGCGGGGGGTTGGGGGTGGACTGGAAATGTTTTAAAATTGAGAGGGGGGTGCGCGGCGGTGCTGAAAGGTTAAGAACCAATTTTCCGGGCAGGATGAGGGCTTTTAAGACAACTGATAAGGAGATACGCTGATGACGAAGTGTATCTAGTTTAAATTATTGGTTTGATTGCTCCGTGAGTTCACTGAATGGACGGAACGATCATATTTGTAACTACAGCAACACCAANTCCTCTCTCCCGCCGCCCGTGAATGGTATGGCATGATAAGGTATGGTCTTAATCAAATATCAAATAGATCATTTAGATCTGACATGGCTGTCAGTAACAGTTTAGAAGCATTGCAATAAGGACAGGGCCGTCCCTACTGTTGCTGGCGCCCCGGGCATACTTAACTTTGGCGCCCCTTTTAAGTAGAATCAATAACATCTTTTCAAGGAAAAGCTAAGTTTTAGAGAATGAGTTTATTACCTAGGCTGTTGTGGTTTTTTTTGTTTTTTTTTAGCAAAAAATGAACAATAATATTATTTTTCTTAACTTGTATTTGGACAGTATGAAAAATTAGCCTGCCGATTACTTTTTCCAGCCTTTAGATCAGCAAATCTTTTTATTGCACTTTCTTTAGATTTTCCATATCGCCCATATGTAATGCTTTTCCCTAATTTAGAAGATCGTTGATGGCGCCCTAAGCACGTGGCGCCCTGTGCACCTGCCCAAGTTGCTGGTACCTTTAGCTGGTCCTGAATTAGGGGTCAAGTCTTGTGGGGAAAAGCGTGGGAACTTACACAATACCCCCCCCCCACCTATCCCATCCCCCCTTTTATATCTTAGCCACAACAAAAGCACAGGAACGCCGTTCCTATGCGTTCAGGCAGGACTCGAGGCCTGATTGTAAAAACTGGACTTGTAAAACCGATGACTGGTGGTTGCGTTGTCCCAGCTCGTAGGCTGCTACAAGAACAGAAGAATGGATTCAACAACAACAACTCGCGGGTCCAGCCGGATCGGATTTAGCAGATGTCGTACAAGGTCACTTCCAAAAGTAGTTGTCTCAGCTCGTAGGCTGCTACAAGAACAGAAGAATGGATTCAACAACAACTCGCGTGTCCAGCCGGATCGGATTTAGCAGATGTCGTACAAGGTCACTTCCAAAAGTAGTTGTCCCAGCTCGTAGGCTGCTACAAGAACAGAAGAATGGATTCAACAACAACTCGCGTGTCCAGCCGGATCGGATTTAGCAGATGTCGTACAAGGTCACTTCCAAAAGTAGAAGACGGACTTTTATAAAAATATATTGCATACTGCGGTCTCTTTGTTTTGAAGGCGTGAATCCAGTGACGTAGGAAGGTGTGCAAGGAGGGTCGGTTCGCACCGGGAGGCACTTGCTCTTTATAATTAGGAATGGTATTTTCGTTTAACTGTATTTTATTTTCGTGGAAGGGGTTGGGACAAATCTTGGCAGAGGCGTAGAGAAGGGGGGTAGATGTCCCTAGGCGCTACCTAGTTAAGGGCGCCAAAATGTGCTTTGATATTATTTTACTGATGAAAATAATGGGTTTGAGAGGGGAAAAAAGAAAAAGGGTGCACTTTAAAATGAATCTTGTCCCTGGGCGCCAAACACTCTTGCAGCGCCTCTGCCCCGGCGACACTGACCTTTGGGGGGGGGGGGGCATCCATAAATTACTTCACGCAAATTTTGCTGATGTCTTACCCCATCCCCCTTGTTCCCCCATCGTAGTAATGATCTAACTATGTCTGTATTTTTAATTTAGTGTTATTATTTATTAAGTGCATTTTTTCACTATAAAGTTCCGCTTTAAACGCGACGTCACATTGCTGAAATCCGCCATCCCTGTCACAAAAATGTGACCCCCCCCTCCCTTTCTTTTTAAAGACGGGTGACGTCATTAATCGATGACATCTATAGCTATAGTATAGTATTATTAGTAGTTTGTCTGAAAAGAACTATGCAGACGACAAGAGGGAAGCCCAGACAGTGTGGGTGCGAGTGGAAGAAAGAACAGCGACACGATTGTATCCACTGTTGAAAGTTGACGGTCATATTAGAATGTATTTATTTCACTAATCGCTAAACTCACAGAGTTCAAACTTTAATGCCATTTGATTCCTTGTCCAATTTAATCTCCTTAGAATATCTATACTTATGTGGATCTCTGGATTCATTTTCTATTAGTTTTGGGTATTTCAGTGGAAAATATCAAAGCTACTAAAAAAAAATAATTTAAACATGAACCCCTGAAACAACCCTTTATATGAATTGTTATAACTTTAGTTTATATGAATATTCTAATGTCCCACCCGCGTTTACATCACAGATTATTTCACCAACAATGTCAGAAAAACAAAAGAAAATATTATCCGCCAAACGCACTTGATTTATTTTTACGAATCTCAATTAGCGCAGTTATCGGGAATTTTATTTCTTGAAATCAGTTCATTCCTCTTTACCCCCCCCCCCCCAACCACTTTTTTCTTCCCAAAACACTTAAAAAAAAAAAAAAATAAGCTAAGATAACCCTGAGCTTGTTTTTCTGCCACGAGACGGTTCCATCTGGGGATGATAGGAGACAATGACATCCGAAGTGTGTTGCTTTTGTCCAATTTATTCCATTGTTTTTTTCAAAATTTTTTGTTTGTTTGTTTGTTTTGTTTTTGTTGCTTTGAGTGCAGAAAGCCCTGTTTCACACAGAATAATGTCGGAAATGACAATAGGGATTTAAGTGCTGTGTTGGCAATCTCAGGGTATTCCGCCATGACTTGAATCCAGAACACCGGCAGAGTTGTTGACTCGAAAGTAGTTTTAAAGCGCCCGTAACTTGCAATCTCCAGCAGTTGATCTTCTTCTTGCAAAGACATACTAGATTTGACTGGTTTGTTGACAAATGGGTCACGGCTCCATTCCTTACCCGTTCGTGAGTCTTTTGTGGTTGGGAAGTAGCGCTCGAACTCTTTTACAAGTAAAGACATAGGTGATCGTGCACCAAGTGGGAGAATGAATGCTCAATCTCGCCTAAAATCCCCGCTAATGTTTGAAACATGTCCAAAATGCCTCTGTTCACCCGCCGTCCCCACAACTCCAGTTTGGCTTTAAGTGCAGCTACTTTGTCTGCCAACAGTTGTCATTTTCTCGTGAAGGGACGGATTGAGTTCATTGAGCAGGCTGAATATGTCACATAGGTAAGCCAGTTTTGCGACCCATACCTTGTCAATGACATGTGCTGACAGCGGTGACTTCTATTCTGAGAGAAATCTTTGCAATGGCTCTCGTAATTCAAATACTCTGGTTAGCGATTTTCCTCTGGATAACCATAATTTTTCTGTGTGCAAGAGGAGGCATCTGTGCTCTGCGTCCATCTCCTCACAAAGCTGCTCAAACAGGCGCGAGTTAAGGGTTAATAACTTTAACGACATCAATCAATACGCTGTTAAATTCCGGTGACATTTTCCGGCTTTCCAGCATTTCCCTGTGAATGATACAATGCGTAGATTCACTCTCAGGTGCAACCTCCTTAATTCGAGCAGTTAAACCAGACAGTCTTCCGGTCATGGCAGCAGCTCCGAAACAAAAGGACCATTTTAGTTGTCCTTATGTATAATCATCCAGTGACTTGAACAGTTCTACTCGTGTGGTGTTGGTTGGCAAATATAGTGAACATAAAAAATCCTAATGCACATCCTCCTGATAAAGATATCGCACACAAACAAGTAGTATTGCCTTTTCGATATCTGTAGATTCATCAACCTGTGATGTACCACGCTGATGTATTAATCCTCTCATAAAAATTGTGTCTCAATGTCTTCGGCTTTTTCCTCAATGCGCCTAGTCACAGTGCTAGCCGACAAAGTCAAATGTGCTATCCTTTTAACAGCTGCCTTCCTAGGATTTCGCGGCACATATCTTTAGTGGAGGGCAAGATCAATTCTCCACAGATAGTGAATGGCGTTTTAACCTCAGCAATACGGTTAGCCACAAAATACGATGCCCTCAGTGCATTCTCCCTTATTGATGTGGTGGCCCTCAGAAATTTCTTCTGTCCTTCGTGTTCCCGTTTTTTTTTCCTTTCAAAATACCGTACTACAGAAGCTTGTCGAGGGTGCTTGGCGAAGCAGTTTTGAAGGTTTCAATGCCTCATTAGAGAGCCGGTCGCCTCAAACTATGCAGAGCAGGGTTGGTGTGTGGGAATCACCTGTCCCGATAAATCCATATTTCAAGTAGGACTCATGGTATTGTCTGTTAAAGTTGTATGTTTCTTTAATGTCCTCTTCTTCTGTCTCTTCACTGAGCGTTTTCTTTTTCCCAAGGAAACTTTCAAACGACGTCTGTTTCTTACTAATTTTTGGGTTAAATTTGAACGCTCAAGTGACCAAGATGTAATAAAACATCGTTGTAACACTCAGTCTCAGATAGTAAATATGGAGAAAAAAAAAGGGCTAAAACAAAACACAATGGACACATACACCAAACACTGTTAGACATGAGAAGATGGCAAGTACTTCTGAACATGAGGAAGTGCGGGGGAACAGAGAGAAGAGCGTCACACACCTTCTCCCCACCAAAGCTACAACGCCCCTGCCGCTCAGCTCCCGGTTAACCTCTCGTCCATGGAAAGTCGCACAATTCAAAGAGAAATACACTACAGTAAATAAAAGGGAAATAATTTAAGGTTTCTTGAGCTCCCAGAAACCATTTGATCCACGGACCGGTACCGGTACGCGGACCACTGCTTTAGACCTTCTGCAGACCTGTTTACTCTTACGATTTTGGCGTACAATGTACGATTTTGAGGTGTTAATATGTATACTGTATGTTTATTTTTTTCTATAAATATAAGGTATTGAACGATTTTGTGATAATATTGTACGATTTTTAGAGTCTGAGGGTAAACAGGTCTGCTTCTGGGAACAGGATTAATGTTTTTTTATAAAATGTACAAATTGTGAATAATTATCTGTGAAGCCTTAAAAACTAATAATCAGAGTAATAGTAATATTGTCAAACTGCTGTTATAATCACAGCAAAACTTTTTTTTATTCCCCAGCATTTACAAAGCATATGTTCATTGAGCTTAATTAAAACTAGAACTCCAGATTCCTATATATTGGTCATGTAGCCTGCCAATTAAAAATCAATGCCCTACTGCACCCTCCACAAAACCACAAAATATGATGTCTACTCCTGGTGCAAACAGAATTACAAACCAAATAAACCTGTCTTGGATAGTTTGGCAAATGTTTGATTACCCAAGCTTTTCTTTTAATGAAACGGCCCTGATCATATAGTTTCAGATAAACTGGGCAGCCTTGTCGAGCCACATGCATGGGAATATGGAACCTTTTAATTGAGCCTGCCTCAGGAAAGACAAAAGGCTACGAAAAGGAAAACTACACACCTAAACAATATTTCCCCTAACTACATGGAGGCTACCTGAAAAGCTTTTGTCATAATTTCCTAATAATCTCAAGGAGATGCATTTCAAATTATCTCCATGAATATGTTTCATTTCTTTAAGTTGAAATCTTTCGTTTAAATTTAAAGTATACTGGATTACTGACATTCCAAGTAATACTCAAATGTTTAAAATGTGCTGCTATTACCATATAAAATTCAAACTATATAATTCACAAAACATTTGTGTAACATTACACGATCAAACTGAACAAATAAAAAAGAACAAAATAAAAAAATAAACAATAAAAATTAACTCTTCCACATGATTTTATTTTAACTTTTAACGTTCACAAAAATAGTTTGTTTCACATGAAGTACTGGGGAATTTTTCAACAAGGGATTACTAAACTTTATTAAATGCAGCAATGTCTACAGATTGTACTAGGTCTTCAAATTTAGTGATCTCTTCTTCCAAGAAATCTACACTCACCTGCAATAAAGAGATACAATATTTATTATAAATGTGTTAGTGTGGCAAGTAAAAAGAACATGTCTGATAGAATGTAATGTGAGGGTGGTGGTTGACAATTTATGAGGATACATATTAAAAAAAAAAACCCAAAGATAATACATACATAATTAAAACATTTATTTCGATTCAGATTTTATTTGATATAAATAAGGAAATTCTTATTAAGGGCCTGGGGTTAAAATGGGATTGGATGCATTCATAGTTATGTTCAGACATCAACCTGTAAATTATATTTCAGATGATAAGCATGTTATGGTACTTTCAACAACTAGTGCACAAAAATCCATGTGAGCCAAGCCGCAGGTAATAGCTAGTAAACCATAAAACGAATTTCTTGCAAACTTACAGTTATTAAGGCAATAGCATTTAATGTAATGCAATTTTTTAGATTTGAAATAGCGGATGAAAACCAAGAATATTTCAAAATTTTACATTATTTAATAATAAATAGTTAAATAATAATAATAGAAACTATCACTAGGAATTAAAGTTAAAGGATTTATGACTTAACATCACTTAATTATGCCCCGAAAGGATGCATCTGCACTCTATAATATAGTATAAATTACATATATTCAGATTGGTCATGGCTAAAACTTGATAACAAAAGATTACCTTGTCATCCTCAACAACACAACTAATCTGTAACTTCCTAATGCCATAACCAACAGGAACAAATTTGGCTGCAGGAAAAAAAAAATGGTTTAAATATTATATTATGGTAGACAATAAGTTTTGATATAAGACAAATATTAAGTGGTGGAAACCACACCACACATGAAAATAGTCATTTTTAACTTCTACAATTTTGCTTTCAATAATTAAATGACACTTGGTATTTACTTAAAAATACTTTACGCATGATATATGGGTGGAAAGTTGGTAATATTATTAAAATTATATACACTATTCACTCAACCCATTAAAAAATGTGACCAAAGTGAAACTGAACACATGACTTTCAATTTTCCATATATTATCTGATTCCTTGACATTTTTATATTTCCATGAGGAATTTTCAAACTTTATTTTCCATTTTTCTCAAAACCTGACATCATTGTTTTTTCCCTTGAACCCTCCAGATAGTTACTGTTGTGCTAAAACTTGGATTAATGATAAGTTTAAAGAATTCATATTAAGAATTAAAGCTTTATGATGTTAATACAAATCCTAATTTTAACAACGCTACAATTTAACAAAAGCTTAACCAAAAGAAATGCCAGGGTAAACAAAATGATATCTGAACTATTTTTTTCCTCAGACATTTAATTTTTTGTCCACGATCAACATGAAAATATTTTTAATCTCTAGAAATACTATCAATATTTTTTATGGTTCTGAGCTATTACAAAAATAAAATTGCATCTATTAATGAAATAATTTGTACCCGCTCACAGTTCTGGATAATGAACTTAACACTTTTTTGTGGGTATGGTACCACAGTTTTACATTACAATGACCACAGAAATAGTTGCATCAGCTTTTAAATTTAATGTCATCAAATAAGAAACTACAATGTTCATTTCTCTGGGTGAAAATGATATTTTGATCTGAAATAAGTGACATTACTGAGCAAGAACTTGTGCCATCACTTTTAATTATAATATAATTTTGCTGCCATGTTAAAAAGACCCAAAGATTTAATGTTTATTCATAAATATTTTGTAAATCTATTTTTTGATCAGCTTACAGGCTCCCCAGAGTAGACCATCAGTTGCAACAGAACGAACAGCTTTCTCAATGGCATCCATATCAGTTGTATCATCCCATGGCTTAACATCTAAAATGATGTTACTTTTAGCAATCAAGGCTGGTTCTGGAAAAAAGAGCAAAGAAATATATCATAATTGTCATGGTTAAAAGCCTATGTATAATTATTACGACTAAAAAATAAATATTGCTTATTCACTATTGGCTAAACAGCCCAATATAAAATAATATACAATAAATCAATAATTTAAAGGGAAAACAAATGTAACAACAATAAGTTCCAGATTTAAGAAACAATGTAAGGCTTAGACTTACTTTTGGCTTTTTTGGCTTCATAATCAGCTAGACGTTTAGCCTTAAGAGCCTTTGTCTCTTCATCATCAGAACCAAAGAGATCTTCATCATCATCATCATCTTCATCAGCATTTGCAGCTGCAGGCGCTGGGGCAGATCCAGCAGGGCCATATGAACCAACTGGTTTCTTAACACCTGGTAAACTGTAGATACATATTAAACTTTGATATTAAAATGTGTTGTATTATTATAGAAAACATCTGAAATAATTTGGTGTCTAAAGATATTAAAACTAAAATGATTTTAATTGACCTCAAATTCTGATGTGCTAAATTCTCCACACTAGCTACTGGCAATGCTGTATTATTTTAGTTAACTTAAGCAAACTACTTAAAAAAAGCCTTAAAAACAATTTACCTATCTTTTTGACTTTGATATGATGTTATGTGATTGTACCAACGAAGTGCATGTGCTAAATTTGCTGCTGGTGCTTTGCCTAGAGCTTCATATACAGAAATATCAGCCTGGGATGGAACAAAACTGGAAATAGAAAATTCAAGATGATTTAAAAAAGGCACAGTTAAAATTAACTTGACAAAAGTGTATTCTTTTTGGGTTTACAAAAGTTTAATCTGCAATTAATTTGCTGAGGGATTTTTAATCCACGAGTCACTAAAACATAATTTTCCCGGTTCGTCACAACTGACTTGGAATTGCATGTGTTACTAATATTATGCCCCCTACCACAGGGTTGATAAAGTCAAAATTTAACTTTAACCAAAAATAAATAAACCGGATTTGATGTAAATTGGATTTATTAAATTAATTTTTTTTTCTTTTTAAAAAGGATATCTTTAGATTTTGAAGTATATAATGTTTATAAAGATAAAAAATAATATAACTGAAAGTATTAAAAAGAATTCTTTTAGGATGTCTTTGCCTTTAAAGTGGAAACAGGTGTCAGACATGAATGTTGCTTGTCTCCCTTTTCATCCTTGCCATTGAATGGATAATGAAAGAATCCACCGACAAAATAGGAATGGGATACAGTGGAGAACCTGGGAACAACTGAATGACCTAGAATTTTGCAGATGACATTGCACTTCTGTCCTACAACCAGCAACAAATGAAGGAAAAGACAAAAGAATTAGCCAGAGCCACCATTTTAGCACAGCCTGGACTCAGTATAATTAAAAGCTAGACAAAGCTAAACTCAACTAACCAAGAGCATATCTTCTTGGCAGGAAATGCACTGGAAGAATTGGAAACCTTCACATACTTGGGCAGAACCATTGACATAAATAGTGGATCCAAAGCTGATGTCAGAGCTAGAATTGGAAAGGCCAGCTTTTGCGCTATTAAAGAAAATATGGGAGCCAAAGGAGCTGAATCTGCAAACAAAAGTCATAATTTTCAACACAAATGTCAAAACAATCCCACTCTACGGAGCTGAAATTTGGAGAACAACAGAGAGCTTCAGGTAAAAAGTACAGAACTTCATAAACGCTTGCCCAAGAAAGGTCCAAACATCATCAGCAACAAAGACATAATTGAAAGGACATACCATAGGGCTATTGCTGCAGACACCAAAAGGTAAAGATGGAGGTGGACTGGGCGCACTCTTCGTAAACCCCCCAGATAGAATTACCAGACAATCTGTAACAAGGAATCCACAGGGAAAAAAAGGAAGGCCAAAGAATACATTGAGACGCAAGCTAGAGGCAGACACACAAAGTATGGGATACGCCTGGAAAGCACAGGACTGAGATGAATGGAATATTCTTGTAGACTAGAGGCCGACCGAAAGTGATTTTCTGATTTCGGCCGAAGCCGAAAATAGGCCGAAAGTTTAAAATGACTTTAGGCCGAAACCGAAAAAAGGCCGAAAGTTAAAAATGAATTTCGGCCGAAACCGAAAATAAAATATTTAGATATTTTGAAATTCGTTCCCGCATACATTTTGCATACATCGAAAATGATGTGGGAAAGTATAAATATTTAAATTCTTTTTATAAAAATGAGATAATTGTGAATATTAATAAATAAACATCTAATATAGGGGTCTGAAACCCGCAAGACGATATTTTGCGGCCCGCTACAGGACAGAAAAGTTTAGTGTAAATGTGCCGGCCCGTTTCCCCCAATCTCATAGCTATAGCGTGACTCTCCGCGACGGTGTCAGTCGAATCTCACCGACTAGTCTAATTCTGTTTTTTTTGTTGTTGTAATGTTTCTATATATTTTTTAATGCAACAGTGAGTAGGTGGATGAAAGTGAATCCTAGTTCTTGAGAACCCTTAATGATTTTATTGTTATTTATAAAGGTTGAGCAGATTGTAACAGTTGTAATCGCTTTTTTGTGGATTACTTGATGCGGCCCACTCTCATTCAGACACTACCTCCTGCTGCCCCCTGATGATTTGAGTTTGAGACCCTCGATCTAATGAATACTTTAGATTTTACCATTTTAATATAAAAGTAATTTAAATTGCTTTACAATATTTTAAAATTAGTATGGTAGAAGAAAAGTTGGAAAAAATGGGGGGGGGGCAAAATTAATGCAAAATATTAGATTTTTAAACCGTGTCTCTAAAAATTGCTGTTCTGATATGGTTCTAAAAGATCGCTTAATTTGTTCTGAAAGGTCGCATTGTTTGTTTTTAAAGATGTTTTAGTTTGTTGTAAAAGATCTTCAGTTGCTTGTAATAGATCGGTTAGTTTGTTCTTAAAGATCGCTTAGTTTGTTTAAAGATCGCTTAGTTTTTTCATAAAGATCGCTTAGTTTGTTCTTAAAGATAATTGATTTTGTTCCTTAAGATCGATTAGTTTGTTCTTAAAGATCTTTTAGTTTGTTCCTAAAGAACATTTAGTTTTCTGTTAAAGATCGCTTAGTTTATTCTTATAAATCATTAAAGATCATTTGTTTTGTTCTTAAAGATCATTTAGTTCGGTCTTAAAAATCGTTTAGTTTGTTCTTTAAGATCGTTTAGTTTGTTATTAAAGATCGCTTAGATAGTTCTTAAAGATCGCTTAGTTTGTTTTAAAGATCGTTTAGTTTGTTCATAAATGTCGTTTAGTTTGTTGTTAAATATCATTTAGTTTGTTTTCAAAGATCGCTTAATTTGTTCTTAAATGTCCCTAAGTTTGTTGTTAAATATCGCTTTCGCTGAGTATGACCGAAAACCTGAGTCACTTTCGGCCAGATGGCCGAAAGTCTAAGTCAATTTCGGCCGAAACCGAAGAAAAACCGAAAGTTAACTTTTCTCTTTCGGCCGAAACCGAAATTAAGCCGAAAGTTAACTTTTCAGTTTCGGCCGAAACCGAAACTTGGCCGAAAGTGATAAAATGGCCACTTTCGGCGCCGAAACCGAAATTAATAGTTAATATTATTTAAATCAATGTTTTGGATTTTAACTAAATTAACGTTAATATTAAAATTATTAATTAAAATTAATATCCATTCACAAGGATTTTTAGACTTTTCCCCCAAACTGAAATTTCTGATTTATAAATAATATATTCTTTAAAATAAAAAAAAAATGATTATGCAATTTTAAACAACTAAAACACAATTTGAAAAACTTTTAACCAATGAAAGACTTAGTCTAAATAATATGGTCTCTAATATAATCAATATGAATAAAAATTTCAATTCAGGTTCAGATTTTTATTATGAATATCAATTTTAGAATATTGTCATTTGTCAATGTCATTCCATTTTACCAAAACTTTCTGATTAAATAATTTGACTAGAAAAACTAAATTTTCAGCTTTCTCAACCCCAAGTCCATTTCTAATAACTGAAAAATTTAAATGAATAAAAATAAAGCCAATTTTAAAATTGTGCCATCATAATTATACATCAAGAAATAATTTATCATGTGACTAATAAAATATAAAAACCAAACAGAAGTTCCTTTTAGTTTTAGCTAGTGTCTTTAAATATAAATAGATTAGATTAATAATATATTGAAAATCAATTTTTAAAATTTAAATAATTTTTTATTGGTCAGATTTAAATCAATTATTTAAATGGATTGATTTAAATGATCTGAAGACCAGTTGGATACAGGAAAAAAACACTTGGGTGATACCAGGGCATAACGATTGTTTAAGAAGGTTACCTCCTAACCAACTCTGTTGCCCCTCAGACAATTTAGCCCTCCATTATAGTTAAACTGCCCTCCCATTGGATTACAACCCAAATGTGAAACACTAATTAATCAATCAGTCCAATCATTCCCTCAAGAGTCAATCATGCAAAGAAATCATTAGTAAGACCTTTGCCTCCACTACACACTCACTGCCTTGGTTTTACACTCATTCAAACACCTAACAAATTGTGGCTAAGATTATTTTAGAATTACACAGGATAAAGCCTCTCACAGAAATTAGCTTTATGATTAGGTCATGGATGGAGGTTATATTAGTTAAGCCTTAACTCTCATAAAGAATGTAGATTTTTCCAGTTTTTAATGACCTTGCATGTATCTTATTCTTCACTGTGTCTCATGGCTGTAATTTTGTAGCTACTTACAAGTATTATACATCATTTTAAAGGTAATTGGATGGTCTTTAATTTAAATTTGGTGTTTGTTCAAAATATCCTTGCTAAATTTGATTTTTTAAATTATTTTTGGGCACCGGCACAACAAATTTTTTTTTAAGTAGACAAAAACATAACATCACATTTTTACAAAGAAGGAAAAAAAAGTGTTTCCAAATATATCAATAAAATTGATATTTTATTAGAATCTGTTCAATACTACAAACATGTTCAAATTTCAAAAGAACAGCCTCATAAATAAAAGAGTTATGACTTTTTGTACGCAACATATCATTCAAGGAACAATATTGCTAGAAAAAGTCAAAATTATTTTTAAAAAATAATAAATTTTTTTTTCAAAGGAAAACATATACTACATCATATTATCCCTTAGAGCAGTGGTTCTCAACCTTTCTACAGACCTGTTTACCCCCAAACTCCTAAAATCGTACAATGCAGTATTTTGATAGTAAATAAATAAAAATACAGTATATATAATGTATACAATAACTACTCCTATAGCGTGTTCAGTGGAATCGAGTTAAGCTGGCGTCAAAATATGGAACTGTAGGTTAACAGTAGATGACTGACGTTAGCCGTTAACTGCGGTCACTTTGTTTTGCAGACGCGTATCTGCTAATGCATGTCAATTAATATTTGGGTTAACGTGCTGATCACATTATCCCAGTCTGTCACAGGTCAAAATAAAGTCACCGATGAAATTTAACGTTGTTCAAACTTGACTTCAGATAAGCATAAAATAAAATGTATTAAAATAAGAATTAATTACCCAGTAACAAATTGGGACCCCCCCACCACTTTTTGTGTGTGTGTGTACGGTACAGTGAGCTTTAGAACAGCAGCCCAGCCCCCACCCCCCCCAATAAACTTTAAAAAATCCGTTGTATATTATGATGTTACAGTAAACAAAGTATGACACGGGTTTTCACCACTGGTGATTCGGCCAGCCCAGTGGTTCCCAGAATAAACGCCACATCGCCCTGTGTGCTCGTTGCCCTCGGGCAAGGGGGTTAGCTGCGGCTTCCTCATCGGGGCGTTGCGAAATATTTTTTTACAAATTCATTATTTTATATCCACGTTTAAACCAGTGTGACAACTTTCGGTCGTGGTGCAAACTGTAACCCACTAAGCAACCGCTGTTTGCAGTTCCAGATGGCGCTCAGTGACCTCCATACACGTTATATTTATTTTTACCCTACCCTTATTTTATTTGCGTATTCGCTATTTCGAATTGTAGCTACATGTTAGAATTCAACACAGGGAGCCTGGTGAAAACGTAGTGTGGCATAGGCAAACAAAAATTTTAGAACCACTGGCGTAGCCCACCGAAATATACGTCGCACGCGCGCTGACCATTCGGTGCACTAAACATTACTGCAATGTCTCTACTACTGAGTTTAGGTACAGCTAGCGAGTTCATTTATGAAAATACATCTTGACAACATCACAACGAAAATTCCTGCTAAACGTTGGCTGGTATTTTACAGCATTCGAGATATAAATGTGCTAGTTTAGGACTTTCAGAGTTTCGGGATGAATAGTGTAGTATTTTTAAATACCGCATATGTATTTTCTGTGAAGGAACATCCCCCCCCCCCAACCTGAAATTACGAAAATGTGGGTTACGGTGTTGATTTAAATATTTAAACCCGATTTACAGCATTCGGGATATAAATGTGGTAGTTTAGGACTTTTAGAGTTTCGGGATGAATAGTGTAGTATTTTTAAATACCGCATATGTATTTTCTGTGAAGGAACATCCCCCCCCCCCCAACCTGAAATTACGAAAATGTGGGTTACGGTGTTGATTTAAATATTTAGACCCGCACCATACACGCTATCTCCGAGATCCACACCACTCATTTTGCCTCTGGTTGCTACTGAAAAGTCCGACTTGCAGAATGTGCAGTGTGCGTATGATGGACCCTTCTATGAAGACCTGAACACAGTAGATTGTGTCCTAGATTTAAGCGAGAATATAAACTTTCTTTATCTTTTGTTGAAACTGATGTTTATCGGTAGAAGTAGAAGTTTCTTCTTATCATCGGTTTCGCGTGCCTTTCTTTTTGCGGGGGCCATATCGTAAAATACTCACTAAGTAAACTAAACTAGGGGACCGAAAATAAAAAAAAAATAGCTGATTCCATTAATGGTAACATTAAAATTAGGCAATGTGCATGTCCGTCAATGTAGCCAAATTCGAACCCAAAGCTGTTTGGAAAAGGGGACATTCATGTATAACATACCTGGTACGCAAAATAAACATTAAAACATTTTACAAAAATATTTATACCCCCCCCCCCAACCAGCCGCACCTGGTCAACTTGAAACAAAGGGCCATCTAACTATTACGTATTACGTACGCGCTGAGGATGCGTACGACAGATTTGATTGAAGGGTGGGGCAATAGACAGCACCTACATTTATGCATACAATAATTATCCTGACAGTCTCTTATAAAGCCAACTGTCACCTGAAAATCCGTGAAATCAGTGAATTCTAATTAGGCCTTTTATTATTATTATTATTAAGGCTATACAAATATTACCACAATATTTCGCAGTAAGCATATAGGCCTACTCCTTTAAGCTACTAATGCTTTGTGTTTTTCACAAAGAGATCCCTGTAGTTGTAAAATTGAACATGACAGTGATAACACACTGCAGTCCAGTAATTCGTCTTTCCGTGCTGGTGACGTCATTATTTCCACCGGGGCAGAACCACCCCCCCCCCTCATTACTGGGGAAAAAAATTGAGCCGTCGCCTGATTTTTTTCCATTAATAAAAGGGGTGGGATGGGGGGTAGTATTAGTAGTGATACCAAAATGACGTATTACGATGGCTGAGGGTGAAGAGCTGTTTTGCGAGTTCTACAAATATTTTTTTTAAAATGCCGCTGACTAGCTCTTATAAAATATGTCCACATCCAACGTTCCAGTGCAGAACAGTGGGATCATGTATTTTATTGTAACAACCATATCGTCTCTAGTTTTCTCCGTTTTCACAATTGCCGCGGTTCAAGTTCAAGGGAACAAAACTACGTCACACACTGGGTAGCAGTCAAAGGGGGGTGGTGGTGAAGCGGTCGCTAGGGCGGGCGACTAGTATACCTTTTACCGGTGACGCAGCTCACTAGTTCCCTGTGACACACAAAGCATCAGTATGGCAATTATCACGTGACACACAAAGCATCAGTATGGCAATCATCACGTGACACACAAAGCATCAGTATGGCAATCATCACGTGACACACAAAGCATTAATATGGCAATCATCACGTGACACACAAAGCATCAGTATGGCAATCATCACCATCAATACGATGCATTGAAGTGATATTTTTTATAGCCTGTGACACTCCGACCAACCCCCCACCCATTCGTCCCGTGTGCCGGAAATGTCCTTAATCAACAACCTCCACCTCCCCTCTCAGTGTGTACATAATATTATGAAGGATGGTCCCAACTTTAATAAAAAAAATTACAACCAATCGTTTCTCTGGTTCCATTCACCAGTAGATTTTTATTAGAAAGGGCGAAAACTTCAACAAACGGAGAAAAAAAAATGGAAATTTTTTTTCCACCCGGCCTTTGAAAATCTTAGTTTTAGCGGGTCTCGGCGTACAATCGTAAAAGACATCTCAAAATCGTACATTGTACGCTAAAATCGTAAGAGTAAACAGGTCTGTTTCTAGTGCCGCGACCCCTTAATACAATTTTTCGTGTCGTGGCGACCCCCTAGCCACACAATTATTTTCGTTGCTACTTCATAGCTGTAAGGATATATGTTTTCAGATGGTCTTAGGCGACCCCTGGAAAAGGGTCCCGCGACCCACAAAGGGGTCGCGACCCACAGGTTGAGAACCGCTGCCTTAGAGAATTATGAGTAAGTATTATTTTAGAAGAAAAGTTAAGAAAAAAAAGCACATTTTAATAAATAAACATTTTTTATGCATCCCCCAGATACCGATCAAATGATGTAATCCTTCGCCAAGACCATGCATATAAAATTCTTGAAATCAATTTATATATTAAAACATACAAATGTATCAAAAAGAAAGCCTGTGACATATGCTCTAACCATTTTACCCTGTTTAGGTAACACGAAATTACATCTTTTGTTATTGTCATGTTAAGGCGCACGATGTAAAGATTTCGGGCTTTACAGTAACGTGTTCATCATCAAAGATGTCATTTATTCCCTAAATTTTTCATTAATTGCTACACTTTCTTGATGCTGATACAGTTCATTGTATTTTGCATGGAGATACATAAGGGTCTCCCAATTTTGCACAGCATTTTGCTTTATTTTCAGTAACAGAAACTTTTAGGAAACTCAATATAGCCTTGAATATGTCCTTAGTACTAATGGCCTTGCTATTTGTCCATCATATAAGGATTTCCTGGACATTTCTTGTAAAATTAAGAGCTTGCTAAGTCCTGCATTCATAATAAATCCACTTAGTAGCTAAAACTCCCCTTCAATGATGTTATAATGGTACCAATTTTTGGAAACACAAAATTTCTGCAACCCATTGTCCTGTGCACACTGCTTACTAATAACCAACCAAATCTGTAGTAAAGTAGAGATTGGAAATGTCTATTTGCTTTTGAAATCTCCTTATATCCTCTCTTGTTTCAACATCAGGAAGCAATAATGCTTTATACCTCTGGTCTAAATGCAGCAAAGAGTCCCACAGTCTTTTGTCATCATAACCCATTGTATTGACTATGTTTGACATCTGCCCTTCATAGATGCTGTCAAAATATAAAAAATAAATACAAAAATATTAGTTTAGCTAAAATAAAAATTTACAATATAAATAAAAAGATTTCTAAATATTCAACAATCTGTCTAAATTACTTTTACTTCAACTTTTCATTGAAAAGAGAACACAGCTGATTGTTACATAATAATAGCCTAAGAAAGTATCACAGTATGCGTGAGTTGACTAGGAATGAAAAAAGTAAACAAACCTTGTTACTATTATTATGATGATAATTTACAGAATTCTCTGTATCAGACACATCTGAAGTGCTATCTTCATCAAAAATATTCCTCTAAGTAAGAATAATTGTCCATTTCAAGCTTATAATCAGAATCAGACTCCACAGCAATGTTTTAGTGTGTAGTAACAGTGAGATGGAATTGTGGCAAAATATGAGTAAATGGCGAAAAGGAAAATTTATGAATGGACAAGTTGCTACCAGATTTCTTCAAGAACTAGTAGAATAAAAACGATTTTTCTTTATTGCCAAACAGAAATTTAACACTCCAAAATAGTAAATCTTTATTTTCGCCTTTTAATATTATTTTTATATATATATTAGGGGTCGTTTTTTTCATCCGCCATATATGAACGATTTTTCAATCTCTCGTCTTTTGAGAGTTAATTGGCTTAGGCAGATGTAGAATTAAGTAATTGGTGGATGTAGAATTTACTATCACGTAAGAAATTGACTATACAAGACAAAACACTGCATATTCATGGTTTGGTAGATTAAAAACATCTTCCTCCATAATCCATTCATCAACATGATTAAACAAAGTAGTGCTTGTATTTTTGTTGTGCGCAGGGCTAGAGTCGACCGAGACGTGCAGTCCTGTAACTTTAACTTTTTTTTTTTCATTTCTTAGGATAGGAGGGAGATATTGGTTAAGTTCCACACTTTCATGGCAAGGTACTTGTAATGCGCAAAGCATTTCTTAATATTTTATTGGAAGTATTTGGCCACTTGGTAAGTAAAAAGAATTTTTGGTAATCTACCACTTGAGCATCGGCTGTGAAAAAAAAAAAAAATTGTTTAAATAGCACTTCAAACTGGCAATGGATTTTTTCATGGCTGATGCTCAAGCGGTAGATTACCGCATTTTTTTCCCTGTCCTGACTCAGGGAGGCAATTTGCAGATTAGAATACGATAATAATAATTAGTACTAAATTATTAATAATAGTCTTTAAAATAGTATAAGTATAATATATAGTATAATATAGTATACATGGGCGCCCGCAGAAAACTTTAGGGAATCGATTAACTTTCCAGGGGGGGGGGGCAAATTTTTTTTAGTAATGTTTTAATGTAGTTTTAATTTACGAAGTGTCTACACGTCCGGCACGCCGGACAAATAGTGCGCAAGTTATACGTCCGGGGGTATGTCACGTGACCGCCGGATGACTAGTATTTTTATAATTCCGAACGAAGTACAGTTTGGTAGATCTTGTGTGGTCTAGTGGTAGCTTGACGATATTATTATTTGAGGATCAAACCCGGGGATAGGATCGTTTTTTTACTCCCATTTTAATGTAAAATATTTTATACTATATTTATATTATCATGTTCATCAGCAACATGAGAAGTTTTTAAATATTTTGTAACAATTTAAAATGAAATCTTTTACTTTTATTGGTTGCCTTCTCCACACTGGCCCCTAATTTATTTTATGGATTAGTGGTGCACAAACAGACTAAACAAAAATGTTTACAAGCCACTTTCACTTAAGTTTTTTTCTATTATTTGCATTCAAGATACTCAGTACATTACTTGGTAGAGAAATAGATTTTAAAATTAACAATAGTTTTGAATCATTCGCAGTCACGTGACAAAGCTGACCGACAAGATATCTCTCGCCATTTTGTTACGGCGATCATGTGACTTGGTCGCCTGACAAATAGTGCGGGAGATATACATCCGGCCGCGCCGGACGTGTAGACACTGCCTTTAATTTACTGTAGTCTGTAGCGTATTTGTATGGTGAACGAACGGACAGGACATCAGCTTAGTTACTTTCTCTTTATTTTCTCTTTCCTTTAATACATTTTTTGTCTATTTTTGTCTAAAATTTTTTTATCCAATCAATCCAGGGGGGGCAAGTGCCCCCCTCTGCGGGCGCCCATGATAGAATAGTAGGCAATAGGCTGTGTGGGACAGAGGCAGAGGTTAAGCATAAGTAATAAGGTGGTTGGAAAAGCAGTCTGCCCTGTGCATTATCATCATACTGGCTGAACTTGGGAATAATACCATTTAATTAATTATTTATTTATTAATTATTTTATATTATATTAATTCAGTTATTCAGACAGCCGCAGCTGAGTCAACTGACCAGGCACTGTCACTGACCTGTAGAGTAGAGGCATTAAAATTAAATTATCGAAATAAGGAAAACAACAACTTTAGTACCCTTCAATATAGCTCCGATCTCCAAGGAAATCATTAAGAACTTGAAGTCCTGGCTGAGATTTAAGATCTCCAAAACCCATAATTAAATTAAATTTTTTTAAAATATCGTGGCAAAAGCCGATGAAGAAAAACGTGTAAACTCTTCAGTGAGCGGAAGTAAAAGGGCTTAATTATTAATAGTAACAGTTAGGCTAACCGAGCAAAGTAAAACATTTTTTTTTTCCGAAATTTTAGGGATTAATAATAGGAATAAAAAATAATCTAAAAGTTCTTTTTATGAAATATTCAAGCAATAAAAAAAGGAACAATTTATAAATTTTAATTTTAAAATTTAATGATACCTTTCATTTTGTTTTCTTTTTTTTACTGTGAAATTGTTTTGCGGGTTACGAAAACACTGCTCTTTTTTTAAAGGAAGGTCACCGGAAAGGATTCGAGGCCGATTTAAGGTTAATAATTAGTGTTTCGTGTTTTGGAATAAAAAAAGAAAAGTCTCACTCCAGTCTTGAACACGCAAGGTTGTTAATAAAAATTTAAAAAGCTACAACCAAAATTTCAATTAATATATGGGTAGTCTGTTCAAAACCGTAATTCATAATATTTGAAAATGGAGGCGACCAAAGTTATGAAACCAGGCAGTTTGAGACAGCTATTACTATTATTATTATATTGAATTCAGTTGTCAGTTCAGTAGTACTGTCAGTAGTCAGTAGTGTAGTAATTTAATTTAATCAGCTATTACTATTTGAGTTTGAGGCCCATTTTTGTCAGAAGTGGCTGTATGAATCACTCATGCACTGTTCACTTTTCAAATCCTCCATAATATATTCAATAATTTACACCAATATTGATACAAATTACTCAATAAATTCATAGCAGATGATATCATGTCTGTTTTTAAAAATTTTTTACTGATTAACTGTCTAAAGACACTAAAGTTGTTGAGTGTTCAGCACTGTTAGGAGGTACTACTTGGCAGACAGAAATTTTAAATATTTTCCATGAGTGCATAAATTATGATAAACAATACAATAATTTTAAAAGTAACAAAAATTTCAAGGTGTATGTCGTACATCATATCCATCCATGCCTGTGGCGCTGCTGCTACAGCCCATGTTGTCAGTTGTCATGAAGGGCTTAGCCTGCCTCACTACTTCATTCCACTTAATAAGATTTGACCAATGCTTTTCTTTTCCATGCTTGGATTCCCAGTTGTTGTAGATCTTTTTCCACATCATCCATCAATCTAAGACTAGGTGTAGATCTTTTTCCACATCATCCATCAAGCCTAGGTCTGCCTTTGATTTTGGGCCGTTTTCCTCTGGGGTTTTGGTGATGCACCCTCAGGCCCTCTTCACTCATTCACTCCTCTGCCATTTGGCATTCTCTCTTTGTCCTGCTCAGTAGCCTACCCTTTTTTATTTCTGCTACCATCATGGGATCTTGATATAGACTGCACAATTCATGGTTGGTTTGTATTCTCCATCCATTTTCATCCTTTGTTGGTCCAAATATTTTCCAGAGAACTTTTCTCTCCCATGTGTTTAATAAGTTTTCTGCAATTTTTTTTAGGGTCCAAGTTTCACTTGCATATGTTACAACTGGTCTGATCACAGTTTTATAAATAGTTTTCTTTCTCTTGTCATGTTTTTACTTTTGAGTATTTTCTGACTGCTGAAGTATGACCTGTTTCCGGCTGATATTCTTTCTTTATTTCTACTAGTACCGGTAATTCTTTTCTTTCATTTAATAAAGATCCTAGGTACCGGTATTTGAATTGATTTACTTTTTCAAAAGTCTGGTTTCTAATTTTAATGGCTTCATCTGTCTATTTTTCTCTTATCATAGACATGTATTTTGTTTTTTGGTTAACTTCCAGCCTTGCTTTTATTGATGCAACTTCTAATTCAATAATCAATAAAGGATTTTGATATGTCTTTAATACTTTTCCCTAGCAGTGCTATGTCATCAGCATATGCAAGATACTGAAGGGTTGATTGTAGAGAGTGCTCATTGGTTGTGGGTCTTGGGTATCCCTCAAAAACTATCCTGTTAATGTTCCTCGGGTGTGAATATGTATGCTTCTTTTAACTCTCTCTAATGTTAGGTTAAATAGCATACAAGACAGTGATTCTCCCTGTCTTAGGCCTCGTCTAATATGAAATTCTAATCTGAACTGGCTCTATGAATCACTCATTCACAGTTCAGATATTGCATAATATATTCAATCACTTACACTAATATTGATAGAAATTACTCAATAAATAAATATCATATATTTTTTTCTTTTACACTGTTCACTGTCTAAAGTTGTAGTAATTGTGTGTTGGGCCGTAGGTACTTGAAGCATACAGCGGTGTAAGAATAGGGCTTAACTGGATGCAGTTTTTTTACAATGGGTCCAGGTATTTTGAGAGTTTAAGTGTTACAAAAAAGAGTTAACTTCTCATTACCTATAAACATAAGCCTACAGCCAGTCCTACACCCTACCTGCCTGCTTTTAAACAATAGGCTAACAGACTGTCCTACACCCTACCTGCCGGCATTTAAATAATAGACCTAATTGGAATCCTTTAGCTCCATAGAATGCCTTACTACCCTTCTGCACATACTTTCTTTGCAGATAAAAATTTAAATCATGATATGGTGTATGTCGTACATCATATGGACTAAGAAACTTTTTTCTGCAGTATGAGCATTTTACACTTAGAGGCAAAGGTTATCATTGCTTGTTATATGTAGGCCTATGCCAAATTTTAAAATCACAACAGCTCTCATCCCACCATATGTTTGAATGGCCCATGAAATGAATAATTTCCTTGGTTTACCAAATTATTTGCTGCAGTATAAGATATTTGGCTATAGTTAGATTGGATATATAAATTGAGAATCATTGTCTGACATAAAATTTAATTTACCTGAGCCTGGTATAATAGGGCTAAACCCAGTTTGGTACACCACATCTCATGGTCTCTACCAACATCACTTCCCTTACCAAACTTTTTGACCAACTTTTTTTGTATCCTTTCAATTTTATCTTCCAGCACTCTTCTTATGACTAATAATGTTGTATTATCCCTTTTCCCATGTCAGACCACCTAAGCTTTTATTTCTTTGTTTTTTATCCTACCTAACACCAGAGAATGACACCTTTTAACCGAGCTACATTTCTTAAGTTTATTTCATTTGTATATTTGCATTGTCTCATTTCGTTGACAGATAAAAGCTTTGTTTTCTCTCAATTCAAGCTTAAAACTTTAAACACTTTGGTCTTTATGTTATAGCCTAATCTGATTATGTGTCTCTAGGGAAAAGAAGTTAAACTATTTTTAAACTTTATTTTGGGGATGAGATAATTTTGAAAGTAAATAATCTCCACTTTACTAGCTTCAAGGCTTCTGTGAGACAATGTTGTATTTTTATGATGGTAGACATCTCGGGTACTTTAATAAGCATTTTAGCAATGGGGTTAGGTTGCATAACCCAAAATTAAATTGACACCACTTTTTTCAATGAAACAATATTTATGGGATTCTTATTGCATTTTAGTAGGATTCCACTGAATTATCTGAGGCAGCAAATTTTTGAATATTTTAGAACCGAAAAAGACATAATTATTATGTGTATTTGCAAGGGATGTAATTACCATTTATAAACTTAATCATGTTGCAATATTTCTGTGTTGCAGAACTTGGAGTGAATAAAAAGCAATGTTGCGACTGTGGCCATTACGTCAAGTTGCTAAAGTTCAAAATGTTTTAGGGGGGTTAACACAGATAGGTAAGATTTTTAAATTTAAAGATAAGTGCTGAGAAATGATGAGTTAATCTCTTAGCTACATATACGTGGAAAATCTAACATTAAATATTGAAGATCAATTTCATTTTCATGAAACTTTCAAGAAAAGGAATGTCATAAACAGAAATAAACTCATCTAAGAGATGGCAAACCAGAGTTGGAGTCCAAAAGGTGGATAACATGATGTTCCTTTATTTTATCTGGGTGCATGGAGAGACACGATTTGCTGTTAAGAGAATCAGCTTACTCTCCCAAAGAGAAATCCTAGGCCTTGTGATTTGGTCCGGTGAAATCTACACCATCGTCACATTATATCGGATGGATGCCAGCAAACAAACAGAAATAGTAAAGTCAAATTGAAGAATTTCTGTTGCCAACTATTACATAAAACCCCACTAAAAAGTTTCTTTTGCAAGTTTTGAGCTTATTATATACTCTTTCAGTTCATGGACAAAGTGCAATGATTGTACAACTTTATGAATTTATATGATAACTGTCTTTTGTAGATATAATAATATAGCTGCTTCATGATGGAAACAGTTTTAAATTGTGTCTGGTTTTTCATTTTTGCTCTTAATTTACGGGTATTCCATTTCAGCAACAAAATCATCTCAGCCAGTGCCTGCCCCAGAACTTGTGGAAGTATTTATTGATGATAAACAAATTTTTGTAGAACCAGGAACAACTGTGTTGCAAGTAAGTGCTAGCAATATTTTGAGGCACAGTAATGCCCCGGATTACGATTGGAAAACAAGAACATTTTAAAAATAAATATTTAATTGATAAATGAGTCATAACTTGCAATATGAGAAATAATTCTTCATGTCCACTTTGTGTACCTAATGTCACATGATCACAACTGAGCCAATGGTCTCTTGCTGCGGGATTGCCTGTAGTAGTGCAAGCAATGAATCTGTTCAACAACAATGCAATATCTCATTTCCATAAATACCTTAAATTGAAGCAAAGACAAGTTTCTTTGTATTATAATAGGTTCCTTGAAATGAAGTCACAAAAAGAAAAAAAATATTCCGTTACGCCAACAGCCAGCAGTGATTCCTTTAGTGACAGATAGCCTTATTACAAATTATCCCGCTCCTCTCTTTCTTCTCCCATACACCAGCAACAAATAAATGTAATTAGAAATTTGAATACTGGTACTGTACTTAACAGTAAATTTAAAAATAACAATTTATTTTTTAATATTGATTTTTAAATGAATATTTTGGGCTTCGTAATGAATTATCTGAGTTTCCATTATTTCTAATGTGGAGATTTGCTTTGATAATCAATTTCTTTGGATTACAAACATGTTTCCTAAAGGAATGATGCATATAAATATAATATGAGGTTCTACTGTACCTGAATAAGCTATTGCTTGTACATTAAGACACATGTATGTTGCTTTAAGAAATAATTGAAATAGTAATTGTTTTTAAAATGCCATCTTGTTACCATCAATATAAATATTGTACAAATAATTTTATTGCAAATAAGAATAGACAAAAAACCGAGATCATGTTTCTAGACCTATTTCAATGTAATTGTGACTTTCAATAATTTTTTAATTACGAAGGCATGTGCTGTTGCGGGTGTGGAAATTCCAAGGTTCTGCTATCATGATCGTTTGTCCATAGCAGGCAACTGCAGGATGTGTCTTGTTGAAGTAGAAAGGTCTGCCAAGGTGTGCCCACGTTTTCTTATTTGCTATATATTTCATTAACTTTGGAAAAAAAAAAAAAAGAAAGATCAATAATATTGAAGATAATCAGAGAACATTTGCAACGCTTAAATTGTCAATAAATACTAATAGCAGGCAACTACAGGATGTGTCTTGGTGAAGTAGAAAGGTCTGCCAAGGTGTGCCCACGTTTTCTTATTTGCTATATATTTCATTAACTTTGGAAAAAAAAAAAAAAAGAAAGATCAATAATATTGAAGATAATCAGAGAACATTTGCAACGCTTAAATTGTCAATAAATACTATAAATTATAAATATATTTAAATTGTGTGTCAATCTTGTTTTAACTGATCCTTTGTTTATGTATATTTTATCTAGTTCGAGGTCTGCACCTGTTGTCACAAACATTCTCCATTGGCTTTCACTGATCTATTTTATTCCCTCAACTTTTTTAAGAAGGCCCAAAATGGCAAATTAAAAAGATATATATATAACTGTATCAGCTTGCCATAATATGCACATTTTATAAATAATGCATGTGTTTAAATTTAAAAATCAGCATAAAAAATTAAATGAGTTATAAAGATCATAAAAAAATTGAATAACTCATAAATCAAATGATTATACCAAAATGACCCTGTAAAATATAATTTGGTGTATACATTTTTATTTATTTGTATATGTAGAGCATCTCTCTCTCTCTCTCTTTTTTACTTGAGATTTTTTTCTATTGTTCAAAAGCCTGTTGCATCATGTGCAATGCCAGTAATCAAGGGAATGAAAGTGAAAACAGATTCACCAATGACAAGAAAAGCAAGGTTTGCATTATTTTATTTACTTTGGCATTGAATAACTTTAGGATATAATTTTTTTATTAAGTGTCACATTTGTTTCAATTCAACATTGCCAATTTAGTGAAACTGTTTGAATAAAACAAAAAAAAAAAAAAAAAAAAAAAAAAAAAAAAAAAAAAAAAAAAAAAAAAAAAAAAAAAAAAAAAAAAAAAAAAAAAAAAAAAAAAAAAAAAAAAAGCCAGCCAGTGTAAAACTGAAACAATTCTAACAGCAGTTATATGATTTTACTACAATTTTTCTTATACATTTTTGTTTTATTATAGAAATTCCACTAAAAATAATTGCCCCTGTTTTTGTATTACCAGGGAAGGTGTTATGGAATTTTTGCTGGTCAACCACCCGTTAGATTGTCCTATCTGTGATCAAGGTGGCGAATGTGATTTGCAGGTAAAGTAATTATATTTGAAAACTTATTATCTATAAACTTAATACAAGCTTAGAGCACACAATATTGTGCTGTGATTAGAAAACTCAAAGTAATTTTATTTGTATTTTTTAAAATGTACCGGTACACATTTTTCTTTTAGGACCAGTCTATGGCTTTTGGCAGTGATAGAAGTCGCTTTACTGACAATGCTTTTACTGGGAAACGAGCAGTTGAAGACAAGAACATTGGCCCTCTTATCAAGACTATTATGACCAGATGCATTCACTGTACAAGATGTATAAGGTCATCTTTAATTTACTATAATATTTAATGATGCCTGTGAATATTAATTAGCTTAATAATTTTAATTTAACAAATCAGTTCAGATTTAAAATCATTCATTGTGTTTGTAAATCTTATTTATAAGTGTTTTAAAAAAAGTTAAATAAAATAAATAATTGTTTTTTAAAGTATTGAGGCATTCAAGCTAGTAAATCTGGACTGAAAATTGTTAAAAGTAAAAAAAATAATTTGTAAAAAAAAAATAAATAAATTTGTAAATAAAAAATCATTAATTTATTGAATCTACCAGCACTAACCCTTTACACACATACATTCTTAGATGTCTATATTTTATTTGTCTTTGATAAAAAAAATTGATAGAAGATCACATTCCAGTTTAAAAGCAAATTATATAGACTTTTTTTTTCTGTTTCCTCCCAGGTTTGCTAGTGAGATTGCAGGTGTAGATGACCTAGGTACAAGTGGACGAGGTACAGAAATGCAGGTTGGCACTTATGTAGAGAAGATGTTCAAATCTGAACTCTCAGGGAATGTCATTGATCTTTGCCCTGTTGGAGCTTTGACTTCAAAACCATACGCTTTCACAGCCAGGCCATGGGAGATAAGGTATGCAGTTGAGAACATGCAACATGTATACTCATTTTGGTTGTTATATTATAAGATTTTTAAACGTATGCTTTTAGTGATTTCAAATTTCAGTAGGTAAGTGCTGATTTGGAAATGTTAGAACTTCTTTTTTGAATGAACGTAATGTCAATGGCCAGGTACTGTATATAGTTAATTTAAATGTTACACTATAACTATTTAATTATAGTGATTAGCCTCATAGATATGAAAATCTATGAATGAACTTGTCTGGTTTCACCAGGAAAATTGAGAGCATTGATGTGATGGATGCTGTGGGCAGCAACATTGTTGTCAGTATGAGGACTAATGAGGTCATGCGAATTTTGCCCAGATTAAATGAGGTTTGGAAATAGACTATACATTTACATTGTTAGTTAATATTTACTTTATTCTTCAGTGATAAATGTAGATTTTTAATAGTAATTTTAAAGTTAGTTTTAAATTGAAGTGATTTTTTTGTTCATTTGGGTTTCACTGTAACATGAAGGTTGGACACTTGCATTTCAAATGGTTGAAATAATTTTGTTGCATTTAATTAATATTTTATAAGTTAGATCTTGAAATTATTTTTCATTCAAAGAAAATGCCATAATATTTTTTGGACCAAGACATGTGATAAATTTACTATCCATTGGTATATTTTTACACTCGAGTCCTACAGCAATTCAGGGAAATCTGGGAGCGAGCAATCCAAGTAAAGCTCTCTCTTCGTTCCACCCCAAACAATTATTATTTTTTAATTTCTTTCTAACACTGTAATTTTTGTAATTTTAAAGAATTTCTTTTTGGTTTGTGTCTTATTTTTTAAACCCAAAGTTTACATTTAAGTGATATGTGAAACTTCTTAGGGTCAAATATTATCATCTAATTATGTAAAGTAATTTTTAGACTCTTTGGTTGAATAAAATATTTCAATCCATATTTTTTTTTTTGAGCTGCAGTCTTTCATAGCTATTTTAAAAATTGCTAAATAGCATATAATAACAGTGAAGTACCAATTACCAATTATAATGCTGCTTGGTGAAAGCCTATAACTTATGATCTTAGAACTGAAAAAAAAAATCAGCTTGTAATCTCAATAATATTTGTAAGTTAATATCTATTATAGCAAAGAAATGATTTCACTCAATGAAGCAACTTGTATATTGTTTCTTTTTTCCTTAAGGAAATTAACGAAGAATGGATTTCTGACAAAACACGTTTTGCATATGATGGACTGAAGAGACAAAGACTGACCACACCATTCATTAGAGTGAATGACGAACTGGTGCCTACAGACTGGGAAACCGCATTTGTTAAGATCGCTGAAAAAGTAAGGATTTTTTTTAATGCCTCAACACTCCACTTGATGAATGCTTATTTAACCTGTTTTATAGAACTAGTAAAAAAAATATTGCACCTTGTTAAATGCATTGTTTAGTTTTTAAATACCTAACACAAAACTCATAATTACAATGTTTAATACCTGTTTTATCTAATATTTATGGCCTGAATGTACTTTTAGGTCAAGTCCACAGAACACGCATCAATAGCTGGAGTTGCTGGAAAGTTTGCTGATGCAGAAGCAATGGTTTGTTTGAAGGACATGATCAACAGGCTTGGCGGAGAGATCCTCTGCACTGAGGAATCTTTTCCAATGACCACTTCAGGGCAAGTTTTTGGTTTAATTTTGTTTTGTAATAAACCTATTTTGGGGACTGCCATATTTTAAACCATCTTGAAATAAGCTTGTGGACAATAAGTGCTTTTTTAAAATGCACATTTGTTTTAAACAATCTCAGTCTGGAAGAGAAAATGTTTCTAAAATGATTCTGTCAAGTTAATGAAATAAAAATTGTTTTTCATTTTAAAGTAATATAATCCACAAAACAGGATTGACTTTAGATCGAACTATATCCTGAACTCAAAGATTGCTGGAATTGAACAGTCTGACTTGATTCTTTTAATTGGCACAAACCCCAGACTGGAGGCCCCTTTGGTGAATGCCAGGATCAGAAAAACGTAAGTGCTGATACAGATGTCAATATGGACATTAAAAAATAATTTAAGTTTGCCAACGTTTGTATAATTGTTAAGTTTAAAATCAAGAGCTGAAGTACAGTTTAAAGAGCTGAGTTTAAAAAAAAAAATGAGATTTGTTTTTGAACTTATTAATATTTTATTAAAAATATTTGAACTGTGTTCAAAAGTCCATTGGTAGTATTTGTGCATTGTTCTAATCAGAGGAACATGTTAGCGAAGTTAAGTCAAAAAGCTTTTAAAGCAGGGTGTCCTTAGAAGTGTTAATGTATGTGTTTCTTTCGTGTTTCAGTTGGGTACACAATGAAGTGTGTGTTGCTTTACTTGGTGCCCCAGTGGATTTATCATATGACTATCAAGTAAATTACCACACTATTTACAATAAAAAAATGTTTCCATATTAAAAAAAACCATTGCATTATCTTTATAAATATTATTTACAGTTAGTTTTCAAAATTAACTTTTCATGTTTAGGTTGTTGGAGAAAAAGATTTCTGATTCTCTAGACAAAAATACACCAAAAACTCTGTATTTGAAATATCTACTAATTTATCAAAATCTAACATCTTAAAAATTAAACTTTTTTTTTTATTCTTCCCCAAATATTCATCTTATGTATAATTATAATATTATTATGTTGTTTTTTTTGGCATTGTTTGTAGATGTTGAGCTTAAAAAAATTGTTTCAGATGCCTATCTGATTCTTTCATCAGGTATTTGTTTGTTTTCCTAAAGTTATAGTATGTAATATTTCAGTTTTGCAATGTTATTTCCATCTGCTATTGGTAAATATAATTATTTTAACAGTATCTTGGTGACAGTTACACAGTTCTGAAAGATCTCACTACAGGAAAACACCCACTCTGCCAGGTTAGTATTTAAACCCTTTAAAAAAACAACTAAAGAAATTAAATTTGAACCTTTTTGATTGAGAGGGAATGGCATATATTCTCATCTCATTAAAATTTATTTTAATCATATCCATTTATTGTCATGGTTAAACGCCTTAACCATTAAAAAAAAAATCAAATCTCATATTGCTTTTGATTCATCTGAAAAATCTTTTATATGTGCCTGGATTTTTAATATTGAAATGTGTAGCTATCAAAAATTTTCTAAAACTTTTACAGGCTTTGTCAAAGGCTAAGAAGCCTTTAATTATTCTTGGCACAGACTGTCTGCAACGTGATGATAGTCACATTATTCTTAATGCTGTCAGGGAATTATCTGAGAATGTTAAAAAGACCTGTTCAAATAAAGATTGGAAAATTTTCAATGTACTACAGCAGGTCAGTTTATAGATGAAAAAACATAATTAACATTGACTTATTGGCTGGCATAATAAGAAATAACATTAGGCATTGTCCCATTGGATTACATAAAAACTATATATATATTTTGAGTCTTGTGTGTCCTGCTTCCTTTTCAAAACCGCCCTAACCCCAATTCCACAGTTTATATTAACAGTACTGAGTGGAAAAAAAAGATTGTCATGCGTGACATGTGAAAGGAATCAAGTTTAATTTTCTTTAGGGGAGGGGACTATTACATTAAGCAATGGATATGGTGTAGGACCGTCTGTTGAGCTATTTTTTAAAGGCCGACAGTTAGGGTGTTGGACTATCTGTAGGTCTATTGTTTTAAGTCCGGCAGGCAGGGTGTCGTACTGTCTGTAGGCCTATTTCTCAAAATACCCGGACCCAGTGTAAAATACTGCGCCTGGTTAAGCCCTAGTAAGAAATAATACCATGAGGCATTGACCCATTGAAGAATATTTACAAGAAACTAGCCCATAAACCCACCGTTGCCCGGGATTGCATTCGGAAAAACAACTTCTACTTACTTTTAATTAACATTGAAATTAACCGCCATGTAAAAAAACACCACCACCCCTATATCCTGATCCCAGTGGTTTCATGATTCTTGTGGGTCCTGTTTGCCATTAGGACCTTGTTTCCTCGTAGGATCCCAATACAGTGGGATCCCTACTTGTGGGATCCCAATGATATCCTGATCCCGTTTGGACCATAATCCCGGTGTGATTTTGATACTGGTGTGATCCCGATCCCAGTGGTTTCCTGAACTCGACAGGTTCCCAAGCCTGGTGGGTCCCATTTCCCATTGGGATCCTGATTACCGGTGGGATCCCGTTTTCAGGTGGAATCCTCTTCTCTGATGGGCTCCTGTTTGCTGATAGGATCCCTATTTTATCGTGTTACTCAATGGGATAGCGTTACCAGGGTGGGGGGGGGTGGTGGGGGGGGGGGGGGGGGGGGTTCTAGTTTACTCATTCCCCTTTAGGATCCTGTTCCTCGTTGGGATAATGTTCCCAGTGGGATTTGTTCTCAGTAGGATTATGTTTAAAGAAAATCCCCATAAAAGTATAGAAATGAAAGAACTAAACTAACATCTCAATAAGCTTTTAGATCCCACATATATCCCCGTAGAACAATATTGAACTTTCTGGAACATTGTAGATTAAAATTAATATGCTCATCGAAATGTGTAAAGAATGACTTTTCTAAGAAATTATTATTTTGTATATGAAAAATTATACAACTAAATGCACTACTATAGCTAAAGTCAATTTAAGTTGAAAGTTCCATAATGTACCGAATTAGTTTTGCCTGAGATAGGGAACCCTATAAAAATCAGTCAGATAAATTTATGGAGTTAAAATTTATCTTTTAAAAATTCTCTTTAAAATGCCATAGATTTAGCTTTTTAAAACTATTGAACTTTCTGGAAAATTCTAGATTGGATATTCTTAGTTTTAAATCCACCCATATTTTAAAATGGACTAGGAATGTCATAGGCCTAGATCCATCAGTGCACATAAAACCTATAGTGTTTTCTAAGCCTATTCATATTTATATAGCTTATATAAGGAAAAATGAAATGGGGCCATGGGAAAAAACGAATTTGGGGCCCCCTGCCCCAAACGGAATGTTATAAAAAGTTCATAACCTCTTAAGAAATACCTTTCGGATAATGATAGATGTATGTGCCAAGTTTGGTCAAGATCCACCCATTCATGTAAAAATGTAAATGGTACAAACGAACAAACAAATTTTCACTTTTATGTATATACCGTATATGATTTAACACCATACAACTACTATAAAATTTATGTGTTGATAGCAAATCAGCCAAGTAGTTAAAATTTGAAATTCTATTGTGCATATCCCAAGTGGTAAATCTACACAGTGACTTTAAACTTATAGTTGCATGCTTGAGAGGTGTATTAGGAACTGCAGTCACTTTTTTAAATTGCGCATTTGTTGCACCCCTGTGGCTTCTTGGCTAAGCTGGTGCCTCTAGAGATTCATGAGCTTTTTGACATGTATGATTTGTCAAATGTTTATTTTTGCCAGCAAAACAAGAAAATATTTAACTTTATATCTATATATAAATAACTATTTAATTTTCTTATTTATTAAAAAAAGAAATTGGATGCTTTTTTAAAAGCCGCTCATAAAACGTAATGAAACATTACATTGTTTAATACATTTAGCATTACAGTATAGTAGATAGAATGTAAAGTATTTAAGAAAAACCCATCACAAATTGAATGTATCTCTAACTTTTTATGATATGCAGGTTTTGTACAGCAACTATGCATTTATAGAGCCTTTTGAATTTGACTTTCATATCTAAATGCTGGAATGTTTATATATAACTTTTCATGGATAAATCAGAGTGCATCTCAAGTGGGTGCCCTTGACCTAGGCTACCAGCCAGGTGTGCAAGCTGTAAAGACAGTGAAGCCTCAGGTGCTGTTCATGCTTGGAGCTGATGCCGCCTCATTCAAAAGACAAGATCTTTGCTACAATGCTACTATTATTTATATAGGTAAAAAAATATAAACAATGGAAGATATACATTTTTAAAATTTATCTGGTTTTTCACGCTGCTTGAACTAATATTTATAGTATTCTTGTAAAAATGGGCAAGTGACCTTAATACATACATTTCTAACATCTAGAGCGCATAGTTAGTTAAAAGGTCATCTAGCAAAGTAATTGGTTAAAAAAACAGATTAATCTGCAAAACAGCCGATTAGGGCAATGACCTATTGTCTGCTGAGTAATCTGTGCAACTCTAGGCATGATGGATCTGTGCAATTCAAGGCACAAAGGATAGGTGCAACTCTAGCCATGATGGATCTGTGCAATATCTAATTTTAATTAATTTTAAAATATACGAAATGTCCATACGATTAAATTCCAGTTTATTGTCACAAGGATATAGTATATTATACATTATTGTATTTGCAGCATCATGCTGTTCATCAGCTCTTTCACCCTCCTACCTGCAAACCTTTATATTGCTATCCAGCAATGTTGCCTTAAATAAATGAAGAAAAAAAATAGAATAAAGAATTGATAGGTTTCCCAATGCTTTGCCTGCCTTCCTAGTAAAGTTTGCCAGCCTTGGTGTTATTTGTATACAGATTTAAAAGACATTTGCAAAAGGTCATTATTAGAGATGTCACAATAACTGTTATTTGGTGTGTCTAGGACACCATGGAGACTACGGTGCGCAGATGGCTGACATTGTTCTCCCTGCTGCAGCATACACAGAGAAAGATGCCATATATGTTAACACAGAGGGACGTGTTCAAATTGGTAGACAAGCTGTGAGCCCACCTGGAGTGGCAAGGCATGACTGGAAAATAATAAGGGCTCTTTCTGAGGTAATGCATAATCCAGTTTTTGTTTTTCAATTTGATGTCTACATCATTACTAATAAAGATCGTTGAGAAAACAAATCTCTGTTATGACTATTGTGTAGTTACTGAGTTAAGTTGTAGCTTTAATTTGAACAAAAGATTTAATGTTTAAAAATAAAATTCTTTATGCGTTACCAGGCTCATGTTAGAAATATCACATGCATTAAAACTGAACCATAACAGAAAGACTTAGAAAGGGATTTAAACTAATAACTTTTACCAAATCTGAATGTCAGTTTATTTATAAAACTGTCTTTGTTTGTGAAAATGCAGCTAGGAGAACTCAAAATTGTGAAAATTTATAATTAATTTTTGAAATCATTATTTTGACAATAACTTCAAATTTAAGTTATAAATTGCATGAATTATTTCAGATTTTGGGTGTGACGTTACCATATGATAAGATAGGAGATGTCCGATCAAGACTTGCTGAGATTTCTCCATCATTTAATTACCCAGGACAAGTCAGTGATTCTGGCTTTGAAACCCAGGCGTACAAATTACAGAGTGTAAGTTAAAATCTGAAATTAAATATAAATGATAACTTACATTTTAACAATTAAATCATTATTAGAATAATATACGGAAAAAGAATATATAATGAAATCTAAACTGTGTATTATGCTCAGAATTTTGTTACTTTTACATGTTAAATTTATAAGCTAAGAGCTTATTTTTAAAAGAGCACCTATCTAAAATTAGTTGCTGATTGTTGTGTGGTATCTTCTTCATCAACCTGCTTTATTTAAGACTGATTCATGGTTAGACAAGATTTGGTCTGGTTTATGGCGATAGTGAGAACTTGGCTAAAATGAGGAAAGGGAATCCATTGGGGGAAATGAACTAAGAGGAAATTGTTTGTGCATTTGTGAATGAAAAAAGTCCATCAAAGAACTAGAGGTCTAATCAAGGTGCACTTTATTTCCTTAAAAAGCATCTGATACAATTTATTTCAACTTTAGCTTCACTTGGGGCAAAAATTTATCGTTGTGTGAAAGGATGAAAGTCATGGTTGAACCGGTTATTTTAAATATTGCTTCTACGAATGCATTCAAATACAGATTTTGTTAAAACTGTGAAATTTAAACAAATTAACTTTATTTATTTTTTTTTCATCAAATAGGAATTGAAGCCCAAAGTAGCTGAGCCATGTCCGAATCCCATTGTTCCCAACAAGTTGAAATTACGAGACTTTTTTATGACGGACCCAATCTCTAGAGCTTCACTCACTATGGCGAAATGTATTCAGGCATGTGATGAATCAGAGAAGAATCCATACTCAAAAAGAGAAGCTGTATAAGGTTGTAAATGGATACATGCTTTAGAATTAAAATAAATACATTAAGATGATATAGTGTAGGTGTGTGTGATATTGGGAAGTGTTGATATCAGTCTTGACTTTAAAAAATAATAAAATTTGTACATTAGGAACATTACTTTTCACGTTTTTGAACTATTAAACATGTTTGTTTAGCTTGAAAGTAAACGATTATTTTTAGAAATTATTTTAACTAACTTATTACTCCCTAAAAATTTTGTTAACTTTCAAAGCCCAGTATTTATTTTGTGTAAATTGGTAAGTGCATAGTATAAAAGATGTCCAATCTCATTGAGAATTCGTTAACCTACCCCACCAGATCTGCTTGGTAGAGGGAGGAAACTGTTGAAAGTTGAGAATGATGATTACAGTGACCTTCTTATTTATCTATCAAAACTAGCCAAGAAGGAAGTAAATCACACAGAAATAAAAGTGCTTTGTTACAGATGTGCTTGTTCTAATTTGGCTCAAGTGTTTTTTTATTTTTTTTATAACTTTAGACCCACAAGCTTTTTGTTGATTATATTTCTGGGAAAAGATGGACTTAATAGATTTTCAATAAATTTTATTAAATTAAATGATAGGAAAAATGTTGTATGTATTACGTCTTTTGTAATTTGTATGTGAATGTCGTTGTCTCAAATTTCTAAAGTTATAATGTATGTAAATAATGTCAATCTTCATCAGTAAAAAAAAAAGTATTTCTCTAAGGATGTTTTCTTTATTCTAGAATTGATAAATCTTTAGAAGCTTAAAATGATAATGAATGTATCAACAAAGGTGCACTCATGATTCTGAAAATTAAATAATTGAATTTTGAATAAAATAAATTATGTTTATCAAGTACTGTCTATAATGTCTGTCTGATTTATATAGACCTATATTTGCTTTGGGGGGGGGGGGTCTGTCTGTGGATTTTGGAGTTTTGCTTATGGGTTGATTTGGTGGGGTTTGTCCCTCCATAAAATTATATGAACATCTATGCACAAGTTCTGCAATAATTGTCCTGAAATTTTGCCAATCCGTAAATAGCCTATTGACATCTCTAATTGATTTCAAAGGCTATAAAAATATGACTGCATTGTTTGGTAATTATGGTCATTATTTAGCCTCATATTTTCCATGGGTGTGACACAGTTTGTGACATAATTACCTTATTCTTCTGTGTAGTTCATCATCATCATGTACCTTAGTCCTTGGACCGTTGGGGCGCCACAGATAACATGAAAACTATACTTCCCCATTCCTCTCTGTTTCCTGCACTTCGCACACCATCGCCTAGTTCTAGTCCTGTCCACTCTTTGATGTTATCTTCTCATCTTTTTCTCTGTCTTCCTCTTCTTCTCCCTCCCCTCGTTGTGCCCTGCATGATTTCTTTGGCAAGGCCTTGTTTTCTTGTTACGTGGCCATACCATGCCAGTTTGTGCCTTTTTTTTAAAGTCACCAGGAGGTCATCATATTGCCCAATTGCTTGACGAATCCTTTCTTTCATTTGTTCATTAGAGATATGGTCTAAATAGCAGATTCCAAAAATGCTTCTGAAACATCTCATCTCCATCGCCTTTATTTTTCTTTCAAGTTCTGCTGTTAATGTCTAGGACTCGCAGGCATACAAGAAAATGGAGAGGACTAATGAAGGCATCATCAGCCTGATTTTGGTGCTGGGGGCTATATTTTTGTCATTCCATATTTTCTTAAGCCTATTTAGTGCTGCTGTGGTCTGGGCAATCCTGGATATCAAATCGGGTTTGGAGCCTTCTTCCGCGACTATTGCTCCTAGGTACTTGAAGTCACGTACTCTCTCTAATCTTTCCTCCGCGCCTTTAATTTCAGTGGAGATGCCGGTGATGTTATTTATCATCTATTTTGTATTTTCTGCACTGATTTGCATGCCAAAGGATGATGAAGTCATGTTGAGATGCTTTACTAGGTTGGCTAGCTCTTCTTCGTTCCCAGCCAGCACGTCTATGCCATCCGCAAAGCATAGGTTGATGATTGTTCTGCCGTCAATGCTGACTGTCCCTACATGCACTTCCAGTGCATCTGACATGATTCTCTCTAAGAAGATGTTGAATAGGGTGGGGGAGAGCAGGCAGCCTTGTCTTACTCCAACCGTGGTCTTGAACGAATCTCCAATGTTATTGCTGAAGAAGACTGCACTGGGGGCCTTATCATAGAGGCTGCACATCATGCTGGTTAGGTGTGTGTTGATGTTGTAGTGCCTCATAGTGGCCCATAAAGCAGCATGCCAAACCCTGTTAAATGCTTTCTTGAAATCCACAAAGACGTGGTATGGGTTATGCTGGTGTTGAGCAAATTTCTCACATAGCAGTAGTGCCACGTCCTTGTCTGAAGCCCGCCTGTTTCTCAGCCATGATCCTGTCTGCATATGGTCTAAGTCAGTTCAATATGACCTTCAGCATGACCTTGCTTGGGTGGCTTATTAGGCTAATTTGTAGGCATCTATAATGTTAAGCGCTGCAAATTTTCCTCCTATCATTGCTTGGAAGGCTTCAGCTACTTTAGCATCCTTCAGATTTCAAGGTCGAATTTGATTCTGGTATATTCCTGTTTATTTATTGATTTATAAATAAACATTAGGTTAATAGAATTTTTTTGTAAATTATGTTTAATTTATTTCCATAAAACACACATGCATAAACTCAGTTACATACAATATCATTCCTGTCAGTCTTGGTAAGCCTCCAAACAATCAAACATTCCTGTCAGTGAGGGTCAGCCTCCCAACAATCTCCCTTACTTAAATGCTCATCTCTACTGTTGTTCATAGCAGTGGTAAGCAAATAAACTCGAGCATAGTGAGGTGTCAGCCTGATATCAATCACGGCAAATAAGTTCATTTATCCCAGATATCTAGTTTAGTACCGTATGTTGAGACCATGGAATAACAGAGATAAATCGAATATTGCTTTGTCGAGTTAAAACTTTCAAGGGCAGCTGCAAGACTTTTATCATCTAAATCAGGGATCTCAAACTCGCGGCCCGCGGGCCATTTGCGGCCCGGGCGTTCTCCCCATTGTCATATCTATAATGTGACCCTCCGCGACGGTTTCAGTCGAATATCTTCGACTAGTCTAATTGTGATTTTTATTGTGTTTGTATAGATTTGGACGTTAATTATAATGGAAAACCCGTTTTAAAATCGGACTAAATTTTTTTATTTTATATTATTATTTGAGATCAACATGTCCAAAGTGTAGTTTTGAGAAAAGTTTAAAAAGTAATTTAGTGAGTAATGCACAGCCATGTTAGTGTTAAATCGTATCAATCTGACACACTATCAAAGAATCCCTATTAAAATTGCCGTCAGTGTTTACGAGTGAGGGAAATTCCTAGCCTGTCAGCTTGATCACTTTCAAAAAAGGGTTAGACAAAAAGGCCTTTATACGATAAAAAAAAAATCAAAATTCAGTCTTCCTACAAAAAAATCTCTTTCGCATACACAATTCATAAATATTGCCTGCTCCAGACTACTGTTTGAACACGTTTTAGCCTTCAAAGCCTTCATGAAGAAGGATGGCGTGGTTGTTCCTGTAATAAGCGATCCCAAATGGTTCATTGACTTAGCTTTTCTTGTTGACATTAAACGGGAGCTGAATGTACACAACAAGAAGTTACAAGACCAGGTGTAGCCTTTCTGTGTTGCCTATGACAATGTCAGGGCATTCTGCAAAAAACTTGTGTTATGGTTCTTAGAGTAACCTCTGCCATTTCCCAACAGGCAAAGTACTCATGGACTTGGGCACACCATTCAGTAGTAAGTATATTGATGCTATTGCAAAGCGACGGGAAGAATTTGATCACATGTTTTTAGACTTCAAAATACACAGAACCACTTTTCAACTTCTTTGCTGACCCTTTCTCCTTTAATGTTAGAAATTCTCCCCCCCCCCCCACACGGTTAGAAATCACCCCCCCGGCCTTTTTTTTTTATCCTGTTTTCTTTTTGCGCTTCAAATGAAGCTGATTGATATTCAGTGCAATTCTAAGTTCAAGGAGGTGAAAAAACAGAAAAGCATGGCCAATTGATGAGAGCATTGCCCTCCACCTTCCCTGAGATGTCCAGGTTGTTCAAGCGGATGTTATGCCCCTTTTCAAAGTACCTATCTGTGGGAAAAGTTCTTTCCCACTAACAAGTCAAAGTTCAGGGTCACACTTACTGATGAGCTTCCTCAACCAAGCCAAATGTTGCTCAGCTGTGTAAGAAGAAGCGCTGCCAGGTCTCTCGCAACAAGGGGTAGGAGGAAGAAAGTGAAGCCTTAATGTTTTAATTTGTTATTAATAAAGGTTGAGCAGATTGTAACATTTGTACTTTAATGAATTTGTAATCGCTTTTTGTGTGGAATACTTAATGCGGCCCAGTCTCATTCAAACTCTACCTCCTGCGGCCCCCGGATGATTTGAGTTTGAGATCCCTGATCTAAATATACAATTCTCTATGTGACAGTGTTACTAACGCCACCACAATTCTCTATGTGACAGTGTTACTAACGCCACCACAATTCTCTATGTGACAGTGTTACTAACGCCACCACTATTCTCTATGTGACAGTGTTACTAACGCCACCACAATTCTCTATGTGACAGTGTTACTAACGCCACCACTATTCTCTATGTGACAGTGTTACTAACGCCACCACTATTCTCTATGTGACAGTGTTACTAACGCCACCACTATTCTCTATGTGACAGTGTTACTAACGCCACCACTATTCTCTAAATAAAATGCCCCATAAATTCGCTAAATAAGATTCTTAAAAATACCGCAAGTGCGTGAACTTCTCTTTTTTTGAACCGAAACATTCTCAGTTTTGATATGATGTAATACATCTGTGGTGTAAAAGGGGTGGGACATTAGAACATTAATACAGTTCAGGGTCGAAAAAAGGCTTTGGTGGCGTACGGGTGCTCAGTTGAACAGTTCGTAACCATTAATGTTAAAAATATGCGCAAGGCGATTTCTACATTTGGAAAACCAAACTCGATGTTGTCTCTAACTATTACTTTGTAGAGTTCTGCATGACTGAACGTGGTGTTCTCATATTTTGATGCACGAAACTTGTGGCCAATATATGAGTGGAACTGTTGTAGTTCAGTATATAAATTATTGTTCAGGATAAGCATTTATTGGTCCTTCACAACACTGAGATGTTTGTGGCACATCGACCAAACAAGAAAATTGAACTGCTAGATCATGATATACCTGTCCTCGTCTACTCACCTCTGTCTCAAGTTTGTCAACAATGGTGTAGAAAGTAGATATACGAAATTTGTCTCTGGCATTCTGAGATATCTCAGGGGCATCACCATCAATGACAACTGTCTTTCGTTTACGATTACGGGTCAAAGTTGACTTATAATCCACACCTGGTGTTATTTCTTTTGCAGCTTCTTCAAATCTTTCAAATTCATTCCTAGATTCATGCAAGTGATCTGCTAGTGAAGAATACAAATCAGCACACGTTTTCAAGTTCACGTGCTCATTTTGTAGAGCTTGACTGACCCTGTGAAAATGTTGTAACACTTCTTCCCAAAAGACAAGAAAGCATGAAAGCAAATTCTAATTCTTACATCTTCTTTGCAACGTTTTCTGCTTCTCTTCTGGTGTCCCGCTTCTGAGACCCCAAAAATAGAACAAAAAAAAAAAAACTTGAAGAAAAATAACAAAAAATTGCAAAAAAAAAAAGAAAAAAAAAACTGGGTGGGGGGCATTTTACCCCCGGGTTGTGGGACCAAGGTTAAATAATGTGCGATTCAATATTACATTTGCGATTTGCTTATGCCATGCAATTACGCTATCGGGACATAATACACATTTTTATTGAGGACTTGTGGTGCCCCCCAAATGCTTGGTGCCCTAGGCACGTGCCTTGTTTGCCTAATGGTTAATCCAGCCCTGATTGCAACAGTTAGCATTGTTTGAAATCAATTGTATGAAAAGTATAGTTATTGTAATAACATGATAACATATGAAGACTCGAGGCGGTGGCCTGTGTAACAACTAATTGTATTTTGTATCATCTAATCCTACATTATTTTTATATCTTGATCACGTGACCATTCACTCCAGTCAACCAACCAATACTCGCATATTTAAATTAGACATTCATGAAAACTCAGCAAGACAACAATACAGGACAATCAGGTATGTCACCGTGGGTCACTAAATTCAGTCAGCACACATGGCAACAACAGTGGCCAATCAAATGGTAACTTTTACTGTTACAATTATAAAATAAAAAAAATAATAAACACGACGTTTTATCAAGTTCTCCATTTTTATTGTTAGTTATCTCCCGTGTACAAAAACCACGACACTTTTACTTTCACTATCAGAACCTTTTGAGAGGTAAACAAACAATGCAGATCTCGAAAAATTCTGAAATAATAATTAAAAAAGGTGATCTTAAATAATGAATAAGTCACATTTATCGGGACCTCTTAATTGCTTTAGTGGTCCAATTCAATAATTGGAATAATTCAGTTTGTCCCAATTGGATATTGAGCCCAACACACACACGTTTATTTTTTTAAAATTACTACCATTTACATGCAAAATTCCTTACGATTAGAAGTAGAAGCCGTGTTGCCTCGTACTTCACAAACACATTTTAGCCCAATATGTTTAATAATATAGGTCATTAGCAGCCAATCGAAATTTGACTCATTTAAATTAACCACGAATAAAAGTTACCAGCCAAATTTCAACATTCTCAAATGTGAGGAAAATTGACAACAAGGGACCTAAACATGTTTATCCTAAAGTCGTGTTGCCCCGATGACACGCGTCCTAAACAGTCACAAAATATCACGCAGAATCAACGGGAGTGAAGACAACAATTAGTTATTTTTTTTCTGAGCAATTTTTAACATAGAATCTCATCACACTGCTGCATTCACTCCCTTGCAACTAGTTACATATCATTTTACAATTACACATATTGTTGATGGAGTTTCTCACATTTCAGATTATGGATAGAGATGATTTGAAACTTTGATTTAGTTTGAAAGTAAGGGAATGATTAGGGATGAAACCAAATGGATAATTAGGGATGGAACCAAATGGATGATTTTTACCTTTTCACAGACACTTAAGGGGTCCGTAGATCATGGGCTAAGAACCCCTTTCATAGATTATCCAACCAAACTGATCGATTTAAAATAGTTCAATATGTATCACGTATCTAAGCTATGTACAGATTTCTGTTCACCAGGATTAGTGGAAAGTTGAGAACTTTTGGCCCAAAGATGTCGAGGACAGACAGTAATTCAAGATTGATTATATCAGAAAAAAGTAGCAAAATAATGTTAAAACACAGTGGTGTGCTGACAGTCAAGCCAGGACCATTGTGGTAATTGTCGGTACTTGTCTGTACTTATTGGATTTCTTTGGATTTTTGAATTTTTGGATTTAAAAAAATGAGCACAACGTATATTCAATTTTGGAGTATGACTTAAAGCACATCACTAACTATCCCCCTTTAATATTGAGTCATGAAAAAAATAATTGATGTCATATAATATGAGACACGGCCAGAGACGGAGTTGATTTGGCATGAGTAATGTAAGTGTTATGAGTAATGTTAGTGTTATGAGTAATGTAAGTGTTATGAGTAATGTAAGTGTTATGAGTAATGTTAGTGTTATGAGTAATGTAAGTGTTATGAGTACTGTTAGTGTTATGAGTAATGTAAGTGTTATGAGTAATGTAAATGTTATGAGTAATGTAAGTGTTATGAGTGATGTAAGTGTTATGAGTAATGTAAGTGTTATGAGTAATGTAAGTGATATAAAAAAGATCTAAGTAAAATCACAAACCTACATAACAAGTAAGACTTAATCACTACATCACTCATAGGCTGACAGCAGTGCTCGGCAAACTCATTAGTCAAAAGAGCCAAAATCAGCATCAAGACAATTACATTTTTTGGGGGGAGCCAAATTTCTTTTCAAGAACCTGTCAAGAGCCATGTTTTTCGGAGTCAAAACCGATTTTTTTCCGAATGGCCGAGCCCCCCTCAGGTCACTAAAGAGCCACATGCGGCTCGCGAGCCCGTGATTTGCCGACCACTGCATTAGACCAAAAAAATGTAACCAAAAATGCGACTGCCACATTCCTGTGACATAGCGACCACAGAGTCGTCGTCCTAAAACAGAGTCCACTGATTGAAATAAACAGGAACATTTGAATGGTGAGCAATGAAGTCAACAAGGCACTGTGATTGGAATGTCATCCAAGCTCTGCCGTTAAACGTCAGATCGTAGGTATTTACAGATTGTGCACCGGTCTACTTCATTTACGGCGAGTAGAAGATACCTGAGGGATAGATGGAGAAATAGGTCAGTTATATACAAACATGGCTGGAGATTTCATTTAAACAATAATAAGCAATGCATTTGACTCTAAATCGAGTATACTTCACTGTAACACTTTGCCATCTAACGAGATTGTGCTTGTGTAACTTCTTAGAGTCCAATGTTTATAAACTATATCAGTATTTTACCAACTATTTCAGACATGTATGGCAATCATTGGGGACAATGATGACGAGGTCCCCACAGCCACGTAATTCAAATGAGAGCAGGTCACTGTCCTACCAGAAGCTATTTGAACAGATTGACTTCTGTTTGGGACCTGGGCTGCCGCCACTGTGGGCAGGCGCCAGAGATAGTTGTGCCCTTCCGCCCCCCCTTGCCAAAGTCCAATAATTAAAGCACGTACCATGATACATTTCCAAATGTCTTTAGAGCACATATTTTGTATAAACTTACGGTCAGTCATCTAAACAGATCAAACACCGACTCAAAAGACTAACAAGTTGGAACATCACACAAACTAAACATCCTTCACGTGAAGAACTTTTTGATGAAAGATGTTATTGCAAAACTAAACACATTCTGTATGATACATCCCACCCCTTTCATCACAGATACTTAGGATCGGGCCGTTCAGGACGAATTCTTTGACTTAAGGCGAGGACTGAAAGATATAAAAATTAGCTTGTTCCCCAATCTGTACAAATTTACCAGCGTGCTCCCCCAGAGGTCACAAAATCTAAATGATAACTAATTAATTCCCTATGATGACAAAGAGAGTTCATTAATTGACTGTTTTTTTTTTTTTTTACACAAATGAAACAATTAAATGCAAATGTCTTGTGTTTAAATTGTTTTACTTGGAATATGTGGAAATGTGACTTTATTAAAACACTTAGGCCCTATTTATTTATGTGCTCAAAATGTATATGTACAAAGTAATCAAAAAAGTTCCATTTGTTTGGATCAACAAAAGAATCTTATTTTATCTTATATATAAATATCGGTAAACTTATGGCCATATAAATATATAATATCGGTAAATAAAATTCTCACCAGCAATGCAAGCCGTCAGAAAGCAGGCAACATTTCCAGCCAGCATGGCCCTAAATACAATCTTAGAGAGATCCCCTTTCCTGTTTGGGGCCATGGCACCCAGGGCGCCCAGTTGGATTCCCATCGATGATATGTTGGAGAAACCACACAGGGCGTAAGTGGCGATAACAACAGATCGGTCCTGGAAAAAAAGGGAGGGAATTAAGAAGTTAATTGCCATCCGAAACGAAGGTTTATTTTTATTTCATTTTAAGTAATTAACTTGGACAAAAGTTGCCGAATATGAAATTGAGTCACTATTAAATCAATTGAATATCGTCTGGATAGCGTGTCACGTTAGCCTGGATAGCCTGGAAGGGGTCAGGAAGATTGGGGGGGGGGGCACTCGGCTTTATAAGAGGTCCAACACTGTGGTTTCCAAACTTTGTAAACCATCTACTTTGAATCATCATCATGAGATAGGGTGGGACGTTAGCCTGGATAGCCTGGGAGGGGTTAGGAAGATTGGGGGGGGGGGCACTCGGCTTTATAAGAGGTCCAACACTGTGGTTTCCAAACTTTGTAAACCATCTACTTTGAATCATCATCATGTCCATTAGTCCTTGGACCGTTGGGGCACCACATGAAAACTACCCCCTTCCATTCCTCTCTGTTTTCTGCACTTCGCACAGCATCGCCCAGTTTTAGTCTCGTCCACTCTTTGATGTTATCTTCCCATCTTTTTCTCTGTCTTCCTCTTCTTCTCCCTCCTCTCTTTGTGCCCTGCATGATTTCTACTTTGAATACGGGGGACAAACAACTGAAAAGAGGCAGGAGGACCTCCAACAAGCACGCGATGGCTCCGTATTATGCCCCTTTAATTTAACAACAAACACATTTACTGTACATCTAATTTTTTTTCTCCAAATTAACAACATTTGATATTTTGGGTTTAGGAAAAAATGGCAGCTGATAACGTCATTTAATGTTTATCAATTCCAATCAGTGCATTTCGTGTTTTTTTTTTCCTTTTCGGTTGTTGTTTTTGTTGACATGAAAGGTGATGGTCACTAACTAAATCGATTTTAAATGATAAGGAGCATCCACAATCTAGAGAAGAAGAGTGCAACCTTTCATGAACAAAAGGTTTATTATGGAGCTGTCATTTATTTAAAGAACTTTGAATGAATTTCAAGTGTCAAGTGTTGCTCATATTGATGTCCATTTATTGACCGAAACAAAACAACTTTATCAAGCAAGTAGAGCCGTGCTTCTCAAACATTTAATAAACACTTAAACAAAATCAAGTAACCAGTAGGGGGAGCCATTTATATATATATATATATATATATATATATATATATATATATATATAAACCCAACGTCACGTGGTTTACAGTAAATGGACAGTAAACGTGTGCAAGTGACGGGAGATTGGTAGAACTGTGTTATGTCTGTCCATACGGTATTAAGCAATTCTAATTCCGACGTGAAATGATAAAATGCAGATATTATCTTGTAAGTCTTGAAGGGAAGTAAAAATAATAAGCCCCAAATTAAACTAAATTGCCAAAATAGCAATGAATATGGGACTTAGTTAAATTTGGCGTGACGCAGAATTGTAGTAATTCGTTTTAGTGTGATGCTAAATATTAAGAGATGAAAGCCTACCATTGAACACACTTTCAAAATAACAAGAGCTGGAAGCCTATCATTGCACACTTAAAATAATTCATCTGGATTTGTTTACTTGAAATTTGAAAGTTTTTAATCATCCAACGAAAGACGACTTGGTCACGATTCCCTCCAATATAAACACGCCTGAAGACCGCTGGAGTAAAGTAACGTAAAATTAAAAGGTCAAGGTCAAGATGCTGCGATATTTTCCTTAAAATTAAAACAGGAAGAGATCCTGACGTGTATCTGATAAGGACATTTTATCTTTTAAATTGTTATTACTCTCTTAGTGGCTGGTTTTTGGACTCTGTGTGTGTATGTATGTGTGTGAGAGAGAGAGAGAGAGAGAGAGAGAGAGAGAGAGTGAAAGAGAGAGAGTGAGAGAAAGAGAGAGAGAGAGAGAAGAGAGAAGTGGGGCAAGGGGAGGGGCCTCAGAGTCACGTTTGGGTTAATTTCCTATAGGGTTGCACCGATTATCAAATTAGCCGATTACCAATTATCCGATTTATCGGCCTCCAATGACATAGCTTTGAGGAGGTCTAATTATGAATTGTTGGTAACGTATAACACTACTTTATAATGAAGTATAATAAATTATAGCATTAGAACATCGTAAATAACAATTACTATTACTAGACTTAATATGTGCGTTACAGGAGTGTATCCCAACGTTGTGACAATTTGAAGAATATCGGGGGAGGGGGGGGACACGACTCTGAGATTAGGGATGTATTGACATTTCAATTGCAAAAGAGCTGGACAGGAACTTGCTGTTTTAAATCTGCACTTTAAGGGCCATCAAAGCGTCTGAAGGTCGTTAGGTGCGGTATTCGTCAAAACGTTTGGGAATCATTGACATTGGGTGACGTCATTTCATACATTTGAACCTTGGACCTGGACACGCACAGTATCAGGCTGTGATCGCCAGTGTGACAATGACAGACTCTGACTCGCTCTGATCACCAGTGCCCGAAACGACAGACTCTAGTTCTCTAAAAAAAGTTATTTTGAATGGGCAAGTGACGTAGCTAATAACAGCACGCCCTCGGGAACGTAACACTTACTTCAGAGGATGACGTCATGCAAGTGTCAACTCAAAAATTGACAAGCAAACTTTCCATCACACACATGTCAACAATAGTCGTATGATTATTATTATTTTATTATTTTTCTAACTTTTTATTTTGGGCATCAGTTTATATAAGGTATTTGGAAGACTCAAATTTTGTTTTGTATGCAAGCAGGCTAGAGACTTGTCCACACACAAGCCACAAGCTTTTCCAGTTGTGACAAAACCCAAAGGTAAATATTTAATATGTCCATTAAAACTGCATGTATTTTCAAATAACATCTTGATAATTTTTAGTAGGGCAGATTTAATAGCCGATTAATCGGCAAGAAAAAGCCGATCAACGGTTAATTGTAAAAATGGTCGAGTATTTGCTGATTAATCGGCAGCAACACTACTTACCGACATTAAATATTAGATGCGTTTGTGTTCAGAGGTGAATGTTTTTGGAGTCCAACCCTGTCGGCATTTAGTCAAGGTACACAACTGCTCAGGAGATTCATCCATAAAATAGTTGCCCCCCCCCCCCCTGAAAACAAACTTCCCCTCTGATGCAACACAGCAGAAGTGTCTTTGATTCCGCTCGTCAACTACGTTAAATCTAGGTCACTCATTGACCCTGGCCTATCTACGCTAGAGCTTGACCTACCGAGATGAGTCCCCTGGTCAGCGTCGTGGCCGTCTCATTCAGGTAGATGTCCCCACCCACCCAGGTCCAAGCACCCGTCAGATTGCCGCTGCTGTTGCCAGTAAAGTTGGCCAGGTAGGCGTCAAACGCGATCTGGTTCTTGATATACACAGACAGGTCGACGTAAGCCTGTAGTATACAAATATTAATATGTTACACGGTGAAAAAAATGTGATTCTGGTCCATTGATACATATGTGATTCTGGTCCATTGATACATATGTGATTCTGGTCCATTGATACATATGTGATTCTGGTCCATTGATACATATGTGATTCTGGTCCATTGATACATATGTGATTCTGGTCCATTGATACATATGTGATTCTGGTCCATTGATACATATGTGATTTATAATGACATAAATAAACAAGAATAGTTTATGGAAATATAAAGGGCGGTCACGAGGACCTTGAATTATGTTTTGACAAAAAACTATCAGAAAGTAATATACGGTTAGTTAGAGGTGTTGATTGCTTCAATCTGATAGCATTAAACACCATCTTGAAACTTTCAACCAATGCATGGTCAAGGGGTTGTCAATCTATCGTCAATCAACACATGTGGCGAATAGAACAAGGGGTTGTTAATCTATCGTCAATCAACACATGTGGCGAATAGAACAAGGGGTTGTCAATCTATCGTCACTCAACACATGTGGCGAATAGATCAAGAGGTTGGCTAGCTATCGTCACTCAACACATGTGGCGAATAGATCAAGAGGTTGGCTAGCTATCGTCACTCAACACATGTGGCGAATAGAACAAAGGGTTGTTAATCTATCGTCAATCAACACATGTGGCGAATAGAACAAGGGGTTGTCAATCTATCGTCACTCAACACATGTGGCGAATAGATCAAGAGGTTGGCTAGCTATCGTCACTCAACACATGTGGCGAATAGATCAAGAGGTTGGCTAGCTATCGTCACTCAACACATGTGGCGAATAGAACAAAGGGTTGTTAATCTATCGTCAATCAACACATGTGGCGAATAGAACAAGGGGTTGTCAATCTATCGTCACTCAACACATGTGGCGAATAGATCAAGAGGTTGGCTAGCTATCGTCACTCAACACATGTGGCGAATAGATCAAGAGGTTGGCTAGCTATCGTCACTCAACACATGTGGCGAATAGAACAAGGGGTTGTTAATCTATCGTCAATCAAAACATGTGGCGAATAGAACCAGGGGTTCTTCTTCTTCTATATCTTAAGGGCCCACGATCAATTTATTGATCATTTTGGCTCCTATGCATGTAGATGGGATTTGCAATGTTTCTGTTACTGGTGGTGATGAGGAAATTATGCACTAGGAGTTTGAAGGCTTGAGGCAATAGACACAAATGTGTCTAGTGTTGTCGCCTCAACTGTTCCTTTTGAAAGATGGTTCCAGTCCCTGATTGTCTTGGGCAGGAATGAGCAGCTCCTATACTGGCTTCTTGCTGGTATGAGCCGGAATTGCCTGTCATGGCCTCGTCGCTGTCTATGGGGGAGAGGGACGAGTTTCTGTTTAATAATGGAACAGTGGACCAGCCCATTATTTATCTTGTACATCATGGAGAGCCTGGATTGTCGTCGTCGTTTCTCCAATGGTGACCAGCCTAGTGTTTCCATCATGCTGCCAACACTAAAGGTATTCCTGTAGCGGTTTAGGACAAAGCGTGCTGCTCGTCGCTGGACCGCCTCCAACCTGTCAATGCTCTTCTGGGTAAATGGGTCCCAGACTGAAGATGCATAATCTAAAATCGGACGGATAAAGGCTTTATATGCTCTTTTTTTCACACAGGAGTTGCCAATCTTTAGATTTCGCCTTAAGAACCCCAAGGCTTGGTTTGCTTGGTTACATACATTGTTAATATGCTCGTCCCAGCGGACCTCTCTTTGAATGGTAACACCCAAGTACTTTACTGAGGAAACTTGCTCAAGTATATGGCCGTGCAGTTTGTATTGGTAGTGTAGAGGAGTACAACTTCTAGATATTGATAGTGTCTGGCACTTGGCATGGTGAAATTCCATGTCCCAGCTCATCTCCCACTCAGCTAACAGATTGTTAATCTATCGTCAATCAACACATGTGGCGAATAGAAAAAGGAGTTGTCAATCTATCGTCAATCAACACATGTGGCGAATAGAAAAAAGGGGTTGTCAATCTATCGTCAATCAACACATGTGGCGAATAGAAAAAGGGGTTGTCAATCTATCGTCACTCAACACATGTGGCGAATAGATCAAGGGGTTGGCTATCTATCGCCAATGTTTTTTTTCTTCTTCCGTACTCTTAAAGACAAGGTAAATGACATGGATTACGGTCAGTATTTAATTTTAAAGGAGGTTGCTAACCAAAATGAATGGCATGGAAGTTTGGCCCGCATAAACGTTCTTGACGGAAACCAGTTGAATAGTTTCTCAAGATAAAAAGTGTTACCACGGGGGAACAAAAGGAACCTTTTTTAAACTGGTCTAACTTGCATTAATGTTGTAAAAAAACAACAAAGCCAACAAACATGGAAGTTATAGGACTAACCACGAACTCATTGAGGAAAATTTTAGTTCCAACCAGCTCGGCCACAGTGCGGCAATCGTCCTGCTCTACTCCCATTAAAAATGCAATCGGCCAGAACAGGTAGGAGCATATGAACTGAAATAGAAATGGTTTGGTGTAAATTTAACGTCAGATGGGTAGCATGGTATTATCGGAATCTTTTCATCAAGCCGAGACAAAGATGGATTCATTATTTACACGGACCTACATGTTTTTTCCCCATCTAAGACACCTCTCAAACAAAATATTATTAACAGACTGGGATGTCCTACTCGTGTCAGTTGAAAAAAAAAAAACACCGAGAAAACTAGCAACAAAAATAATTTCATTAACAACTTTAATTGTTGAGATTAAGATAAGGGCACTGTTTTTAAGCAGCCCTCCACGAAAGTATGGTATACCATTATGCCACCATGTTTTTCTTCAATCTGAAAAAATATTATTTCATTTTAAATAGAACGTAAATGGGGGATCCAACTATTTAGTAAAGGTCAGTCTTTTTTTCACTTTGCATTAAGAATATTGTAGCATTCTTCTATTATATACAAACTAAAAAGCTAGCTTTTTGGTGTCCTAATGCAATGATCATTTACAAGACTCACTTAATTTCATTCGGTATGTCCATACGTTGACTGACCTGAAAGGTTAGTCCTTCTTGTCCAACCCTGTCCCCAAGCCAGGTTAGAGTCGCGTTGACGAACTGAAGCAGGGCAACGAACGCGATCAGATTCACGGCGATGTTGGCCACAAGCTTAATGGACATTGATGCCCCGTTAGACGCCGCTTCGATCAGGTTATGTTCAGATCTGCCAAAAAGAAGACCGTTTCAAAATATCCAGTGCTCGAATATGATAATGCAACTATTTAACACAAAAATTTAAGTCTTCAAGGACTTACTTTATAACATATTTGAGTTGTGCTTAAGCGCTTAAGTATAGAACGCAATGTACACAAAACTTTCAGTCTCCAAGAGAAAACAAATCCTATTGGTCATATTCTGCTTCTGGTTTATCGATTACGTGGGTCTATCTGTACCGATAATTTAACCACAAAGAGTTGATAGTCACTCTCCCACCTTGGTCTCAACCAATGCCCCCCCCCCCCTTTTTTTTTTCATGTGCCCTTTCTGCTTTGTTACGCTATTCCCTATTTCTGTCCACTCTTTTGTCTTCACGTTCGATCAACTCGAGTTTCTTGTTCCACACAATCGTTTTTTTTTCTTTAATAAAGTTGATTTTTTGGCCCTGACCCAGCGCCCATGCAGTACATCCGTCTGTAGAGCTTATTTATATATTTTTCTCTCAAACTTCTGTCTATTTCTTATTTTGGCCAACATTTGTTGATCCAATTTGTCCGCCTTTGAAGGCTGGTAGTAGACATTACAAGGACATTTAAAGTTATCAAAGACATAAGACGAACCAACCCTTTAGCTATGTTGTAAACATCCTTTGCGTTGTGCTTGCTCTTCTCTGTTTCAGGGTAGAAAAGTTTGGACATGGCAAGGGCTGCCGGTGCAGACATAGCGGATGCTGCCAGAAGATGATTGGCTGGGACCTGTGACGCGTGCGAGACAAGAAGATTAGACATTTGATATGAGCAAATTCCTTTCTATTAACCGTCCCGCAGTCTAGCAGACCCTTGAAATACCAGCAATCGCTACATCGAGGTATTATTTCATATTCCTAATATCGTTAGACGGATCTCTACAAGAACTATCAGCATTTGAAACTGGAGTGCATGGTCATCGTTGTTAAATTCCATTTAAATTTAATATGTAAAATGTAACGTTTTCAATGAAAATATCGAAGCATGAATTAATTTTGTTTGTTTTTTGTTGTTGTTTTTTTGTTTACAGTAACACTGCGGAATAATAAATTAGTTTTAGAGAGTTTTATAGCCTAAAAGTTATATTGTAAAAATGATATACATTCTGACATTTTCCCCATGCCTGCTGTGTCGGTGCGCGCGCATGTCCAAACAAAACTGATCGGGGCTCATTTGACAAACAAAGCTCTGGGACAGGAATAACTCTTTTAAAAAAATCAATGAAGAAAACGTGAGGAAAAATACCATCAGAAACACACAAAAAGAAAACCCATCACAGACACGCTGACCCCATGCGATGTCGTCATTGAAAGCCTTATCTCTACTGCCCCATATTCATAATCATAACCGGAGACATGGGAGATTACACGCGACTTGTCATAAACAAACTCTTGCATCAATATCCTTAGTGCAACTAAGATGTCTGGCGGAACGAACTCTTGCCTCAATATCCTTAGTGCAACTAAGATGTCTGGCGGAACGAACTCTCGCATCAATATCCTTAGTGCAACTAAGATGTCTGGCGGAACGAACTCTTGCATCAATACCCTTAGTGCAACTAAGATGTCTGGCGGAACGAACTCTCGCATCAATATCCTTAGAGCAACTAAGATGTCTGGCGGAACGAACTCTCGCATCAATATTCTTAGTGCAACAAAGATGTCTGGCGGAACGAACTCTCGCATCAATATCCTTAGTGCAACTAAGATGTCTGGCGGAACAAACTCTCACATCAATACCCTTAATACAACTAGATGTCTGGCGGAACAAACTCTTACATCAATACCCTTAGTGCAACTAAGATGTCTGGCGGAACGAACTCTTGCATCAATATCCTTAGTGCAACTAAGATGTCTGGCGGAACGAACTCTTGCATCAATATCCTTAGTGCAACTAAGATGTCTGGCGGAACGAACTCTCGCATCAATATCCTTAGTGCAACTAAGATGTCTGGCGGAACAAACTCTCACATCAATACCCTTAATACAACTAGATGTCTGGCGGAACAAACTCTTACATCAATACCCTTAGTACAACTAAATGTCTGGCGGAACAAGCTGAATGATGGATCGCTGTGAGTTGGGGGGGGGGGGACGGCAACGAAATAAAAAGTGTTGAAAATTCCTTTAAAAGAAGAGTGAGGAGACGTTCGATCACTTGATACTTTCAGGCCGTCAACCAATGACGTAATCAGTCGTGGTAACCATCTGATGCTTAAAGGGGGCGGTCAGTCAATAGAATTCATTTGTCCAGCCTCCACAAAGAAAGTTTATAAAAAAAAAAACGCCAGGAGATGAAAGTCAGGCACTGAGTCACCAGTAGCGATTGTCATATCAACTGACGCCCACCACATCATTACGCACATTAATCATGAAATGACCTTCTAAACAGAAATACAAAGCAAGAGATAAATCAATGGAGAGCAATACATTAATAAATTTAAGTTACGGAATAACATTTCTCTGACCAAAAAATTTTTTTTTTTTCATGGATGAAACTATGATATGAAGCTATTAAATGGAATTGAAATATGGAGCAGTCGATCTTGTATGCCCGCTCGCTTGCAACATTCCGGGTGGTGTAAGCGTATTAACAACGCAATCAACTAAAAACTGGCCACCCGGAAGTAGACGTCACAGTTGACGATGAAGAGAAATAAAAAAAGAAGATACAGCCTGGTTAACGATACATGACCATGACAACAAATCAAAACGACATTTTTTAGTTCGAGACAAAATGCAATATTCCTCATGGGTGTACAACACAGAGGTTCGGGGAGGGGTTGGGTTGGGTGGGGTGCCAATGTCCCTAGTTGGAATACATAAACATAGGTACAGCTATTTTATACGTCAACAAGAGACAACATGAACGAGTTAGAACTTAATTCAATCCTCATTTTTCCAAGACACATCCTGTTTATTTCTGTTCGGAATACACACTTGTTTATTTCTGTTCGGAATAAACACTTGTTTATCTATGACCGTGTTGAAAATTAACAACCAAGCACAGATCTCCTTTATTTTGACCCTTCACATATATGACAGATCGTGGGTCAAAGAATGATCAGACCGTAAACAAATGAAGACTTGCTGCAGATTTCGGTAGAGTTTCAAAGTACGTTAGGAGCGTAGGGCTCAACTTTAAGTGTTTTCATTCCATTTCTCGGAGAGCTTGATTCAGATTCCAAAATAAAAGACGATTTTGTGGTAAAAATCCAAAAAGTCTGTATATTAAAATCTTACCTTGTAGAGGATGTAGGCAGCCATGACAGCTCCGGCGATTGTGGCAAACCCTCCTGTCATAACTGCGTGGATCTCCGAGTTGGTCATGTCTTTTAGAAAGGGACGTATGAGTAGAGGGGCCTCTGTCTGTCAGTTAAACAGCAATATATTACATGTGACAATCACTAAGTAGAGGGGCCTTAGTTTGTCAGCTAAACAGCAATATATTACATGATATCATTACAATCACTAAGTAGCTTTGACTGACCTGCCCAATGAAGGTGTGATAGCTTTGACTGACCTGCCCAATGAAGGTGTGATAGCTTTGACTGACCTGCCCAATGAAGGTGTGATAGCTTTGACTCACCTGCCCAATGAAGATGTTCCCGGCAGCATTCACTGACTCTGTTGGTGACGTCCCGAGGCAGAAGGCAAGGAATCTCCCCACCAGAGAGATGACAGACTGCATGACACCAAGGTAGTACAGCATGGACACACACGTACTGAAGAACACCACAACGGGCAGAACCTGGGGACCGGACAAATGGGCATCGTCAGTTGGGTAAAGGCAAAGTACATTGTTGATTTTAAAAGTAATCGGATCATGAGTTGGTAAATGTCAAGATTATGAGAATCACTGTTTTTATTGTGAACGGTTGTTACTGTGAGATGTTAGCATTGTTATTGATTTGATTTCCCTGAGTGGTTGTTTTCTAATACTTGTTTCGTTAGTGAGCGTATTTGGGGTAGAGATTAATTGTGTAGCTGTTGCTATGTAGTTTGTATTGGTGACGTTCTTGGGTATGAGAGATGACGTGTTTGTTGTTATGGTGTTTAGAGTTGCGTTATGTGAGTGGATTTGGTGTTAACCAGAGATGGAAAAAAGTGTGCTGGAGTTGGCAAGAGGTTCTCGAAACTGTGTTGACTGAACGTCCCCTCGATTCCTAGGTATAAAGTGGTGATATGAGGTATGACGTGATCCTGGTGAGATGAGGGATGACACTGTATTATATGTAAACCTAGACCAAGTTGCCAGAAATACTTTAAGGCATCTCAATCAGAGAACCGGTATTTCGACGGTTAAAGCAATGTCCATGGTTAGTTGGTAAAAGCGATGTCCATTTTTAGTTGGTAAAAGCGATGTCCATTTTTAGTTGGTAAAAGCGATTTCCCACTTTAGTTGGTAAAAGCGATGTCCATTTTTAGTTGGTAAACGCGATGTCCCACTTTAGTTGGTAAAAGCGATGTCCATTTTTAGTTGGTAAACGCGATGTCCCACTTTAGTTGGTAAAAGCGATGTCCATTTTTAGTTGGAAAAAACAATGTCCATTTTTAGTTGGGAAAAACAATGTCCATCTTTAGCTTGTAAAAACAGTGTGGTATTATATTCTGCCAGGAACAGTTAAAAGACAGAGATCCAAGCCCTGGGTTCTAAAACGTTGACATGTTCCATCCGTCTTGTACTTGGACTGCGCTACTGACGGCCTCCGATGACTCATGGCTCAGAAGAAAGCGGAGCAATGCAATAATATGTAATGTAAGAAAGGGTAATTGTAATTGTAAAGTAAATCTTAGTTTCCAGACCTTGAAAGCAAAGTAATGTTGCTCGTAATCATCTCCGAAGATAAATTTCGACCCGGCGTCAGTGTAAGCGAGGAATTCACTGACTCTGTCTCCCAGCCACTGGAAGGCGTCATGGCCCCAAGAGGTTCTCAAGATAAGCAGTGCAAAAATTAGCTGGAGGGCAATGCCCCAAAACACGGGTCTCCATTTAACCTGTGGACGGGGGAATATTGTAATACCAGGTTAAAATCGACAGAAAGACATTCATTTTAACAATGACAAACATGTTTGTTAGGATTTTGAAAAATAAACATGAAATAAGGTTATACAATACGGATATCTTTTGAGAGCAAAAAAAAACTCATCTCTTTCAGCAGTGGCAAACACGTAGTGACACCATTTCAACAGTCGAAGCGCTATAGACCAGTTTCTCCCAACCTTTTTAGTGCCATGGCCGACCTAAGCCATTCTAAAATTCGTATGTCCCTTGTGTCGTATGTCCCTTGTGTCGTATGTCCCTTGTGTCGTATGTCCCTTGTGTCGTATGTCCCTTGTGTCGTATGTCCCTTGTGTCGTATGTCCCTTGTGTCGTATGTCCCTTGTGTCGTATGTCCCTTGTGTCGTATGTCCCTTGTGTCGTATGTCCCTTGTGTCGTATGTCCCTTGTGTGGTATGTCTCTTGTGTGTCGTATGTCCCTTGTGTCGTTTGTCTCTTGTGTGTGGTGTGTCCCTTGTGTCTTGTGTCTCTTGTGTGTCGTATGTCCCTTGTGTCGTATGTCCCTTGTGTCGTATGTCCCTTGTGTCGTATGTCCCTTGTGTCGTATGTCCCTTGTGTCGTATGTCCCTTGTGTCGTATGTCCCTTGTGTGTCGTATGTCCCTTGTGTCGTATGTCCCTTGTGTTTCGTATGTCCCTTGTGTCGTATGTCCCTTGTGTGTCGAATGTCCCTTGTGTCGTATAACCATACTTTTTGATGTTCCAAACGTGATTTGTTTTTAACGCTTCAAACGTTATTTTAAATTGAGACTACGATTCTCGTTTGAAAATAGGAGTTAAATAATAGCAGACTGTGGCTTTTCATTTTCTAGACAGTTTTTTTTTCTTTCTTTTTTTTTTAAATTGCCACCATTAGCAATTAAATTTTTTCGCCCCTCCCCCCCCCCCTTTTTTTTATTTTTTTTTTTTAAATTAATTTTTCCCCCCCCCCCCCCCCCCCTTTTTTTTTTTGTTTGCCCGTAGGCCCGACGTAGGGAAACACTGCTATAGACGAATTTTCACCATGTTTGATAATTCATGCGATCTCTTATTTTCAATAGACCAAAATTGAACAATCTTTGCCCATTCTTGAGTCCTTTTAGACTTATAACTACGACAATTTTCATTTAACACCTTTACACATTTTTAAAGCGAGAAAATGGGAAAACATGTAAAAATTTAGAAAACACTGGAATTTGGACAACTCCTGTCTGGTCTACGTCATCAAAAGAAGTCCCGGTGAAAACGGATACCGGTGTAGAAGTTCTAAACGCTAAGTTTTAGGCTGGTGCCTGCAATCACCGACTACTCACCTTAAACGGTAACCTGGTGCTTGTATTCATCGACTACTCACCTTGGACGGTAACCTGGTGCTAGCAATCATCGACTACTCACCTTGGACGGTAACCTGGTGCTAGCAATCATTGACTACTCACCTTGGACGGGTTGTAAGAAAATATGAAGAACAAAGCGATGAAGACGACCATGCCCGCAAGACTAATCAAATTTTCAGGCCTGTCCAGCGCGACGTCCACTACGATGTAGACAATAAATCCAATGGTCAGTAAGACTGGCAGGATAATGGATATTCTGGATAGGGTTAAAAAATATATTTAAACGTCTGTACATCCCTGTCTAAAAAAAATTTGGTTAGTGCTATGTGTAATGTTTAACTGGTGTAAGTGCAATGATTAACTGATGTAAGTGCAATGATTAACTGGTGTAAGTGCAATGTTTAACTGGTGTAAGTGCAATGATTAACTGAGTGTAAGTGCAATGTTTTACTGGCGTAAGTGCAATGTTTTACTGGTGTAAGTGCAATGTTTTGCTGGTGTAAGTGCAATGTTTTACTGTGTACGTGCAATGATTAACTGATGCAAGTGCAATGATTAACTGATGCAAGTGCAATGATTAACTGATGTAAGTGCAATGATTAACTGATGTAAGTGCAATGATTAACTGATGTAAGTGTAAGGTTTAACTGTCCGAATGGAAATTGCCATAAATCTCCACTTTACTTTTTAAGCTACCGATTTTAAATATATAATATGTTGATGGTATTTGAGTTTAGCCATACAATACTATGAAATCACCTGAGTTTAGCCATAAAATACTATGAAATCACCTGAGTTTAGCCATACAATACTATGAAATCACCTGAGTTTAGTCATACAATACTATGAAATCACCTGAGTTTGGCCATGCAGTAGTTGATCCTGTCCCCCACATGCTTATCTCCGACATTCTCTTTTGGTTGTTTCCTCCACTGACTGAGTCCGAGATGGAGGATTATTCCCATGGCACTGAGCATCGTGATGACAAGGAGTCGCCAAGATCCTTCGTCACCAAATCTTGGAGATCAATAGATTATCATCAGAATCAGAGATCAATAGATTATCATATCAGAATCAGAGATCAATAGATTATCATATCAGGATCAGAGATCAATAGATTATCATATCAGAATCAGAGATCGATAGATTATCATATCAGAATTAGAGATCGATAGATTATCATATCAGAATCAGATATCAATAGATTATCATATCAGAATCAGAGATCAATAGATTATCATATCAGGATCAGAGATCAATAGATTATCATATCAGAATCAGAGATCAATAGATTATCATATCAGAATCAGAGATCAATAGATTATCATATCAGGATCAGAGATCGATAGATTATCATAAATATATGCAAAACAATTTTTTTTTCCGGAGATCATTTTAGATTTTATAAAATGGAAATCAATTTATACCGAAATAACGTGTTGCATATGATTAGATGTGATGTGTCCTGACAAGCGCCCACACTGGTCTGCAGTAACCCCCTGATCTTTGTTGATGACATGACGCCCCTTCTCCATAAAAGTTTGGAACACAAATTATGAAATGATTTCGACCACCTTCCCCCACCCCCCATCCCTCTTTGGCCATAGAGTAGTACGAACTCACTTGTAGTACATGGCGTAGCCGAAGTAAGCGAAGTAAGCCGCCAGCAGTACCATCCCGAACATGAGCTTGAGCGGTCTATGGTTGCGTTTAAAAAACCCAGAGATGCCCGACTGGACCTTCTCGACCAGACGTGAGAAGCATGTTGGGTCGTCCGTGTCGGCAGGCTCGAATACTGGGCTGTCCGAGTCACTGTGATTCGTATCTTTACCATTGCCATTGCTCAGTTGGCTGTCCTGGAATCAAACAAATCGTGTCTTTGAAAATGTTTCAGCATGGATTAGGGTTTATGATCTCCCCGGATAAAAATAATGTAATTCAAAATATAGTATAAACTGAATTAAACTAAAAGAGTTTATTATTTTTTTTGTAGTTGTTTATTTGTTATTAAATTGTCTATTGAAGGAATAAAAAAAAAACAATGTTAAGTTTTTTGGGATGTTGGTCACTTGCTATTAGTTGCTTCATTTTCTACTGCTTATCCCTACTAATGGATGTAGCCACCTGTAGGAAAAACCTCAACACTTTATAAGTTTTGCACTCTTTGCAGCTCGCTAATTTTAGTTCCGAATTGGTGACAAAATATTTACAAACGCATGCTTTTAGCAGCTTGTAACAAGGGATCATTTTCGAATTAAAAAAAACAAAACAACAATGATGAACATTAATACAAATATGTCTTTCTATGTTGATTTTGGAAAAAAAGCAATACATATAATAAAGATAGCTTGACACGTGAACATCCTGGGACAATCAAGTTACCAGAGCACACAAAAATGGGGTTGCAAAGGGATTTACGTGGGGTCGCCGGCTGAAACAATAAACCAAGAGATGTAGGGATTGTTGAATGGTTTTCTTTTTTTTTTACTTTATATCTTAAAGGCTGAGTTACAATTTCAATTATGACATTAAATATATCGCCAGTTACATTTTATTGAAAAATTAAGTTTAAAAAGTAATAATTTCCAAGAATTGACCCGACTTAAAAGCCCCTTTTCCCCAACATATCATGGAAAGGGTCGCTTTCCTTATCTATTATTTAGGTCGTTACTTGGAAACGTTTGAAAACCTGTGTACTAGAGCTAATGAGCTTAGTAATTCAGTGCAGTTAACTAGGTTTGACAGTTCATGGCTTATAGTTATAGACCTAGCGACAATGTGTGACATTCTGTGACACATGCGGTTTGCTGAAATGTTAAAAGAAAACCAAATCAAATTGCGTTCCAAACGTTCGTACCCAGGATTTCCAGGTACGGGGAAAATTTCCCGTGAAATCTTTTGTTTACTAAAACTGTGCGGGATTTCGGGATCCCTGGAGCGGAATTGAAATATTTTTTAACTGACTAAAAATTATAGCTAGAAATGAGGAGTAAAGAGGAGTTTGAGAGCCTGAATAATGGCTCAGTGAGAGCAAAGAGGAATTGAGGCGTGCAGAAGAGGTTGAGTGCCTGAAGAGTGGGCCTGTGAACGCAAGGAGAAAGTAGGGACAAGAATATACACAAATAATTAAATGTAATATAAAGAAGAGATGGTTAAGATATGTTGAAAATATATGGTGAAAGCAATGTGAGAGCAATGTGAGAGCAATATGAGAGCAATGTGAGAGAAATTTGAGGGCAATTGAGAGCAATATGAGAGAAAAGTGAGAGCAATATGAGAGAAATGTGAGAGCAATGTGAGAGCAATATGAGAGAAATGTGACAGCAATATGAGAGCAATATGAGAGCAATGTGAGAGCAATATGAGAGCAATGTTAGAACAATGTGAGAGCAATGTGAGAGCAATATGAGAGAAAAGTAAGAGCAAAATGAGAGAAATGTGAGAGCAATATAAGAGAAATGTGAGAGCAATATGAGAGCAATGTTAGAACAATGTGAGAGCAATGTGAGAGCAATGTTAGAACAATGTGAGAGCAATGTGAGAGCAATGTGAGAGCAATGTGAGAACAAAGGTGTCGTCTGAATATGTCCAAGGACCAGGCATTACGGCAAGGGTCAAGTTTAATAGAACCAGGCATTACAGCAAGGGTCAAGTTTAGCAGAACCAGGCATTACGACAAGGGTCAAGTTTAATAGGACCAGGCATTACGGCAAGGGTCAAGTTTAAGAAAACCAGGCATTACGGCAAGGGTCAAGTTTAACAAACGGTTTTGGATTTGAATTTGGGGAGGTGGGTATTTCGGAGTCTGTACAATAGTCTGTATTCAGTTGCAGAATCCCGGAGTCAGAGTTATACAAGTACGATGCCACCTGGGCATGATATATTAGGGTAAGTCTACTGATGATCAAACAAACATAATTGTATAATCCCACCTTTTCATCTGGAGTAAATGCTTGGTTGTCGTAAGAGTTGAGATCCGTAGAATCAAGGACGACTGGCTTCACTGGCTCATCGTGTGAATTGTAGACAATTTGCATTAGTTCAGCCATGGCCTTATGAGTTCAGTCCCTCTCTCTAGCCCGGTGATACACTCAATAGACTCTGACGAAAAAATAATATAGTATCAGAAACTATTAACATTTTTATATATTTTTTTAAATTTCGCAAAGAAAAACATTGCAGAAGTGTTGATGAGCCCTCTTTGTTTCACTATTTGAAGCACTATATGTAGCACTCTATGAAGCCCCTGTGCAGCCAAACGTTTCGAATTGAATGTAGACAAAAATTAAATATATATATATTTAATTTTTGAAAATATTTTCTGCACAGAATTTCTTTGCGTAACGTATTTTAAGAAATTGTATTTTGTTTCTACTTACTAGTGCGCTTTAACTCGTCTTGGACAGAACTTCTTAAACAAAAATTATTTCACATATTTTTTTAAAGTACTACTTTTTAATTAGTAAAATGTAATCTTTAAATTATTGACAAAGGTAAAATAATTTCACTTTTTTTTTCAAACATCGAATGCTTAAAAAAATCCCGGCCAAAGTGACTTAAGGCTTTACCTAGGCATAAACATAAAAAAAGTAGATCTGAGCTCATACACCCTCCCATTCACTCAACCGCGAAACCGACGCGCGGCCAACCACGAGAATTTGAGCGACAGTTACAACGCGCCTCCGTCGACCCAGAAGTAGACGCGATGTTGACACAACTCTGGTGCAGCGAGAAGATCAACACCATTGAGGAGAATACTTCACGAGAAAAATGATCATCTGAGCGAAAATATCACGTGTCTTTAAAAAGATAAAATAACGAACGCTTCATTAACACAAGCGCACATCCACACATGCACACATCCACATATGCATACAGCCACAAATGCACACAGCCAAACATGCGTACAGCCACACATGAACACAGCCACACATCAAAAACATCCACACATTTACGCATGCACACATCCACACATCCACACATTCACACATGCACACATCCACACATCAACACATCCACAGTAATCCACACATCCACACATGCACACATCCACACATGCACACATCCACACATCTAAACATGCAAACATCCACACTTGCACACATCTAAACATCCACACATTCAACCATTCACCCTCAAGATGGAAATTCAAGTAGAAAGAAAGTCTAAAAAAGCATATAATCTGCTTTAGTGTGGATGATTATCCCCAGATGATTCAGTTTGAAGCTAAGTTTTTAAGTAAAAAGAAAATTAAAGGATACACAAAAAAAACAAAACAACACGAACATTTTAATATTCACTTGGACACTTGCATTCACCAACGCTAAGAAAGGTAAAGGTAGTGAGACGGGTGAAGGGGAATGATGAAATGGGCTCCACTTTGGACTGGTGGATAATATCAAAACTGGACTGGATAAATGTCTCAACACAAGACAGGGCGAAGGTCTCAACACAAGACAGGGCGAAGGTCTCAACACAAGACAGGGCGAAGGTCTCAACACTGGGTTTGGATGCGAGCGTGTACTGAATTCTTAACCCTATTCGATACTGTGACGAAATTAGGCTTGCCCTAAAATTTCAATGTACTTATAACACCTTCTTAGAACGCCCTCCCCCAAAGCGCCACCCTTTTGCCACGGGAGAGCTGTTGTTGAAATTTTATTGCGCATCTAGTTATTAAGTTCATTCGTCTCAGATAGCACATGATAGTGATTTAGCCAATGAACGATTATGGTAAATCCACTACATATACCGTGGTAAATGTTAGAAAAAATTCTTTCAAGATCGTCCCCCCAAGTTATTACAGTTAACTTAGTGCACCCCTGAAGCCGGCCATTTCTAACACCAAGTGTTTTGGATTAACATTTCTATTTCATTTCTTTATATGAAGGCATTGTATTACCATGTATACAGTTTTGTTAAACATTAATGTATGCTTATTCTGATTAGACTGAGTTTGTTTAAATCATTGTATTGTATCTATTTTCTCAATGTTCGACACGCGTCTCCAAACAATGGGAACGATTTGGCCGTTTCGAGATGTACTTATCTAGACTTCATCCCATCCCGTATCCACTAGATGTTTGCTATCCATTGTAGTTGTTTGGATATAGTATGTTTATAAATGCTTTATTTTTATAATAATGTGTATAGTCATGTTTCAAGAGACTCCTTTGCCATTCGTCGACGCTAGCCATATATGCTTGCGCCGACTATGGTAAAGACGATAAGGTTATCCACAATGGGTATTTACATTGTAAAGATTCTATCCATTTCCATGCCTCGATTAGAATTCCTTGTCGTTGGAACAGGAACTGTTAGCTCAAGAATATTTGAAAAAGTTTCTCCCTTCTTCTCTTGTATAATCATTCACATATTATATCCTGGTTACTATCTCGCAGTACTGCTGCTGTACAATCACCGCACCTAGCAGTGGGATTGCGTTTGCTCTAGACCACGGAGCAACACCACTGCTCGGTGATGCTACATGGGATTTTGCCTCTTCGCGGCGTGGGCGACTAGTAGGGGGGGAGGGACACTCCCGAAGCTAAAAAATCCCCACCCACCTGCATGACTTCCCACGCAACGGAAGGCTCGCACTAACATGATTACTGTTGCCGTTGATGGGTATGAGGCAATGGGTGGCAGCCAAAACCCTTGCCAATGATTAAAAAGACGCGGCCCTGAGAAAGCCGCCCCTAGGCGACCGTTTCGTCCCCGCTACGTCCAGACCGGACAACTCCCTGGGCGGTGGGGAGTGGTAACGCAACACCATCTCCCCGGAGAGGAAGTAAAGCCGTCCTGACCCATAGGAGAGTGGACTGCGGACGATTTAAACGCAGCGTCTTCGGTCGACCGGACGTCCCTCAGGCCAGGAGGGAGGTTCCTGGCGCGCTTCCGCAGGGCCTGGAGTCGGGGAGACCCGGCTTTGGCCCCTGTGGGGGAGTGCCGGGGGTATTATGAGTGCAAACTCGATGACCCACCGACACCATCTCCAAAATGATGTTATTAGCAGCTGGATTGAGGATCAGTTCCCCAAAACCGGATTCCAAGAACTCCGCCCAGTACCCATCAGAAAGATAGGAGCCCGTGCTTGCAGGACTCTCAACCCATGACAGACGCGGTCGCAGGGGAATCCACACTGAGTCCACGCACACATCACAACGTACAAGGGAAGAGCTATTCCATAACACACTGCTGTGTCGTCCACTTTCGTTACCGTCCTGAGAAGCCAAAAAAGGAAAGGACCGGAGAACCCACTCCCAAAATTGATGTGATCTCACTATTGATTGATCAAGCCAGATCATCAGAACGATTATTGATTGATCAGTTAAGTATTACAGTCTGATTGAATACAAACAAAACAAAGCGACTATGATGATAAATGTAAGGCATTACGGGAGGCCACTGTGCATAATATAAGAGAACCTAGACTAATTTATATGAAAGTTGTTTTTCATATCCTTGGCTATCATAGATTACAATTGAAATACTTGTAAATAAATAAGTTCATTTGATTAAGAAATGTGTTATGAAGTCTTTGATAGTTAGGCATAAATGAATAAGGTAATTATGTCCCTTGTTGCGCTACTTTGATATAACATAAAACCTCTAGACACGAGTAGGTGTGACACTCATACGAGAGTGGTTCCTAGACACGAGCATGTGTGACACTCATACGAGAGTGGTTCCTAGACACGAGCATGTGTGACACTCATTCGAGAGTGGTTCCTAGACACGAGCATGTGTGACACTCATACGAGAGTGGTTCCTAGACACGAGCAGATGTGACATTCATACGAGAGTGGTTCCTAGACACAAGCAGATGTGACATTCATACAAGAGTGGTTCCTAAACACGAGCAGATGTGACACTCATACGAGAGTGGTTCCTAGACACAAGCAGATGTGACATTCATACAAGAGTGGTTCCTAAACACGAGCAGATGTGACACTCATACGAGAATGGTTCCTAGACACGAGCAGATGTGACATTCATACGAGAGTGGTTCCTAGACACGAGCATGTGTGACACTCATACAAGAGTGGTTCCTAGACACGAGCAGATGTGACATTCATACGAGAGTGGTTCCTAGACACAAGCAGATGTGACATTCATACAAGAGTGGTTCCTAAACACGAGCAGATGTGGCGCTCATACGAGAGTGGTTCCTAGACACGAGCATGTGTGACACTCATACGAGAGTGGTTCCTAGACACGAGCATGTGTGACACTCATACGAGAGTGGTTCCTAGACACGAGCAGATGTGACATTCATACAAGAGTGGTTCCTAGACACGAGCAGATGTGACATTCATACAAGAGTGGTTTCTAGACACGAGCAGATGTGACATTCATACAAGAGTGGTTCATAGACACAAGTGACACTTATACGAGGGTGGTTCCCACACACCCACCAATCCAACTCATTTCCCCAGAGATACCTAACCTTGAATGTAGCTGAGTGTCTCTCCCAAATATACCTTCGCTGCAAGTACATAGACTTTTTTTTGTGCTGTATGTTTTTGTAGGATTTTAGAAATAGAGCTCTATATTTGATACAAGTAAACCTTATCTCTAAAATTAGAATGAGGAGATTGGCTGAAAGATCGTAAACAAGTTCTATTCGCATACAGGGCAGTAAACATAAAGGGAGATTATTACATGTGCGGGGTGAAGGTGTTTGTTGTGCGTGTGTGTGAGGGGGGGCTGAATGATTCCCCATTGGCGGATCCAGCGATGTAAATGGTATCAATCACCACTTAGCCCCCCCCCCCCACACACACTCCCGGGTTGTCATTTAGTGCTAGCGCTTTAATTAGTATTAGGGCTGTCACTGTCTTTAGGGCTGTCACCAACTGTTTACGGAACAAGCTTGAATGATTCACTTGATCAAGATTATCATCCCTTTTAAGTGTTGCTTTATGTCAGTCGCATAGATGAGTAGATGAGTAAGATAGCAGCATTTTGTACTTCATGAAGATTTTCAATTCCACCTTTCAAACTGTGTCCAGCAATATTACCTGTTTTGTTTTGTACCCTCAACTGTTAGTATTTTAGTCATGTGGCAGCAACGAAAAGAAAAAGTTAGCAACTGTCCTAAATGAATGGAAAGAAACAGCCCCCCCCCCCTAAATAGGACGATTAAGATGTACCAATCTTCGCCACCCATGTCACACTTTGAACTCCACACTGCGAACCATTTGAGGCTGTCAGAACAGTGACGATAAGGAGAAATGAAAAAAAAATCAGGAAGAAGATCCCGGTCGATCTTAAAAACAGGAAGCAAAATATACTATTGACGTTAAAGTGCCTGGAAAACTCAAAATTTATTCAACAGATTTGACAAAATATTTAAACAATTTTTTTTAAATTTTGGTTAAAGAACACCAATCGTCTTTTAGTCACATTATTTACGATGGACATTGAGAAGCTGCGTATCCCCATATTTGCTGGGTTGGTGTTGGACGGGGTCTATTTAAACAGGAGATTTGTCTTCGTATTTTTGGGGTATTCCGATTCGAAATCCCACAACATTCAATCCCACATTTACATGATTGGAAAGTAGATGGATGACCCACCTAAATAAAAAAAAGATAAGACTCTGAGAAATGAGCACTGGACTGCAATTCCCACACCAACATGTAAAGCCTGAAAAATGTATGTGTACAGACTGTTCATAGGATTTAACAGAAGTTCGCAAAGCTTGCACGCAGTAAAGATGCCGCTCATAATCCCTATTAAAATATCGGTTGATTTCAATCTAACGATTCACACATCCTTTCTGGGCATGGGGCTCCCAATTTTATTTTCATCAAACCACTTGAGCTTCTAATAACTATTAAAGATTAGGTTATTTTGGCACCAGGTGCCCAAATATTAAACATTTAACAGGCAACATTTTTTACAAACTCTTTCCAATTTTAATTTAAAAAAAATTAACTTGAATATTTATCTGGATGATTTTTTAAAATTTTTATTACCTCCACGTCATAGGAATAACTGAAATTGGGGATTCCAATTTATTTTAATTTTTAAACTGCCATTGCATTTACAAATACCTTTTTTTAACAAAACATCTTTTAAAAGGTTAGATTGGTTTTTAAATCACGGCTCACGGCTGTGTGAAGCTTGAATATGAACTGAAATGGGATGGGCTCCAAATTCAATGTTCACCAGAGCTATTTAAAAAAAAAAAATCTGGCTTTTTATAGGAGCATTTAAAAATAAATAACTGGTACTTAAGTGAAGTATTGTAACGGGGCCTACAATTTACGTGTATGCCGATAACGCTTTAGGCGGGTTTTTCCGAAAACAATCCTGAAAATAGCCGGTTATATTTGCTAGTAAATATGTAGATCTAAAGTACTTAATACATTGGAATCCTCGCGATCAAACGCTGTCTTGTCTCTAGCTTTAACGAGCATACATTAAGTGCCGTAGCCCAAGTGGATCTACTTAATAATGAGTGATGCAGGACGGTATACACTTGAATAAAAGGCATTTCCTTGTTTTTAAAAATCCTTTCCGTTAGCTTCGCTTTTGTTCGTGTGTTTAGCCAACATCTTCTCGCGTCTAATTGACCCTCTCCCCGTCAACCTATCGAGCTGAAACTTGCCACCTAGATTCGTATTTTCAGCCCTCCCCCAACCCCCCCCCCCCAAAAAAAAAAATGTTTAAAAATCCGTTTGTCTCTTCTTCAATGGGAAGATGAAGGAAATATGATCCCCACTGATTTCACCTAATAAAATTCCCGATAACTGCGCTGAATGTGAATCTTAAAAAAAAAATTATGGCAAGTGCATATGGTGCGTTATACTTTCTTTTGTTTATCGAAAGCAGTTGGTGAAATAAATCTTCGGTCTAAAAGCGGGTGGAGAATTAAAATTAGACTATTGATATAAAATGAAATAATAAAAAAACTAAGTTTTTATGATAAATCCTTTACATGCGTTTTTAGGGGCCGTTTAATGTAATATTTATTTTATGAACTGACCTTTAAGCAGGTTCACATATTATGCCCTTCTCTAATGGTTTTACAAAGTTTGGCCTATCCTGACCAGAGCTCTGACTCGACGTCCAAACGTTGAAGGGAGGTTGTTTTAAACTTTTCGTCACTTTCCGGAGCCGGAGTCAGAATCGTTCACATTTAACATAATCCCACTTTAAGTTAAAACAATTCCTTCAAAAAAACAAACAAACAAATTTCTCCGATATATTTTCAGCTCAGAAAATTAAATGAACACAACGTCATGTACCAGGGCCCACTAAGTGGTCATACATACTTTGACTTGGTCGGCCCGGTCTGTTGTTTTATACCTGTCTATCTTTTCACGGAGCAACGTCACCACATCACTTAACGATGATAAACGTACAAATCCTGGTTCGTTAGGGATGGGGTTGAGACGGATCAGTACAAACGACCCCCCCCTTCTCCCCCACCTCCCATCCCCAAAATAAACAAGAAAGATCAACAGAAAGAAGGATACGGTAATAAATCCTTACTCCGACGATTGTTGAACTTGAAGAGCTCGGACTCCCACTCCTAACAAACCGAAACTTTTAACAGCGGAGAAGTTTTTTTTTTTTTTTTTTGCGTTGAAAACCAAAGACACGTTTAAAAAAAACAAAAAAAAAACCAAACTTCGCTGTTGTTAGCTTCTATTTGTTTGGATTGTTTATCTCCTGGAGACGGTCCTAACCAATAGAAGCTATCAGCAACGGAGTCTCTCCAAAGACATTGATTGCTCAGCGGTTAATTCATACATTGTCTGACATCATTTCAATCAAGGGGAAACAAGACATTGAAAATTTTTTTTTTGTCTCAAGCGCCTTAAAGACATCTTTATTTATTTTTTAAATTCTGTCTCTTTAATAAGTCAGCCCTTACTCTGACTACTGACCAAATGCCTACAGGCTAGACGAGGTGTGGTCAACCTACGCCCCGCGGGACCCATGCAGCCCACTGAAACGATTAATCCGGCCCCGAAGTTCTTCCAGGAACTGGATGACTGTTTTCTTAAAATTTACAAATTGTAAAGGTTTATCTATAAGAGCTTTTGAAATGTTATAAAATCAGTGTAAAATTTTTCATTTATTATAATAATAAACTGTTAGTTATCAGCTTACTGTAGTTATTTTACTTTTATTATAAATGTGTACAATTTGTTACAAATGTGTACAATTTATTACAAATATGTACAATTTATTACAAATGTGTACAATTTATTACAAATATGTACAATTTATTACAAATGTGTACAATTTATTACAAATGTGTACAATTAATTACAAATTTGTACAAGTTATTAAAAATGTTTACAATTAATTACAATATGTCTAAAATTTATTGTCAAGATTTATAGAAAATTATCATGCGGCCCGCCAAAAATAAATTTAAGAAATCCTATGCTTTCCTCTGTATAAAAAGGTTGGAGAACCCTTGGCTAAACCTGCATTAGAGACATCAGTTCTGGTGATTGTATATGTCTTTTAAAGAAATGCTTTGATTGACATTAATTCAACATTCAGTTTGCAGACACAAAGTTTCGAATTAACCGGGCCAAGAAGCTACGAAAAAGAACAAGTGAAAACCCTCTTGGGGCATACAGTTTAAGAGTTTAGGCCTGTTTACTGAACTTTTATGTCTATACCATATTACAAATAAGATCAAAATGATAATGGGGCGTCACCACATATCGTATGGTGTGTATTTAAAATGTTCTTGAGTAAGTTAATGTATTTTCAGCTTTAGTTTTTCTTTATTTTGTTCAATAATTACATTTGTTAAAAGTGCACAAAAAAATGATTGTAGAAGAAAATGACTTTCTGAGGCATCTTTCTTGTATACGAGTTTCTGTCCATGGCCGACTTATATAAAAGGGTTATGAAATTTATGACTTGGCTGCTTGGCGTTACATGGATTGGCTGATCTGCTGCCCGTAACGGGATTCTATAGCTCAGCGTTATCCCAGTGGTGGTCCGCGAGCCTTGCGTTGCCGGTCCGCACAACATTAATAAAGAAACTGGTAGCAAAGCTACATGTAAAATTGAGAGGAGCCCAGGAAGCTGACGCTATGTGCCAGATAAAACTTGTAAGAAATTTGAAACTTATCAATGAAAAGATCATACAAAATAAGGCCAAACCAATTGAATCATTTAAACATTTTTTTTGTTTTGGGCATTACAAGATCATTCAAAGCTGGCAAACCCAAACAATTTTTCTGTGTAAAAAAAAAAGAGGGGGGGGGGGGGTTTGCCAGATAACACAGATCCACAACTGTTCGACAAGGGGACTGAATCCTCGTGAATGAGAGGGAAAGCAACATTGATATCCGAGATTCGTGGAGGTTTGCTTTGTTTATTTGCGGCATTGTGGGATGCCGTGGAGTCTGAACCCAAACAACTCCTACTGCATGCCAAAGTACGTTAGTTGTTGAGAGGGAAAGTTTTATCAATACTTTTTGAATTGCGATAAGAGTTTTTTTCCAATGCTTTAACGAAAAGAAAACCTACTTCAGTCAGGACTCGTTGGAAATGTGGATTGGATAGCCGAGTCGGCTTACTTGGCAGACATCTTTGTCAGCTTAATTGAGCTCAACGCGTCCATGCAAAGAAAGATGACGCCATGCTTCGCAATGGCTGACCAGATCAATGGTCATAACGGTTTTAGATCGAAGGCAAGGTTTGAGATAGTTGATTTTTGTGTTATAGTTACAGCTTTAAAATCAGGGCAAACCCTGGGTAGGTCTGCCGTCTAGTCAACGGATAGGACATCGTGTACATCATTGTGTACGGACAGGTCAGCGTCTATATCATTGTGAACCGGTAGGGTTAGCGCAAGACACATGAGCGCGTACATCACTATGTATTGTACAGATCTGTACATCCACCACTGATGACGACGTCACATTTAAGTACACAAGTCTAACAAATCTCAGACTTGTTTTGATGTTTTATTCCCAAACTCGTAAACTCCATGTTATCTAGGTCTCATAAACTCCATGTTATCTAGGTCTCACAAACTCCATGTTTTCTAGGTCTCATAAACTCCATGTTATCTAGGTGGCACAAACTCCATGTTATCTAGGTGGCACAAACTCCATGTTATCTAGGTCTCATAAACTCCATGTTATCTAGGTGGCACAAACTCCATGTTATCTAGGTCTCACAAACTCCATGTTATCTAGGTCTCATAAACTCCATGTTATCTAGGTCTCATAAACTCCATGTTATCTAGGTCTCATAAACTCCATGTTTTCTAGGTCTCATAAACTCCATGTTATCTAGGTCTCATAAACTCCATGTTATCTAGGTCTCATAAACTCCATGTTATCTAGGTCTCATAAACTCCATGTTATCTAGGTCTCATAAACTCCATGTTTTCTAGGTCTCATAAACTCCATGTTATCGAGGTCTCATAAACTCCATGTTATCTAGGTCTCACAAACTCAAAGTTATCTAGGTCTCATAAACTCCGTGTTATCTAGGTCTCATAAACTCCATGTTATCTAGTTGGCACAAACTCCATGTTATCTAGGTGGCACAAACTCCATGTTATCTAGGTCTCATAAACTCCATGTTTTCTAAGTGGCATAAACTCCATGTTATCTAGGTGGCACAAACTCCATGTTATCTAGGTGGCACAAACTCCATGTTATCTAGGTCTCACAAACTCCATGTTATCTAGGTCTCATAAACTCCATGTTATCTAGGTCTCATAAACTCCATGTTATCTAGGTCTCATAAACTCCATGTTATCTAGGTCTCATAAACTCCATGTTATCTAGGTCTCACAAACTCCATGTTATCTAGGTCTCATAAACTCCATGTTATCTAGGTCTCACAAACTCCATGTTATCTAGGTCTCATAAACTCCATGTTATCTAGGTCTCACAAACTCCATGTTATCTAGGTCTCATAAACTCCATGTTATCTAGGTCTCATAAACTCCATGTTATCTAGGTCTCCGGTCTCCAACCCTAACTACGAAACAACGACGACGGCTTGGTGCCTTTAGAAATTAGCTTTTATTTACTGGATGTCAAAATAAAAGTTGTTCTAATGGATGTTCATATCTTTAATTACAATTTTCAATACTGAATACGAACCATTCCTCATTAACGCATGAATTAACGTAACATATTGTAAAGACGTTTGGGTATGGAGAGTCACGATAACAGATATGTTATAGTTTTTATGTTTTTTTTTTATTTTTTACAGCATATGGCTATCTTGTACTTTATATTTTTGTTAAGTTTCAGTTCATTTTAAGAGAGTCGTAGGATAGTTTAAATAAATTGAAAGGTTTGAACATCATAACTAAAATAAAAGGAGATTGAACACAAAAAATAGTTTGTCTCGAGCCTCTCTCACTCCCTTGACATTCATATTTTGAGAGATGAAACTTAGCGCACACATGCAGAAGAAATTATCCACAACTAGTGAGAGAATTATTCATCCTGCCGTACAACCACAGCAAGTCCATAGACACAGCCCGCACGATGTGAAAGTAAACCACACGATTCTTCTATAATTTCCAGTATAATTTCACGTTCGAGAAGAAAAAAGAAAACCAGTTAGTGACTTTGTCTTCTCGTGGCTTTTGTAATTATAATTTGTTTTCAAATCTTTGGCTTTTTTTTGTGTGTGTGTTTGGCAATACCTTTTCAAGTTTACACAACATTACCTTTTGGGAGTAGATTCCTTTAAGAATGTCTTTTTTTTCCTTCAAAATTTAATTGCAGCACACAACTAAATGGTCTAATTCTATGGCCGTCCCAAACCCGAGAACATATACAAAGGGAAGTGTGTCACCACACACACTGACCGATGCGGCCAACACTTACCGTGGCATAGTAACCCCAACCACCGCAGCTCACATTACGGAAGACAGGTAAGGGACCAGACCCCAAACACTGTATCAGACATCGTTATCTGTCGTCACCGCCTGTCACTCTAAACGAGGAGAAGGTTTTTTAAAAAAAAAAATGAATCTCAGAAACGTTGATAATGCCCTCCACCCCCTCCCTCCTGGGGGACACCCCCCACCCCGATGTAAACCGTTCAATTTTCAGAGGTTCATAAAATGGGGGGAAAAAAGCAAAACATTGTAGGTCAAGTCGACAATGATTTAAAGGTCACGTGATGACAAGGAATGCTGTCTTCTTTGAAAACCCCTGGAAACCTGACACCTCTTACTAATTTGCATAAATGCAAAAAAAAAAAAAATAATAAAAAGAAGACAAATGGGCTTTTTAAGAATATAATCAATTTTTATTATAAAATGTGATAATTGTACCGGCATAAC